TTGCAGAAAGTTGTAACTGTGTGGATCCTCCCGTTCACGTCCTGACGTATTCCTTGTTCTGGGTAAATTTTGTACTGCACGTGTTTCCTGCATGCAAAATTTTACAAGCTATTCATAGGACTGTTCCGCTCGTATTGCTTCTAAAATACGGTAGACCCGTTTCCTGTTGGTATTACGTTAATGGCTGTGAAGTCTAAACGTTAGAATTGTAGTCAGGGAAACTTGTGAGGGACAACACAAAAACGTAGGCTGAGAGTCTCTAAATGACACATCGGGAGGAATAAATAAAAAGCTTGCCACGAACTGTCCAGGCTGTGACCACATCTTAGAGGCACCGCCACAGGGAGTCCAGGTAAAGCCACCGCACACACGCACACACACCTTCACCGCTTGGAGCACCACCCACGGCCACGGACACACGGAGGGGAAAATCTTGGATGAAAGAGAGAGTTTCTATATCACACAAGGCAACTGTCAGTGGCCGCGGGAGAGAGGTGATGCTCCTGCAGATTGACGACGCTCTTCGGGCCATCGCTGCTATAACACGTGTGAACTGTGGAGGTGAGGTGTAGGTTTACTGTACACTGGAGACAAAGACAGTCTGCTAAAAGCTATACTCTAAATTTCTAAACTACTGGACACGTGTACTGTACTTACCTGTACTATGAAGGTCAGGTGTAAGTTTCCATGAGACTTGCGAACACACGTAGCATCCGGTACTGTACATTAACTCCCAAAGGCCTCAAGAAACCGCCAAATCTCCCAAAGGTCTCAAGAAACCGCCAACTCTCCCAAAGGTCTCAAGAAACCGCCAAATTTCCCAAAGGTCTCAAGAAACCGCCAATGGTCTCAAGAAACCGCCAACTCTCCCAAAGGTCTCAAGAAACCGCCAACTATCCCAGTGGTCTCAAGAAACCGCCAACTCCCAAAGGTCCTCAAGAAACCGCCAAATCTCCCAGCCAAGAAACCGCCAAATCTCCCAAAGATCTCAAGAAACCGCCTTGACGTTTTAAGCCAGGAGAGAAAGTCCGCCAGCTGCTCCTATAGTTTCTTTTGTGAGTTTTATTGTTATTTGTGTAGAGGTAAACCAACGAGATGTTTTATAAGATTAGTGAGGCGACAGATGGTGTTATTTTGTAAACCAGTAGTCAACCTTTTTAGTGTGTGTTTGAGATTGTTATTGTTGGTATTTTTTATTGTTATTATTTTTGTTGCTATTATAGTATTAGTATGGTAGTAGTGTTATTATTAGCAGTTATTATTATTATTATTATTATTATTATTATTATTATTATTATTATTATTATTCATGTTTATTTTCGCCTCTCTCCATGATATTCCTCTTCTCCTATTTCCTTATCATCTTTACTTCCTGATAATCCTTCTTTCTTCCTTTTCATCGTCCTTATTATATTTAGATTTCATTTTTATTCCTTCCTTCCTTCCTTCCTTCCTTCCTTCCTCTTCCTTCCTTCCTTCACCTTTTATCGTTGTTGTCCTCCTTTTATGTGTTTTCTTATTCCTCTTCCTCCCACTCCGTTTCACTCTTCTTCACCCTCTTCCTCCTCCTCCTCCCTCCTCCTCCTCTTTACTCTTCTTCACCCTCTTCCTCCTCCTCCTCCCCTCCTACCTCTCCTCTTTACTCTTCTTCACCCTCTTCCTCCCTCCTCCTCCTCCTCCCTCCTACTCCTCTTTACTCTTCTTCACCCTCTTCCTCCTCCTCCTCCTCCTCCTCCCTCTCCTACCTCTCCTCTTCACTCTTCACCCTCCTCCTCCTCCTCCTCCTCCTCCTCCTCCTCCTCCTCCTCCTCCTCCTCCTCCTCTATTCCTTCTGCCAAAACCAGAAGGAAAAAACATGAAAAATTAAGATACATTAAAATAGCTACAAAAATCTTTAATTTGTTTCGAGTTTGGTAAAGAGTTTCTTCAAAATTTTTGTGATTTTGTTTTAAAAATTTATATTATGTGTGTGTGTGGAGGTCACTGCCGTTTCCCAGTCTGGCAGTAAATGTTGTCTACAAATAGTCACTCAACTCCTTTAAAAAATTCTCACACGTTTGTTATGACTTTCTCGACGACGTTCTCTCTCTCTCTCTCTCTCTCTCTCTCTCTCTCGAGGAAAGTTAGGTTTTACAAAGATCTTCCCTGTTATTACGGTGTTTTGGATGTGGAAGGCTCTCTCATACCTCTTATTATTATTATTATTATTATTATTTATTTATTTATTTATTTAATTATTTATTTATTTATTTATATATATATATATATATATATATATATATATATATATATATATATATATATATATATATATATATATATATATATATATATATACAGGTATATATATATTTTTTTTTACAGGGATTAGCCCACCCAGGCACAGGTCACTGACCCACATCAGGGCCTGGGGGGCGAAAATATAATATAATAATAATATAATAATAATAATAATAATAATAATGATAATAATAGTAATAATAATAATAATTAATAAAATAAATAATAATAATAATAATAATAATAATAATAATAATAATAATAATAATAATAATAACCATAAATAAATGCAAAAATTACAAAATAAATCAGGAATGAGAAACGACAGTATGTATGTTGTGTTGTCAATAGTAAGAGAAATAATTCAGACCCTGCAATTGTGTGTAAATAAGGCAGAAAGTCAGACCAGCAGCCTGGGACTTGGTCTCACAATTTTCGTGATGCCATATGGCAGCAGGGTCTACCATTAGACAACACATTATGCTTCCAATATCTTCCCAGGCAGTAGTACCTCCCTGTTTGATAGCTGCCTACTACCTACTTGGCCATTTTAAGTCAACAGAACAGACTCTCGTATGAATGAGTGTTGGTTTATGACCTTGTGGCCTTGTCCTTGCCCACAGCCTTCCCTCAAAAATTAATAATAAAACTTTTACGAAATATGTATCACTAATTTATCTCTTACTTAATAATATATAATTCATCTTCACAGCACTAGGAGGTATGGGTGAAGAGTGTCAGTAGGTTAGTCTAAGTGTTTTATTCTTTAAACTGATATTATATTTTTTCCAGTCATTCTTGAAACCTTTGAGAGAGTTGGCGATTTCTTGAGACCAACCTAATGCTAACCTAACCTAACCAAACCAAACTTGACGCTAACCAATCCTAATTTTTCCTGCAGTCACTGTGTCCTCTCCATTCAAACATTAATCAACTATTACTGTCAAACTTTCTAAAGAGTTCCCCAGCCAGTGATAGAATTCCCTGACACGTGAAGGTAAACAGATAAACATTCTCACTTAACATTCTGAAAGTATTCCCACTCTCTGAAAGTGATCCCAGATTGAGGGTTTCGCTGTGATTCAAGTTACTTTCACTTTTTTTCCCTTCGAGCAACTTAGCATCTAGCGACAGTAAACACGGATGGAGTGAGACTTGAGGTGAGGTGAGGCGCGTTCAGAAGCCTTATTGATGTTTAGAGAAATATGAAACGGGCGGCCACAGTTCCCTCTCTTTCCTCGCCTCTCTCTGTCCCTCCCTTGTATCCGTTACCTCCACCCTCCCTCCCCCCCTTGTATCCGTTACCTCCACTTCCCTCCTCCTCTCTCCCTCCCTTGTATCCGTTACCTCCACTTCTCCCTCTCCCTCCCTTTGTATCCGTTACTCCACTTCCCTCCTCTCTCCCTCCCTTGTATCCGTTACTTCCACTTCCTCCCTCTCTCTCCTCCCTTGTATCCGTCCTCCAGCTACCCTCCCTCCCCCTTGTATCCGTCACCCCCACCCTCCTTCCATCCTCCCTCTGACCAGTTTCCCGTGACCACAAGTCCTTCACTTTCCCTCTCCACCCACCCATATCTCCCTCACCCTCCCCACCCTAAACTTTCTCTCCTCTCTCCCCCTCACCACCAATTGGATCTGCCAGTAATTGTTTACTGAGAGCCAATGCTGTGGTTACGCTTTCATAACAGTAATTACGAAATCAAGTTAAAATCTTCAACATTCGCCTGTAGTGCGTCCGTGTGTCAAAATAAACAAACGTAACATGTGTTAATTATGACTGGACAAATTCTTCCTCTGGGTCACCTTATCTCTCTCATTTATAACGCACATCTGCAGACAAAACAACACACCACTACCTCGACACACTGTATACACCAAGCACCTCTCTGTAGACATAACACGTAAATAAAACAACGGGAAGGACTACGAGCACAAGGATATCTTAAAAGGATCTTCCATAACTGTACAACATAAACAGGCTTTATTATCTGTACCACACTTCCGCGTCCCATATTACCAGTCACACAGAAACACGTAAAAACTTGTAAGTCTGAATACAAAAAGCATCGAGGATTATCACCAGTGTATAATAGTGTAGAAGGACACCTAGCGGAGTTTCTATCTTTGTTGAGGACGAGCTAGTGGTTTTAGAGACACTCCTAATGCTAACCTAACCCAACCCCCCAAGGAAGCGATATTTCAGGGCAAATTTGTTGTTTGATTTGGGTTTTTATTCACACTTTAATTTAGGGGAATTTTCTGAACCTGATCTACATACGTCGCTGTTACCGTAATTTGTTATTATTTTTTTTTTTTTTACTGGACAAGAAAGTGAAGTGAGTGGATAGGAAATAAGTCTACAAGGGAAGTTTGTTTTTCTGCAATTTAAAATAATAAGTCAAAAATATCAGATTGTTTAATTTTAAGTTCATTTTTATTCAGTTAGGTCGTCATTACAAGTCTACATTGATCTACCATCATGTATGTAGACAATGAAGGTGTACAATTAGACAATTCAGGTATACAGGTGGTGATTGTGAGGGTGTTGGTGGTGATTGTGAGGATGTTGGTGATGGTGGTGATTGTGAAAGTGATGGTGACAGTGATGGTGATGGTGATTGAGAGGGTGATGGTAACAGTGGTGGTGTTGATTGACCCTGGATGGTGGAGAGGTGGGTCTAACTACCCTGGATGGTGGAGAGGTGGGTCTAACTACCCTGGATGGTGGAGAGGTGGGTCTAACTACCCTGGATGGTGGAGAGGTGGGCCTAACTACCCTGGATGGTGGAGAGGTGGGCCTAACTACCCTGGATGGTGGAGAGGTAGGTCTAACTACCCTGGATGATGGAGAGGTGAGTCTACCCTGGAGGGTTAGAGGGCTGTATCAAGAAAAAGGAAAAGTTGTATTAAGGATGATGAGTTCTCAGAGGAATAGGCTGGTCGTGGTGGGAAGGAAATGAAGTTTGAAGACTTGGCCAGGCTGCAGGTGACAGACGAACTTCATTAATGAGGTACTGCAGGAGGTAGTAGTGTAATGGCTCCCTCACCTCGTGGAAGCTCACTGCCTGGTCGCTTAGATACTCCGCACCCTGCACACCAAAACACAAATTATTCTACTTCAACGATTTTCAGCCAAAATTACATATATAAAAAGAGAACTTTATTTATAAATGAATGCAGATTTATATAATTAACTTATGTCTGTACACAGTTTCCGTGACGGTGGTCTGTGGGGGGGGGGGGCTACTGTACATCTCTTGTGAGATTACGTCACTAGCACGATCTGTATTCGCACAGTCACGCCTGCTGCACCTACACACACTCTCTCTCTCTCTCTCAACCTACCGTAAAGAAAACGCACTTACAAAATTAAACTGGTACTTGCTGAGCCTCTGGAGCCAGGAGTACTTGGACTGGTATTGGAGGGAGGGGTCGAGAAGGACCCAGGGTGGGTATGGCAGGAACCTGGGCCGTCCCAGACTGTCCCGCGTATCACCAGCTGTCACTCCTGATGGGGGAGGAACCCAACATCACTCCAATTAGCAATATACATTGACGATAGGCTGTCTGTAATGTCATATCGCTGATACTTAAGGTTTTAAAGGAAACAATAAGGGGGTATAAGGAGTATAAGGAGTATAAGGTGGGTAATCAGTGAAGAGTACCTGGAACTATAAAAGGATAGAGAGGCTGCTGGACAGACAGTGCTGGATAGTCATTGATATGTCTAAATTCCACAGTCCACATTTCCCCTTAGTCATGGCGATGTGTACCTACCTAAAGCCTTCATGCAGGCACCCATGTTGACATCCTCGTAGGACGTCAAGCCAGGTACATGACACTCCTTTACATTGGTATCCTGTAGCCTCCTGACTGCTTCCCGGCTCAGGACATAGCCAGCTCCCCCACTCATATACTCCAGAGCATCTTCATCCTGCTGAAAGGAGAGTGTAGTTGAGGGATATATTATATGTCTGGTCAATACTGTTGTTCAACTAACCTACTACTACTATTTTTTTCAACGTGGCCTCCACCCTCCCCCAATAGCCACACCCTCGCCGCCATTTTATTGCCTTAAAATTAAATATCCTAATACATAAGTAGCTACCCTAGCTGTGTTGAGTTAGTTGAGCGGCAGATCTATGCGGCATTCAGTGACTGTTGCTTCGTAGTCATTATCTGCGACTGTTGTTGTCTTTGGGGCCGATGCTCTCGTTCCCCTGAGGCAGAGCAATGCAGACCTAAGCAGAGAGAAGAGCAGTCGACATCTCAACCAGGCGGTAACGTAACTTCTGGTCTGCAGCTTCCGTTCAGATAGCACCTCCGAGAGTCCGGCATAGAAACATCTTGCACTTGGTCCCATCCCACCAGAGGCTGTGAACACCAGAGGAGTGAAGCTGCCCTGATCAACATTTAGAATTCCCTCCCCATATGCCCTGATCTTCTCATTCTCGTTCCTCCTCTTTGTACCATCGAGAGCTAGGTTACGGTGACATGCGGCCATGGGATAAAAAAATCATTATGCAAAGAAGCCGTGCTGTACCCACGTCCAGAATCCTCGAGCACTTACGTCCACACGGGCTTCGTTGGATGTGTTTGAAATCCTATGATGGAAATTTTCACCGTCCAATGGAAGGAGGGTCGGTTTTACACTGACATCATGAGAGATTTCCTTCAAAGTATTTGCTGTGATATCCTTTACTTCGTCGTGCCTCATGCATACGAAGCCCCCTTTCTTGCATACCATGGCGTGGTCGATGTCATAGGGAGAGCCACACACGCATTGGGAGGGCAACCCTTCTACTGGCCTACCGTTCCTTAGAGCAATGGCATTTGTAAATTCTTGTTTATTAAGACTGAACCCTTTTGCCCATCGGTAACGTTCTTAGGCAGTTCGAGGCGCCCACCTCCTGCACTATAGCTACTTTTTCTTTCAAGTTCTCTGGCATTTGCAGCATCGGTTCCTGCAGTTTATCACTTTGGGTGTACTATCGTTCTGTCGTAATGGACCCTTGAATCTTGTTTAATTCCTTGGTATCCACCTGACTTGTTGCATTCTGAGCGATTATGTGCTCACTGAGGGCTGCCGTGAGCTTGACTGTGTTCTGATGTTCGGTGGCAGCAAGCTCCTCTGGATTGGTCAATCCCATTCCTCCCAATCCCGGTGGTAGTGCAAGGATTGACCTTTCTGCTGGGGTTAAGTGAAGGTGTTTCACAAATTTTTAGAATAAAATTGACGCTGATAGCTTCTTCCAGAGGGTAGAGGAGGGGTCCGATATCAGGGATAGTGCGCATCAGGTAATTCCAGCGATGCTTGACTCCGTGGGTGAATGCCGCAAAAGCCGCATGTGGCTCTGTTTTAGCAATATCAAACAGAGCTTGGATTTCCTCCACCCACTCATTTACCTTTCCCGTTACTTACTCGGTCTTGAAGTCCTTCGTGCCGATTACTGCACCTAGGTGTCTTAGGCCATCCTTTGTTATTTTGACCTCACTTCCGCCAAACACCTCCATTGCCCGTTCATAATGTGCTGGCTTCACAATGAGGAAGGACTTGCTGGCGTTTGGGTGGTACCCTATTTGTGGACCATATGATGTTATCAAGTCCCACCACTTTTTGATGCACTCCACTTTTCCTGCTCCTGTAAGGTCGTCAGCATAGGCCACTTGCTTGACTGCGGTTGTTTTCTAATCTTATTGTGTGTTGGAGCACAGATAGGCCTAGTGCGTACATGGCCATTGCAACAGGGTCCCCTGTGTTGTTCCCTCAGTTGACTGTATGATAGTATCTTCTCTTAGAGCCTTGAAGCTTGTTATATAGAGGTCTGGTGGGTTCCTATAGGTGTTTTCAACATATCTTGTAAAGCTTGGACACTTGATCTTGATGATGTGCAGTGTAGCTTTACGGTTGAGTATGTTGAATGTGTCGGAAGCGTCGACCAGAAGTACTGCCTCACAATCACGCTGTTCAAATACGTTTCTCATGGCGTGAATGGCCGTTCCCCCTCCCCCTCCCCCCGGCCTGGTGGCCAGCACATACTTGCAGGTTTCCTGCAGCTGCCCTGAGATCATCATTTACCACCTCCATTATGCATTTTCCAATTATGCGTCTCAGCACTTCCCCCACCCCTATAGGCCTACACCCTGGATTTTTATCCAGGGGAATGAGGCGGCAGGCCGTCAGAGCATAAAGGTGATGGCAGCACGAGGTTACTAGCTTTCTTGCAAGGACGGCAGTGGCATTGCAGAGATCACTTGCTACGGCACCAAACTTGTTAGTGCTGAGGATGACTCTCCAACCGTCTGCGTCCAGACCTGATGGGCCAGTCCCTCTCTGTTTCTTCAGAGCTTTTTACCACACCATCCCTCCTGTTATTTTCTCGAACATGACAGCATTTGGAGGGATATAGTCATCCTGGAACCTGATGCCTTCCTCATCACTTGCAGGGGATGTTTTTCTTCAGTTGTTGTAATGTCTCTCTGTTTATTGGCAGCACACCTCCGGAGGATTCCTCTGTAATAGATCTTCCCGCCAAGGACACTTTTCCCACCCGCATCTTATTACCAAACTTTCTGGCAACGTCATCGGTGTTTTGCTTTAGTCTCTCCTGCTGTATTCTTGCTTCTCGTAGATCATCAAGGGGCCCCATTCTGCCACATTGTCAATCTTCTCTTCATTGCTGCCACATTTTCTTTGCACTTAGTCCTTGCATGTGTCCTCTACCAGAATAGATGGGGTATTATTGTCAGTATTTGAAGACCTAAAGGGTCAATGAAGCTGTCCTGAGTGTACTCGGTTATGAGGCGAGTCATCTCCCGTATCATCTCTTTGGTGGCCGCACTCTACTACTACTACTACTATTACTACTACTATTATTATTACTCGTAATAATGAAGATAAGATGATGATGAAAACGAAGTACAAAAACAGCAAGGAAAACAGGATGAATAAAATGAACAAAATTATGAATAGTAATGATAAATTGTAACATACAAACAGCCACCACTGTTTCCACTACCACCACTACCACCACCACCACCACCACCACCACCACCACCACCACCACTACCACCACCACTACTACCACCACCACTACCACCACACCACCACCACCACCACCACCACCACCACCACCACTACTTCTACCACTACTACTATTGCCACCACTACTGCCACGAAAACTACTACCACTACCATAATCACTGCCGCGACAACAACCATCCACCACCAGTACTTCCATCGGTGTCACGATAACTACCACCACCATCACTCCCACTACAACTACCACCATCATCACCACCACTACAACTACCACCACCACCATCATCACCACCACCACTACTACAACTACTACTACCACAACTATCCACCACTAGTACAAGTACCACCACCATCGCCACCACTCAAAATGCCATCACCACCACTCCAACTACCACCATCATCACCACCACTACAACAACCACCACCAAAAGTACCACCACCATCACAACCACCACTACTACTTTGCTATCACTCAGAATCGAGTACGACGATCATCCAGCTATGATACAATGATACGAGTTGATAAAGATGTCACCTTCGTCAGTGAGCTCTGAGGTGACTCTTGAGACCGATACGGGACCGGCAGGGCCGTCCACAGATGATGCACGTGTGGAGGACTACATCTAGTGCAAGAGGAGCGGCGGCAGTGTCTTTCTGGCGCTTGCGCTTGTCTGCCTCGGTATGCAGTCAGGCTAACTCGAAAGAATTGATACCTAATCGTGTGGTGCTCCTCCAAGCGTTACGGCATGGAGTGATCGTCTCCCAAGTGAGGGGGTCGATTTGGCACTTTTTCAAGTTTGTCTTAAGACTATCCTTATACCTTTTCAGTTGCCCGCTAGCGTTAGGTTTACTATTCGTTAGGTGACTGTAAAGTAGCTGTTTTGGCAGTCTACTGTCGTCCATGAGGGTAACATGGCTTGTCCAGAGTAGTTGTTCATGGATAATGGTAGCCTCGGTACTCCTACAGTTGGTGTCAGCGAGAATACTGGCATTTGTTCTTTTGTCTTCCCAGCGAACTCGGAGGATGGAACGTAGACTACGTTGGTGAAAGTTTTCAAGTGCCTTGAAGTGCCTCCTGTATGTGACCCATGACTCACTGCCATACAGCAGGGTGGGGAGGACCACTGCTCGATACATGTGCAGCTTTGTAGATAATTACAGCTCCCTACAGCTGAAGACACCGGTAAGGAGTCTGTCAAAGGCTTGAGATGCACATCTGATCCAATACTGAATATCTTCCTCGATGTTCGCGGAGGTGGATAGGTGTAAGCCGAGATACTAAAAGTGGGTAACATTAGAGAGGGTAGTGCCGTTAAGCTGGATGGATGGTGGAGGTGTGGCTGAACCAGGGGTAGGCTGAAAGAGAATCTGAGCGACGAGGGTGAAGTCGTCTGCATACTGCATACTCGATGTCCACCCCGCCGGTTAAATTGGCACAGGCAGCCAAGAAAATGGAGGAGAGAGTTAGCGCCAGTACACATCTTGTTTTACCCCCGTTTGGATGGGGAAGAACTCAGACTGGGTGCCATTGTGCAGGACACTGCCGTTCATGTCATCGTGAAGTTTCCTCACAATGGCGATGAATTTTGGGGGCCAGCCGAAACGGCTGCGGGTCCACCAGAGGGCTTCCCTGTTGACCGAGTCGAAGGCCTTGGTTAGGTCGATGAAGGCCATCTACAGGTCATGACGCTGTTCTCGGCACTTTTCCTGTATCTGGCGGGCAGCAAAGATCATGTCAATGGTGCCACGTGATGGTCTAAAGCCACATTGAAATTCTGGGAGGAAGTTTTCCGCTTCAGGAAAAAGTCTGTTTAGGAGGACCCGGGCGATAATCTTGCCAGCTAAGGACAGCAGCGAGATCCCGTGGTAGTTGCCACAGTCTGACCGGTCTCCCTTTTGTTCTTATAAATATTGACGATGGAGGCGTCCTTAATAGCTTGGGGGATTTCCTCCTTTTCCCATACATTCTCCAGGAGAGAGTGGAGACGGCTAGTAAGCAGAGGTCCTCCTGCTTTATACACCTCGGCTGAGATTCCATCAGGCCCTGAGGCTTTGTTATTTTTCATCTGTTTGATGACAGTAGCTACCTCAACCACCCACCCACACACACACAACAACAACATCGTTCCTGACCCTCATACGACTCACCAACACACACACACACCCTCACATGCACGCACGCACATACACGCACCCACATACACGCAGGCACGCACATACACGCAGGCACGCACATACACGCAGGCACGCACATACACGGAGGCACGCACATACACGCACGCACGCACGCACATACACGCACGCACATACACGCACGCACACATGCACTCACACGCACGCACATACACGCACGCACATACGCATTTGCTCATAAATTTTTGCCATCAGCGAGGTGTTGAAGTGTAATGACCCAGGAACACCAAAGCGAAGAAATAAAGAGCAGAAAAACCAATAAGTGAACGACTTAGATGACCAGTGTCAAGGAATAATCCAATAAGACCGGACAGCTCGTAAACTGCACTGGCTAACTATTACCCTGGAAAATGGTTTGCCAATCGATTAATATCCAGGTTCCCAATTACTACTTGGTGAAAAGCCCAGAGAGAAATGGCATAAAGAAACGTGCCCAGAGTTTGTGTGTGTGTATGTGTGCGCGCGTGCCGCCATTGGCAGTACCTCGCTCTGGCACATCATCCCAGTTTAACATAATCTTAACGGTCGCTGCTTCAGATATAATTTATAGCCACAAAATTTTTAACTTTTTTAGATAATAAATTCATATAACAGTCAAAATCCATAAGATGGTTCTAAGAGGTTCAGCCTTTATTATCGATAGGTCGAGGGAGGAGGTGGCGTTCTTCCCCTGGATGGATGATGAGGAGTACTATAACTGGCTGTCCTCAGATGAGGAATCCTCAGATGTTGATGAGGATAGATCTTCACATGTTCCTGAGGACAACAACATCTCCTCCTCCTCCACCCTCCTCCTCCTCCTCACAACGAGGCCACCTTCCTTCCGCCGTATAAGGAGCATGAGGTGCAGGAAGTCATCATGGCCGGGAAGGAATTCGTGCAAATTCTCCTTTTCCTTCGTACATCAGCTCTTTTTGGACTCTCTGCAGGCGCTCGCGCCTTCCTGTCCTCCCTGTGGGGTCTACGATGTCCCTGGACCATGAAGGAGATGAAGACACGGATAACCGCCAACCTCGATAAGTTCTTCGGGGACTACTACATCGTGTTCTACGGCCTCGTCCTGGTCTTCATGTACCAACAACTGTACACCAGCTTGTCTCTCATCTCCTGCTTCCTGGGCCTTATGCTTCTCCTCCTGTGTGGGTTCCTGAAGGTGGTGGACAGACGCGTGGGAGACCACCACATCTCCTCCTGGGTTCAGAGGGTCTTCATCTTTCACGTGATCCTCTTCGAGTCAGGGCTGGAGGGTGTGTTGATCTCCTCCATGTTGTGGGCCTTCATCGTGATCTTCCTCCACCAGGCACTTCACAACCCCAGTGTCTCGCCTCCTCATTTTTGGTGTTTCGGCTGAAGCCTAACAAACCCATTTTTACATAATTTAAACCAAAAAAGACTTCCATTTTTACATAATCATTAGGGAAAACCTCAAATTTTTTATACACACAAATACAGACGAGTTATTAAAGACCCTCTACACTGATACATACACACACACAGGCTTCACTACACCGCCTCCTTGTACAGTATTGGATCAAATATTAAAGTAGTGAGGTTCATAACGGATTGCACACAACAAATAGAACATGAGCTCAAATATTTTTACTATAGATAAAGTCAAGTTTATCTTAAGATTTATATGGCGTGATATATAGTATTCTCTCTCTCTCTCTCTCTCTCTGCAACTACAACTACCACCAGCATCATCACCACTACAACCACCATCACTATCACTACAACTACCACAATCATCATCACCACTACAACTACCACAATCGTCACTACCACTATAACTACCGCTATCACCACAACTACCACCGCCGCCATCATCACCACACCTTACCATTACCACCACTACAACTACCACTATCACCACAACTACCCAATCATCATCACCACTACACCTACCACCACCATCACCACCACTACCATCACCACAACTACAACTACCATCACCACCACTACAACTACCATCACCACCACTATATCTACCACCACCATAACTACCACTACAACTACCACCACTACAAGTACCATCACCACCACTACCACCACACACCTGCAGGGGAAACATCAGTGACAGGCCCAGGTAGAGAGGCTGAGAGGGATCCAGGAAAGACAACAGGTGACACAGGTGAGAGTAGACAATGAAGGTGTCGTCGTCAGCCTTGAGGAACCAGTCACCCCTCGACGACTCCACTGTGAGAACCCTTCAGCACTTTACCCCAGAGGTCCTCGTACCTGGGGAGGAGAGACAAGCAGTTAGGTGCATAATAGGGAGCGATGAGGCAAAGAGGGGCGTGGCAGACAGGTAAAGAGGAAGATACAGGCGGTTAAGACACGGACAGACAGATAAAGGAAGAGAATGGGTAAAGAGACAGACAGGGGATAATATGTAGACATAAGGAGAGGCGCACAGGTAGGAACCTCTACAACACCCTACCTTACGGCTAACACAAGCAGTCAGTAAACAACGGCGTTCTCCTTCACCCCATAATGACTCACAGATAACAATTACTCCAGGCAAAAGGAGGCACACCCTCTGCCAGCTGCGGTGCTCTTGTATGGTCCACAGCGAATAATTGTGCAATAAGAGATCGCCACTGTTGGAAGAGAGTGAGCTGAAGTTCGCTATGTCTTAGTTATTTCCAGATTAGAGGGAGAGGAGTGAACGCTCGTCTGGCATAGCTTTCTTAAACGGATCATTAAAGTATAAAGGGCAACGTCAAGCACTGTTGCTTTCTCGTACTGTTACTGGTTTAATCGCATGGGTCTTGTATATCATATAATAAAGGTTTATATAATATACTACGGGTCTAATATATCAGATAATGACCCGCGACTGCTAGCCAGGGAACTACAGTAGAGACAGATCAGGTACTTGAAATGAAAAAGTGAGCTTGTATTTATGTAGATGGTTAAAGTGGCGCTGTGCAGGTCTGGGTGGAGTAAAGAAGGTCAAGTGCTCGTCGTTGCTCCTGCTGGCGCTGGTTTTATGATACGAGCTTGTCAGGGATAAAACTGGAAACAAACACTTAATGTAGGACTCACCTCGCGTAGGTAGATATGATGACTTGGTCGAGATCCTGGTGTGGGGCAGATGTGAGGAAGATGGTGTCTGGGCAGGCGCTGGGGTGGCCACTCTTACCCCAGGTGGACCCCAGGTGACGGGCGCGGTCCTCGTGGTGCTGGGGGGAGGTCACCACCAGGCACACCACCCTAGGGTCTCTTCTATGAGACCACCCACCCGGGGGAGGGACGTCACGACTGTGAAAGAACTGTCCTGGTAGCAGTGGTGGCCGCCCTGGACTGGTGTGACTGTGGGAAACAGTGACAGTAAAATAAATAGCTGTAAGAACTTTATATAAGATTTGTAACAGTGAACCGATCTCTTAGCTCTGATGCTGGGCTTATGTGATCAAATAGTCTGGAAAAGTTGCTAACCTTGCTGTTACTGTTCATATAGATTAGCACTACCTATCTATACAGTGTACCACAATTAACATTATTTTTTTTTATGATAGATGATATTGTGTGATAGTTGAGGCTTAGCACGGCGCTATCCATTTGACCTATAGAGTAGCGGGGTGGTCTGTATGGTAAAGGTAGACCACGTGTTGTATCCCATCACAAGCTCAATATATTTACAATAACGAGAGAAATAAAATTAATTGCTAATTTCTTCCAAATAATCTTTACCTGGTCAGTCCCAGTCACCACATAAGCATACGTTACCCTTAGATCGTAACTCTTTTACATGCCTTCTCGGTTCATGTCCCTTTAACTGAGATGGTAGTCAAAAAAGGTGTTGTGAGTTGTGAGATGTACTGTAGGTGTCATCGCCTCAGTCTCAGGGTCATTCAGTTGTCAATACGTACCCGATGATGTAATAGCTCCTATACTTCCTGCTGTGAAGTAATATTTAACACCAAGATTTGACAATACGGAGAGGATTTTTCAACTGGACTGTTCTGTATTATAACACACTCTCTCTCTCTCTCTCTCTCTCTCTCTCCTTAGCTGTGTATAGTATCACTTACTTGATTGCGTTGAAGAATATACAAATAAGGACAAACGCAGCACCCACAGCCAACTTGCCCCTCACACTCGTCATCTTGTCAACAGATAAACAAACGTAATGGATTCAACACTCCAGCAACCTGAATTCAAATTACATAACTACGTCATTATAAACAACGATATTTTTCCTTCTCACATTCACGACATGACGACACTGTTGTCTGGATATCATATCTATTTTCTATATCAGTGAATATATATATCGTTGGTTTAAACAATCATAGCAACACCTGGATTACCTGCACGACTCGGCATTACCTGAGGGACTGAGTAGATAAGGTTGCTGCCTCCTGATAAGCCCGGAGGTGATAACGTATCTTAACTGGGGTGGGGGGAAGGGGAGGAAGAGAATAAGGGGTATGAGAGAAAGGAAAGGAGGGAAAGGAGAAAAGAGAGGAAAGGGAATTAGAAAATGGGAGGAAGAGAGGAAGGAGAAAGAGAAATTGAGAAGGGGGCCAAAGCAAGGAGAGATGGAAAGAAGGGGAAGACTTACGCTCTGTCTGTTGCTGGTTGATGAATCTTAGCCTAAAGCCAACCTTGGTGAGAATTTATTGAAGGTGTAGAAACTGCCGCCAACACAACGACCACACCCTTATTTAGTGACCTGTGTAACCCAGTGTCAAAGAGAGCCCTGGAAAACATGGTCTCCCCAACAGTGTTTATGGGTAGCAAAGAGAAGGACACTAAAGAAAGTACTCGTAGTTTAAAGATGGACCAGAATCGAAACCTGGTCGTTTTACTGGAGAGGCGGGAACACTCCAGTATTACGGATTGACCATACTAAAGAGATAATCTTCTCGCAAACTACGGAGTCGACCCTTCAACCTAGCCATTTCCTTCCTCACACACACACACACACACACACACACACACACACACTATTACTATTACTATTACTAATACTATTACTACTACTATTACTTTTTTAACGTGGCCTCCAGCTTCCCCCAATAGCCACACCTTTACCATCATTTTATTACCTTAAAATTAACTATCCTAATACATAAGTAGCTACCTGGCTGTGTTGAGTTAGTTGAGCGGCAGATCATGGCATTCAGTGACTGTTGCCTCAAAGTCGATATCTGCGATTGTTGTCGGCTTTGGGGCCGATGCTCTCGTTCCCATGATGCAAAGCAAAGCAGACCTAAGCAGAGGACAGTCGACATCTCAACCAGACTGTAACATAACTTCTGGGCTGCTGCTTCCGTTCATATAACACCTCCGCGAGTCTGGCGTAGAAGCATCTTGCACGGTCCATCACGCCAGAGGTTTGTGAATACCAGAGGAGTGAAGCTGCCTTGATCAACGTTCTGAATTCTCTCCCCATATGCCTTAATCTTATCGTTCTCGTTCCTCCTGTGTGCAGCATTGAGAGCTAGGTTGCAGTGGCATGCGACCATGGGATCAAAAATCCTTATGTCAAAAAAGCTTGCTGTCCCCACGTCCAGAATCCTCGACCACTAACGTCCACACGGACTTTGTTGAATTTATTTGAAGTCCTGTGACGGAGGTTCTCACCTTCCAATGGAAAGAGGGGCGGTTCCACCATGACATCGTGGCATAGTTCCCTCCGTAGATTTGCTGTTAGATCAGTTACTTCCTCACGCACACCATGGCGTGGTCGATGTCATAAGATGAGCCGCACACGCATTGGGAGGGCAAACCTTCTACTGGCCTACCGTACCTTAGAGCAATGGCATCTGTGAATTCTTGTTTATTGAGACTACTACTTTGCTGTCGCTCGGAATCGAGTACGACGATCATCCAGCTATGATACAATGATATGAGATATAAGGGATGTCACCTTCATTGGTGAGTTTTGAGGTGACTAAAGAGGCCGAAACAGGACCGGCAGAGTCGTTCACAGATCTTGCACATTTGGTACGGGAGGGGCGGCGGCAGCGTCTTGCTGGCTCTTGTCTGCCTCCATACAGTCGGGCTACACACACACACGCACACATTCGTAGCAACAAGCACGCAGAACTAAATGTCAGAATAGGCTCCTGTATGTGAGAGCGAGGACGACCTAAGTGTGGACAGCGTACCAGCATTATGTACAGTATACTGCTTGTGAAGCCATCGTCTTATCCATATGTATATACATACATTTAGAGACAGATTGATAAAGAGACGAGCAGATAAACACATAACAGGACACACCCAGACACACCCAGAAGTGCTGCTCTAAATAAGGTTTTATGGTGCAACACAACACCATGATGTGGGCGGGGCTGCAAGGCCTGTTCCAACCACCCACTCCAGTCTCCCGGTCCTTCTCACCTCCTCCCATTACAGTTACAAAAATAAAAAGCCACTCAACAACCCCATGCCCCCAGCAGGTCTACCACCACCTGCTTCAAGACGAACCTTCAGGAAGGTAAACCAGACCAGGTATAAGTGGCCTTCAAGACTAAAATGCCACATCTTGAAACTTTTGCGACAAAGAAGATTCTATAAACCTTTTTTTTTTGTAACAGAGAGACGTGTCCCATAATCCTCTCTCCATCAAGTAGACTCATGAAAGTCATTTACAAAAAAGAGATATTCTGAATAATTCTTCTTCAGTAGATACAAGTCCCCGGCACATGTTGGGACAATAAGACACATTCTTAAGTGTTTTAGAAAAGAAAGCTCAGTCCCTACCGTTCTTTTAGGGCGATGATCGTCCTCCTCAATTGATTCATGGATAAGAGAATATAAAAAACTTGTAATTATTGCCAATCTTCACACACAAAATAAAGAAACACACACACACACACACACACACACACACACGTAAACTTTGAAGACTTACACTTATGTCTTGAAGTTGTTCAAAGACGCAAGTGTTTAATGCTCTATCTTAGTTCACTTCACCGAGATGGGTAGACGGATACAAGTCGTTATATATATATATATATATATATATATATATATATATATATATATATATATATATATATATATATATATATATATATATATATATATATATATATATATATATATATATTATTATTTTTTTTTTTTTTTATATACATGCTTCCATGTTATTCCATATTATTCCTGTAATGATGTGTTATATTTATTATTATATAATCTAGTCACCTTACCTGTATGAAGGTTTTAACTGTTATTATTTGTTCAAGCCCATCTTATTTCTTATTTAGTATTGTAACAAGCTTTCTTTTCCTCTAACGACCATCTGCAACGTTAAACGACCCACCGCAGGTTTTGGGCCGAATTGGCCCTATATATAGTCCACCAACTGATTCAGTCAGTCCTCCTTGTCATTCAGTTCACATCCTTTGAGTGACACTCGTCACCTGTTACTTATACTTAGTTTATTTGTGTTGTTCCTGTCGCCACCAATGTGGTATATCTATATGAGTACCTATTTATGTCTCTATTTATGTCCATCAGTATTTGCTTAGTTACATTTAAGTAATTCAGTGTTGTTTCACGTTAGTTAATTTCAGTGTTAGTTACACATTTTTATGTAGTGTTAACGTAATCCAATGCTTTATTTTTATTCTTTTGATGTTTCGATGTTTAGTATCATTTGTGTCTTAAAAGTTTCAATGGTGAATCAATTTGTTGTGACAGCCTACGAGGCTCTTTATTGTGTTAATATTTAATTAATCAAATTCTTAAAGGTTTACTTTATTTATTTTTATTCCCTTTTAATTTACTTCACTTTTTTGTTTGGTTACGCCTAGAACCTGCATATTTAAGTTAATTACGAGACGGCGTAACAATATATATATATATATATATATATATATATATATATATATATATATATATATATATATATCGTCCTTAGCTTACTCGTATTCTTGTAGTATATTTGTCTTTTCATTTCTCCAACTCCTCTGAATCACTGCTGAGTGTCCCAGCTTGTTTATAAACCTCATTAAGTATTTTTGCTTAACATATATGATTATTGTATATCAATAATAATAATAATAATAATAATTAACGGTTTATTGAAAGAGCTTGGCAGCCAGAAGGCTGAAAATATACAGTTACATAATTGGGGAATGGGTTTCGAATTACAAATAATATACAAGTAACATAAGTGACACAAATAAGACATATAATAACTAGATGGGGAAAAGCTCAAACTACAGTTCATTTCAACATAGTGACAGTGCAAGGAGTAGTGTTTACTGAGATTGAATACACTGGTTTATTACAAGTTATTGATAATTTTACAATGGTTGGGACTGGGCTGTTCTTATAGCGATCAGTTCGTGCACTTATGGGCTGGATGCGGTTGTGGTGTCAAACAGCAATTCTCGGGCTAGGGATCTCAGGTGGTAGTAGGAGCCGGTGTCGAGGATGGTGCAGAAGTTTCTTACCAAATTTGCAGATGAGGTCGTGGTGATGGTCAGTGAGAGTCGAAAGGGTCAGTGTGTTGAGCGCTTCTTGATATGTGGAGTAGGAAGGGGAGAGAGTAATCTTGCATGCCCTCTTTTGCACTTTTTCTAGGTGTTTACGTTGTGGCATTTAGGGAGGAAGACCAGGTGGGGGAGGCATAGGTGAGCTTGGGAAGTATGAATGTTGAGTAAATACTGAGGAGCTCGGATGCAGGAACTCCGAGGAACTTGAGTCGGCGGAGGAAGTGGAGACGGAAACTGGAGGATTTGACAACTTCACTGACGTGTGGTTTCCAATTTAGTTTGTTGTCTATGGTGACGCCGAGGAGCTTAGTGGAATCTACAACCTGGAGTGTGTTCGGACCTAATTTAATGGAAGGGGGTGGGACAATGTCGGAGGAGAGGTTGATGTACATAACCGTGGTCTTGGTATGGTTGATGGTGACGTGGTTGTTGGTGGCCCAGTTTTGGAGACTGTTCAATAAATCCTGAAGGGCGGTATAGTCGGGAGCAGAATTGTTGACGCTGATCCCAATGGTGGAGTCGTCGACATATTTCCACCGAGCGGGGGTTTCTCTTAGGGCATCATTGATAAGCATAACGAAGCAGAGTGGTCCCATCTTGGTGCCTTGGGGACGCCACAGGTGAGTGACTGAAAGGTGGAGACAGCCCCTCGGAAGCGTACAGCTTGGCGTCGGTCACTGAGGAAGTCTAGTTCCTTCCGGTGCATCATAGACCTTCCTTGCATTATCCTTGTAAATCTTTTATTATTCTACACCTTCCGTCATTACTAAACAGACTTATTTCTTATGTAAATCTTCGTAAAACTGAGCTGTGTATGACAGAGCATCCCACCCCCTGGTGTATCAGTGGACAATGTAACTCGGTGTGTGTATTTGCGTGTGGCACTCACCAGTGTTCTAAAATGAGTCGACTCCTTATCCTCAGAAAAGCTGGCGTGGACGAAATAATTTTGGCTAGAACCGACGGCATAGCCTTTTCTACATACAGTTCAGAGACGGGTGTTCTAAGGAGGTTCATTCACTTATCTGTAGTTGTTGTCTCTCTCTCTCTTAATTATATTTGTATTTTATTTAATTTTTTTTCCAACATTTCCTTTCTTCGTCATTAATAGTTACATATTCACCTTTGCGTCATTATACATGTGTCGTCCGCCTGCACTACAGAACGATCACTTAACAACAATCGAGTAGTGAATTTGAAAATAAGTCTTTTTACATACTTACATTGATCAGTTGGATTATAATATTAGTATTCCTTTACCAGGTGATGATAACCTTGTATATATGACCTTGAGTTAAACAGATTAGATTATATAACAACTCCAATTTGTAACTGTTTTTATTTCTCATATTATTCAGCTGCTTGAGATAAACTCTAGAGAAACACATTTTCTTATGTATTATATTCCCGTTAAGATCTGGTACACTATACTTACTGTGCTTAATGTTCCTCAACACAGGTGACGCTTAAAATTTGTAGTTATAGTTTTTGTCTTTTTTTCGTGGATGCTTCAATGCTTGTGACAGTAACTGGGCAGGCGATAGCAGAACTAAAAAGCAGACTGTCCGCTATGATGGGCGTTGCCTAGGTGGATCTTGCTGTGCCTGGCGACCTTGTGGCTGGCTGGTCGATATTATTATTTGATAAAGAAAAAATCCGATTTGCAACTACAGTAATTCATTCAGTACCTGACACCTCTCTCAAATGGAAGACACCATTATTTATATAACCACACATGATGATGAGCTTTCCTGTAATATTATACCTGTATATATACTCGTTTGTGTATATATATAACACAGAGACAAGGGGATGATAGTTAGGAAGAAGGGCAAGATGTGATCGACTCGTTCTTGCGAGATTCTTGCCTTACATGCTGGAGATGAAGGCGTGTCATGGAGGACCCGGACCCTGATTTCCCTGAAAACATCCAGGCTGAGAGGGAGGGCGGGTTTTTGTTTTTGTTTTTTTTTGAAGGACAGGTTGAACCTTGAAGGACACGAGCAGTTCATATATATATATAGGCTGGGAGGTGTGTTCAACAGCACACAACTCTACCATCTTCCTCCTGCAGTAGTGACACACACCTTCAGTCATGAGGTTCTTGGTAAGTAATACGAGAACAGCGGCGCCTTACATACTGTACTGCATCAGTCTCGACCATGTGGGCCTCAGACCATTCTTAACTAGACTTCGACTACAGTGCTTATAATTTTTGTTGATAATTTTACATATTTTATAATTATATATATATATATATATATATATATATATATATATATATATATATATATATATATATATATATATATATATATATATATATATATATATATATATATATATATATATATATATGTGTGTGTGTGTGTGTTTATTTATTTATTTATTTATTTATTAATAATGTTGCGTAAATTCAAACACGTTAAATATTTCGTAAGCGACTGTAAACACAGTTGATCATGTTACGAACCCCTTCTCGCCGCTTACCAGCTTCCACCTCTGGTTACCAGCTTCCACCTCTGGTTACCAGCGGCCAGGTCTTCTCTGCAGAAGCAGTATACACGTATAATGGTTGCCCCTCGTGTAACGAGGATGGCCGACCCAAGGGCCACCTAGGCGTGAATTTGTTTAAGGTGTAGAAGCTGTCGCCAACACAACAACCACACCCTGAGTTAACGAGCTGTGTGACCCAGTGTCAAGGAATAGTTCTGAGAAGACCGGACAACTCCAATGTCTAATCATCACCCCGGAACATGATCTGCAAATCGATTAACATCCAGGTCCCCAATTACTGCTGGGTAGACAGAGGCAAATGGCGTAAAGAAACTTGCCCATAGTTTCACCTTGCCCGGGAACCATGCCCGGGTCCGTTCGCTTGCGAGGCGAGCATGCTGACCATTACACTACAGGTATCACAAGTTTCGTCGAATTACCACTAGCTGTTCCACCAGTCTCCGGAGTCTCCGGTAATTTCCCGATGATCGGTCTCAGTGTACAGACGAACAACAGGCAGGTAGATTTCCAGCAGGTCACAGAAACACACTTGTGAACTGTAGTCTCCTTTAATAATTTAATCAATGTCGTCACAAAATGCTCACCGGGTAGTCCTTACAATTGGACTTCTCACCTCGAATATATATAGTTAGCACGCTACTAGTGTGCAATTCCTTCGTCTTTCCACTTTATATAGCTCACAATAATTCCCCAATACTTGCAAACCAACTATCTTTAGCTGTCACCAAATTTTGACTTGACATTCTGGGCAGAAACAGGCGACTACTTCCCCTAATTGGTTGGTTGGTTGCTTTGTTATGCTGGCCGCCAACATCATAGGTCATTACGGCCGTAGTCTTGTTGTTCTTGAGTTATCGTTCTCTACCTTTTGTTCTTTTTTTCTTCTGGACAGTCCACTTTAGATCTTGTTGCTCATAAATATGCTGTTCTTGGTCTTCTTCTTCGTCTACTTGTTTTCCTCGTCTCCATGTTTTTTTATATTTCTTTGTTATCTTGTTTCTTCTGTTCCTTCTCTTAATTCTTTGTTCTTCTTTTCTTCTTTCTTTACATTAAGGATAGCCTCCATATACCTCATTTTTTCTCGTATCGCAGCTTGGCTACCTTACACTCCTCCCTCCACTTGGGACATTCCCGGTCGAAGGAGGAATGAGGGCTGCCACAAACTGCACACTTTTTTACTTGTTGCTTGACACGTGGTATCCTGGTGCTGGTGCCCGGTCGTCCCGCACATGGGGCAAACCTCCCGAGCCCGGCATTTCTTGGCAGTGTGGCCGTAGCGCTGACAGTGGTAGCACCGCGTTGGCCTTGGGATGTATGGTTTTACTGAAACGGTGTACCATCCCAGTAAAACCCTTTTGGGAAGTGCCCTGAGGAAACCGACCATGGCGAAGATGGCTTTTCCGTCGGGTCCGACAGCTTCCTCTGAACTATCCACTCCCCGATGAGTTTTTGTAGTTCTTGGCGCTCAAGATGTTCAATATCGGCGAGGGAGATGACCCCCCACACTGCGTTGTCACAAAGTCCAGCGGTCACCTTAAGTAGCACATCGATATTATTTCAGTTGTTCGGTCTGCCCCCATTCACCGAAGGTAACCATATGGTTACCCATTCGGCCGGCGGACGATCTTCATTATCCCCTCTATGCGATAACCAATAAAGTAGTTCTTCAGGACGAGGAGGCTCAGTTTCTCGGGAGGGGTTGAAGGTGGAGGAAGTAACCTTACGGTCTTCACCCCCTGCCACAGAAAACTCTGGCTCTGGTTTTCTCTCGTCTGAGGTCTTGTAGGTCGGACCGAGATACGCCTGGAGAGTTCTAGAATGATCTAGGTTTACAAACTTAAGTATATCATAACAAAATTGATGCAATACATTCTATAAAACTCTTACATAGGTAAGATATCAATATATACAAAACATATGGCAAAATTTTCCAAAACAACTGCTGCTTGGAATAGAAAATAATAAAAATCTCCTAGTTCACAAAAAATTTAATCCTAAATTATGCCTCGGCATAACAATAAATTAAAACATAGGGCCTTTAAGGGTAAAACTTGCATCATACAGTACATGTAGACTTTTTAGTACTTAATAACTCCATCAACGCTGATTTTTTTTTTTTGGCCGCAATACCATTAAAGGTATATGCTGATAACCACAAGGAAAGAAGAAAACACGAAGTTCCCAAGCGCTTTCGTGTGTAATGAAAAATATCAATCAGAAACTAACTGGCGTGAGCACACTATATTTATCTATTTCAGTACTGTATATCATAACATTCTTTTTACTTATTTAAGCTGGTCAAATAAATCTTTGCTGAAAAAACTATAATATGCTTTTTGTATCTGGACAGGTTGTGATAGCAGTCATGGTGGCTGCTGTGGGTGCTTTCCCTTCCAACGCAGGCTACGTGCTCCCTGCTGGTAACATCGGCTACTCCGGCATTGTGCGAACTGACGGCACAATTGAAGCCTTCCCTGGAGACTTTTCCCATGACATTGTGCTAATCGGACCCTCCGGCATCGTGACCAAGTCCGGCAAAAACGTGCAGCTCGACAGGAACCTCCACAGGACTAAGCGTTCTGCTGGTTTCGTTCGACCCGAGGGTAGTGTCGGCTACTCCGGCATTGTGCGAACTGACGGCACAATTGAAGCCTTCCCTGGAGACTTTTCCTTTGACATTGTGCTAATCGGACCCTCCGGCATCGTGACCAAGTCCGGCAAAAACGTGCAGCTCGACAGGAACCTCCACAGGACTAAGCGTTCTGCTGGTTTCGTTCGACCCGAGGGTAGTGTCGGCTACTCCGGCATTGTGCGAACTGACGGCACAATTGAAGCCTTCCCTGGAGACTTTTCCTATGACATTGTGCTAATCGGACCCTCCGGCATCGTGACCAAGTCCGGCAAAAACGTGCAGCTCGACAGGAACCTTCATCGCGTCTAATAACATCTAATCAACCTCTCCTGAATGACGATTCCCTGGGGTCACCAGGTGTAGCTCAAGCATCCCCCAATAATACCATCATTTGCGAGTGAACCAGCGTATTTATCCACATGCTGGTCTGCTTCCTTGCTCACACCTTTGTCCTTAATACACTTACTGAGACTTCCCTTTTCAAGAATCATAACATTCTCTTCCAACATTGGATAGACCAACCGCCTGAACGGCTAGTAAGCTGGTAAGAGGCGAAAATAATAAGGAAAAAAACATTTTCTTAAATCCCTCTGACACCGAAAGTTGGGTTGTATCTGTAATGTGTATGCGCAATTGTTGATATTTAGTTAACTTTATGAACAAATAAACCTGGTCAAGTATCCACCAGCAGCAAAGCAACATTATAAACTCAGCTACTCAGCTGCTTTATTCTTGTAACATATACATTTTATTTTACTTTTCTTGCCACTTGTTTTTTTTTTTTTGTTCAGAGAGAAATAAGCTTTGCTACGAAGTGTCTTCTTTTGTCCAGTGATATATATCCTGGAGAATAAACAGTGCAATGTACATTCGTTTTTTCCTGTACCGATATTTAATTTCCCGTAACAACTGGTCCTTATTTTTTCTGAAAAAAAAACACCTTAGTTGTTGAATTAAGGTCAACAGCTTATTTAGAGCAGAGTCTCTTTTTCCCACCAAGTCATCCTCGCCTCAAGTAGTCACTGCCATTCGGTAAAGTTTCTCTCAATCTAATCTTCTTGTGATCTCAATAGGTCTCTAGCTAATTCTGAATCACACACAAAAGCTCAGTTTATATTTCACATAATTTTCAGTAAACAAACAACAGCGTAGGTACTGTACACAGAGATTTTCAATATGATAAACACATAGGTATCAACTTGTGCACGTACACTAAGTAAAGGCACTTCCTCATTACACGAGGTTCACCACTCTTCATAATACTGGATGATTTTATCACATAAAGAAGGGCGTTAGGCGCGTGGGTCGGGTCAAGTTGTTGAGGGGCAGGAACTGGACAGTGATTACATAAGATCATCATGTTCTGGGTCTATTAACCGCTGATTCTGCCTGGGTTAATGAGGCCGGAACATGTATATTATATAGGGTTTTAGTAGCGAAACCCAATTGTCTGTTATCCATTTATTCAGGAACTATCTAGGATACAGTTCCAAGTGTATATCACCGTAACTTATCACTGTAGCTATAAGTGTTAAGAGGAGGACGGAGGCTATGTTAAATAGCCCTGCTAAATACGTCCGGTTGGTGTGAGGGGTTGAGTAACAATGCCGCAGGCAGCCGGCTTCTAAATGCTGACCTTAACAGTCACTAAGCCGCGCCTCAAGGATCCTACCGATCACGTGATATGACCATGTCACCTCTTGGCCAGTGGAAAGTTACAGGGGGTGATATGATTATATAAACCCAATGTACTGCCCTGACATTTATATAAAGACTAAGGGGCTGATACAATCAAGAGCTTCTTAATGATGTGAAAGTGTAAATCGGTGTAGGATTTCTAATGCTAGACACGATTGTATTTTTGAAAACTCAATCTCCACCGAGTTGTAGGTACAGCCCAGGCCAAGAGGCCTACAAGCACAAAATCAATGCCATATGACAAAGCTTTTTTTTTTTACGGAGTTGTGGTCACGGCTGTGATAAAGGCCAACCAGGGAGTGTAGTACTGTGCCTTTAGTTAAATCAGTTCATAATGTCATTAGTGACCGCGGAAGAGGTTGTAAATAACTTAAAGTGAATACAAACTGGCAAGCAAGCTGGAACGACACCACTGCCAGCTGAAACCACAGAGACTTTAAATTTTATTTTGTTTGTGTGCTTTCTCATGGACTGAAACTATGATATTCAGCGTAGTGTCTGCGTTCTTGTGCCTTAATGAGTCAGGCCAGTGGGTACCCCTCATCTCTTCCCTCGTCCCGTTGTAATTTCCCTTGTAATATTTGCACCTTGGCCTGGCCTTATCTTGAACTAGGTAACAGTTAAATCTGAATGACAACACTATATGGTGACTAGTGCCAACTGGGGCAAGGTGTTCCAGTTTGGCCACCATACCCTCCTTGTTTGTTATGATGAGGTCTAGTGGCTTGGGTGTTTGCTCCCCTCTGTAATGTGTTGGGTCTCTAACATGTTGGAACAGAAAATTATATCTCAGAGCTTCTACGAAAAGAGTAACAGGGTTATTCAAGTCATTTGGGGTGAACTCGTTTCTCCAGTCGATGTCGCCATAGTTAAAGTCCCCCATGATAGGGAGGTGGCTAGGGTCGAGCATCGCCGCGTTGTCTATTAAGGCTCTTAAGTTCCTTTTATTTAGTGGGCCACAGTTTGGGGATCTGTAGATACACCTGACAATAAGTAAGTCCCTTTCCTTTAGTTTAATTTTACACCACTTGGACTCTTCAAAAACATCCTCTCCCTGTACCCTCGCCTGGCTGGCTCTAAGGTCTTGCCTAGCAGATAACCACACCCCTCTTGCAAGTCTCTTGAGAAAGGTTCGTAAATGGGTCATATCCAGCAATTCTAAACTCACTTTCCTCTGGGTCGATTCTCCTGTTCTTGCACAACAGTTCGACGACTCCCACAATATCTCCCCTCCAGTCCCTCACCCCCTCCAGTCCCTCACTCACGGCCTCAAAGGAGCCTCTGTCAGGGTCCTACGTCTCATGTACATTGCCATCGTCAGAGCTGTCATAGATTATTCCTCTCCTGTCCTTGTAGTTGCCTCCCAGCGTGAGAAACAAAGCATAGAGAAAATCCAAAACAGAGCGATGAGACTCATCCACGGCTGCCCTATGACCACCAGAATAGAAGTTATGCAGCGCGAACTAATCCTGCTTCCCGTCTGCGATCGAATTACTGCTCTCAATGCCATCCTTGGTGTTAAACTTCTTCGCAGTGAGCAACCGGCTCCCCTGTCGCGCTCACTGAACTCACATCTTAACACCCTCCTGCGCCGGCCTGTCCCCATTACTTTCCCCCCTCCCTCTCAACTCTGGCCCGTCCACACTGCTGCTGACATCCTGCGTTATCACCTCTACACCCCCTCGACCTCTCTCCCTCCCGAGTACACTCATCCGCCTCTACCACCGTGGACCTCCCCGTGTGTTGATGTTGTCGTCCACACCTTCCCTGGTCGTAAATCCACCCAACTGAGGTATATGCTCAAACTTAACTGCCTTGAGCAGATTAATGATGTCGCTTCCTCTCTAAAGACCTCCCACCCTCTTATCCTCGTCTACTGTGATGGGTCTGTTACCACACTGGGCAGCGCTGGGGCAGCTGCGTGGATTCCTGAGCGCCAGGCCTGCAGGAAAATCAGGGTCCACGACTGGGCCTCCTCCACTGATGCTGAAAGCATAGCCATCCTCGCGGGCATTCATGAGGGGGCGACCTATGCTCGCACTGAACGCCGGAACCTCCTTATAATCAGTGACAGCACTTCTGCGCTAGCGAGGCTCAAATTACCCTCCCCCTCCTCCCCTGCCGCCCAACACACCCTAGCCGCCGTTGCCGGGCTAGAACAAACTGATGACATCCGTGTCAAGTTTCTTTGGATCCCGTCACATATAGGAATAACTGCCTGTGACACTGTTGATTGGCTTGCCAAAGAAGCTACACAAGAAGAAGATATTGAAGCCACTCTCGCCCTCTCCCTGAATCATCTCAAATCTCGCATACACGCCACACAACGAGAGGCATTCAACGAAAATTGGATACACCTGAAACAACGGGATAGCATCACACTATGCCACTATGACGCTGTAACCGGTGACGACAACCGCCACTACAAAGAATATAAATCCCTGACTCGATCTCAACAGCTTATATACATGAGACTGCGCCTAGGGTACAGGTACCTATGGGAGTACATTGGCAACCCTGAGCCTCACCGCACTGTTTGTAAACTTTGTGGCCAACCCGACTCTCACACCCTCTCTCACTACATCCTCACTTGCCCTATGACCTCCTCCTATAGGTCCCCAGCCGTTACCAACACCTCTTCCCTCCCAGACCAGATATCCCTCCTCCTAGTCACAGGCCTGGCATTTGACATTATTAGGGACCTGCCACTCTTTGCCATAAACAGATAAAATGTACCGGGAACTTTCCCCCCACACACTCATCATTCTCTCACTTTATGTAACTTGACAAAACCTGTGACCCTTCAGGCTTTTACGCCCTTAATGTACGAGTCATAAAGGCAAGTATGAACTTTTCATACTTCCCTGTTGGGCGCTGTAAACGCTTCTGCGCTTCACCTTGCACAGGATGTAAGGGGGTGCCCAATAAACTAGCCCCCTCGGGGGCAAATCTGAAATCTGAAAAATCTCCCACAATATCTAGTTGGTGTACCTTCAGTAGTGTTTCAAACTCCTCTCTCTTATCAAGGAACGTGTCAGTATTAGAGTACATGACATTCAAGCCCGAATTTGTTCTCGGTAATGTCTCTTTGTGTTATCACTGTGTACACTGTATCTCCCTGTGAATGATGTATTGTGGGCACAGTTTCAGTCCATGAGAAAGCACACAAACAAAATAAATTTTAAAGTCTCTGTGGCACCTATATCACGACTTGGTTTCAGCTGGCAGTGGTGCCTTTCCAGCTTGCTTGCCAATTTGGATTCACTTTAAGTTATTTACAATTTCTTCCGTCACTGATGACACTATGAACTGATTTAACTCCCTGGTTGGTCTTTATCACAGCCGTGACCACAACTCCGTAAAAATATAAAATAAAAGCCTTGTCATATGGCAATGATTTTGTGGTTGTAGGCCTCTTGGTGGAACTGTACATAGTTACCTGCAGCTGGCGGACGTCCACTCCACAGGGGGTCACAGCTCAAGGTTCAATAAGCCACAAGGATAAGTAAAGTAAATCAAAAGGGATAACAAGATTATATTTTTAAGTCAGCCCTAAAACGTTTATCAAAGAAGACGATATAAGTAAATGTTACAAAGAAAACTTGTGTTATAATATTAACTTCAACCGCCTGCTATGCAAGTAAATCACTGTTGGTGTGTGTGTGATCTAGGTATATGCTAATAACCATAAGGAAAGAAGAAAACACGAAGTTCCCAAGGGCTTTCGTGTAATTCACATCTTCAGGGGTGAGTACAGACTAGAGAGAGAAATACAAACCAAGGTGCATATATACAGAGGAGGGTGAGACCAGGTCCACATTGTGTCCTCCCCAACTTTTTAAAGCTGGGGAGGACACGAGTTTTGTGGCATCCCACAAGGTGTCTCTGTTGTCCCAGGCAGCGGGGCACCTCTAGCACTCCACCTCAGTCTGGGATAAACATTCATCCGTCTCGCGTGTGCTACTCTGTTCTCTTAACAACTGTGCTCCTCATGCTTGTTATGGCTCCCAAACGCCCTCAACCACTTTCATCCAGCTGCGGGAAGGTGCCCAAACAAGCGAAGGGGAAAAAGAAAGTCATGACCCTTGTGGACAAGATACAACTGCTGGACAAACTTAGGAGTGGCCAGAGTTTTGCCGTAGTGGCCACGAGTATGGCATCAATGAGTCTACTGTCAGCTACATCAAGAAGAAAGAGGGGAGATGCACAATGCAGTTGCCCTAGGTACCGTACCCTCTCTTCTGCCAAGGTATCTGCTAATGTGAGGGATACAGCTATGGTTAAGATGGAGAAAGCTCTTATCGTCTTGATTGAGGACTTTAACCGCCGTTACATCCCTCTCAGTAAGAAGTTTATCCATGGCAAAGCCAAGGTCCTGTATGACCGATTCCATGCTGAGGAAGGTGATGTTAATGCTTTTTTTTTTTTACGTACATTAACCTCCCCTCCTCCGTCATCAAATGATATTCGAGGATTTGGAAATTCACGGGTGTTTCGAGACCCAAATTCCTGTAAATTTTAAGGGCATGCTGTATTTTTTATTTTAGCCTATCCTTCAATCATAAAGTACTTGTTAATGGGCATGGAAGAAGAGGGAAATAATGGGGTAAAACACTGCGAGCACTGATGATATGCCAGTATTTTCACATTTCCGCATCCGTTGCAGGCGAAGAAATACAATATTTACTGTAATTGTGGTGCGATCGAATCTTTCATGGCGACCATGTTTTAGTTCACATTATCTGCTATGTGGGAGTGTCTGCTGTCTTTGTTTACATGTCAAGAAATGAATGACGATCTCATTTGGCGTGTTTAATATGATTTATATTAGATTAACATTTTTTATTTTTTCTCGAGCTGTTTGGATGACAGTAAGAAAATTGAAATGACAATGTACAGGTTACGAATTGGAGTGAGGTTAGGTGGGTAAGGTCAGGTTCTAATAGGTTCTGTACATTCTCACTTCCATTTTCATGTTTAGTATCATGCAAATAATATCTCCAGTAATTTTGGTTCAAATCCATTAGTTATTTCTGGTGCTTACGGTCTCCTCCACCTTCACCTGTATGTCAGTGGGAAGTTTCATCTTTTTCAGGCTTTCTTCATAGCTTAGACCTTTAAATGTTGGCACTAGCCTGGTGGCTACATCTACATCTTATACTAGATATGGTGGATATTGGGTAAAGATTCGGTAGCGTACATAATGGGAAATCATGGTAAAGATTCAGGTAAAGGTGTAGGAGACTGTTAACACCTGAACGTATTTATATATTTAGTTCATGTTTTCCACATTTGTTCTTTGGATGATGTTAATGAGTAAAATCAATACGACTACTGTTTATTTTAATTATAAGTATTATTTTAATTTCCTGGGCAGGGCATGAGAGATGAAGGAAATTGTGTGTAAAAGCATAGTGAAAAACTGATCATATGACACTTAAATCAAGCCTCTACATGCTTTGTATATGAAGAAATGTAATACTTATTTATCGTAAATATTCCGCCGACAATTCTGGCCTGTCGGCGTGTGTTTTCCTCTGATCGTAAAATAATAAAACCTGATTCCACTCTATTAAATTGTCATTAAATGACGGAGCCTTTTTTTCTCTTCTCTTTATTATGGGTTTTGATTTATTTCCAATACCTATTGATTAGTGTCGGTTATTAAGTGAACTGTATGTTCGTATCCTTATTGTTCTTCCTCAAGAAGGAGGACTTAAGGAAAAGTCATATTGTTTTTCAGTGGTGTCCTTATCACATTGGGTTCGGTATCATATTACAAGTTATCTGTGCTAGTGGAGGATGAAGACCATCTCCAAGAGTTCATCTGTCAACATTGACTGATTAGCAAGATGTGCAAGTGCTCAAAATGTGGCAGAGACCATCTCTGTCACCTTTGCCAAGATTCTTTTATGCCCAACAGGAAATTTTATTGCTAAAATAGTGTTTTCTTATGACCCCATTAACACTAGTAACGACAATGTATCCTTTCAGAGTGAGCAGGGCTTAGAAGATGAAGGAAAATGCAGGGTTAAAAAAAAAATAAAGAAATAAAAACTTTGAGAACAGGACCTAACCTTTCCTAACTTGGAAGGTTCTAATCCTATAAACCCTTCCTTTATTTAACTGGTGGCAGGAAAAAGGTAATTCTTTCTTCTTATTTTTCGAGTCTCTGGTGTTTAGGTCATGGAGGAGCTATACTTTCTAAATCTGTTGTTATACCTTTTACAATTTTTCACTTTTCAGATTCATCCTACAACTTGACCTTTATAAACCATGGATGCTACAGACACAGAGGAATTTTCTGATGGTGACAGTGCAGGAGGTGGAGATATCAGGAATAGATCTTTAAGCATGTCTGAGAGTCATTGCTCAGATTTTTCTGATGCCGATAATACAGACTCCAGAGATGTGAGTGATTCACAGCTGACTCCTCTAGGGAGTGATCCTCTTGCTCAACTCTTGACCACCCCTGACCATGTAGGTGTGTTTTAAGGATTATATGTTTAATGTTAAGATAATTGTGCACCACAGTACATGCATTTAGATTTTCCTTCTTAACTTATGTGTCACTTCCTTAGTGATCTTCCCTGTGGATAGTGACATAGAGAGATGCCCAGGTTATCCTGTACAGTACAGTATCTGCATGATTCTTTATCCATCTCCCCTTCCCACACCCTCTCTGTGTAATTTAGATACTACAGTATATTTATTGTGAAGACAACAGATGCTTTTTTATTTGTGTGTGTGTGAATTGTGAACATATTTATCATTATATATCTTTGTGTTTCCTATGACCACAGGCCGAGACAGTACAACACCAGGCAGGGACACTCACACACCTACTCAAGAAACCACACCTCCAGGTCAGTGTCAGTGTAAAGAGGGTAGAACTTTATTTGTAATATATCATATGGCTTGTAGTAAATTTTTTACACACACACACACTGATTAATTAATTTGTTTACTGGAATAATGGAAGCTTACCTTCTCCTACACCCTCTCCTATGAAATTTCTTTTCTCCTAACAGTACTTCCAGATACAGTTCTGTACTTAGCCTATTGTAGGATGGGGTTATGAATCTTTAATGACATTGTAAGAAGACTTCAACCAGTTGATTGTTGCTACATTGAGGCATTAACTCAAAAGTACAGTACAGTATAAGTAAAACACAATATCTTGTGGTAGTTGTGCCGGATGTATATTTGCTCTGCTTGTTTAAGCAGCTCTGACTGTGTTCCAAGGCTCAGTCATATGTCTCAACCTAAAAGCACAGGAACCAATTCAACATGCCATGTTAAACTAACTTATTAGTTTAAGATATACTTGTATAACTCTGTGTTTTTTCTTGTTATTAATTGTTAAAATATAATGGTAATCAATTATTAGTTCATTTATATAAACTAATTTATAGATTTAAAGTAAATTATGAGATAAGTCAATTCATCACAACCCGGTGAAACTATCTCATGGCCACTTATGTTCATCAGACTAACTATTATTAAAACATTTAGTAATAAATCAATGCCTATATTTATAATTTTATACACATTAATCACGAATTATACGAATTATTTCACATTGAAATCACCCAGAAACTCACTACCCGAATATCCGAGCGTGCTATAGGGTTCCAGGGGTAAGCTGCTATGAGGTTTTATTTACAAATAATATTGCATCAAATTATACAAAATCATTTCCAAATTGGCTTCCATATAAGAACCTCCAGGCCACCCTTTCACTACATTCTGTATCTACTGTGCTATCATTATGCTCCTTATCTCCACCTCCATCCGCTCCTTATTGTGGTGTCCCTACTTCCCTGCTACGAGGTCTGACAATTAAGTTCACGAACTCGCCGCGTGTGAGAGTCATACATGTGACTGTGATCCCTTCTCTTACTTCCCCAGTTGTGTTGTTGATCTTAAGCGAGTTGAACATGTGCAGTGGCAGCTTTTGTATTAGAGTGTTTTCTGGTTTTGTCACAATAACGACATATTGTTTTAGAACAATGAATGACCATCAATTTACTCATGAAAATGGGGAAAGTTGGGCCTGAAATTCGAGACATATTAAACCAAGTTTATGAGGATAATGCACTAAAGAAAACATCAGTTTACAAGTGGATTAAGAGATTTTCTGAGGGAAGAGAAGACATGACAGACTGATGAAAATATTGAAAAAAATAGGAAAGTTGTATGAACTAACAGGTGGTTTATGGTGAGAAGCATTGCAAATGAGATGCAGATTGACAGGGAAACAGAAAGGTTTTGACTGAAGATTTGAAGATGAGAAAAGTTTCTGCGAAAATGGTGCCAAAAAATCTCGGTGACAAACAAAATCAAAGGGGAGTTGAAATTTGCTCCGACATTTTGGAAAGAGAAGAAGCTGGAGATGACCTGCTTCACTGAGTCATTACTGGTGATGAATCATGAGTCTACTAATACAACCCTGAAATGAAACGCCAGAGTGCTCAGTGGAAAACTGCAAACTCGCCACGCCCCAAAAAGTGTCGCATGTCAAAGTCGAAAGTAAAGGCAATGCTCATCACTTTTTTTTATTCTAAGGGTGTAGTTCACAAAGAATTTGTTCCCCCAGGGCAGGGTGTGAACCAGTTTTACTATCTCGCCGTGCTTAAAAGACTCGGAGAAAGAGTTAGACGAAAACGCCCGAAACTTTTTGCTGGAAACGAGTGGATCTTGCATCATGACAATGCCCTAGCACACATGGCATTGATTGTGTGGGAGTTTTAGGCCAAGAAACAAACTACCTAACTGGAACACCCTCCTTATTCACCTGACTTGGCCTCATGTGACTTTTTCTTTTTCCTTCTCTGAAGAAACACATCAAGGGGACTCATTTGCAAGACTTGGATGACATTCAGAGTAGCACGACGGCAGCTATAAAAGCTATTCAAGAAATGTTTCCAGGGGTGGAAGAAACGCTGGCAAGGGAAATATTTTGAAGGGGACCACAGTGCCGATCCTCAGGTAGGTACGTACTGGCGCCTGTAGCATGAGTTTGCGAACTTAATTGTCAGATTATGTACATTGCCTCTGTACTCTCTCTTTACCATTGTATACTTTTGCTTCCTTCAAACAAGTCCATATCCCAAGGGACACACCTCACTTATTCTACCACTCCACAATTCTCCTCTATCTTCTCAGCCACACACTTACATTTGTGTTAATTCTGGTTGCAACATAAAGGTAACTAATTTCTGTAGCTTGGATCTTTTAGGGTTCTCACTTATTCCAAACCTGTGTTTTGTGCATCCAACTCATTCCCGCCTTTCTGCACTTGTTTACACTTACCATGTGTCTCTGACTTCATGTTTTTTCGTTATTTCCGACTTAGTATGTTATGCAATCATGCCTAAATGCCCCGGTGATAGTTCCTCTTGGGCAGCCTGATGTGATGTGATAAGGTGTAATAAGAGTGGTGATGGACTAGCAAAGATTGGTAGAAACTTGAGTTTTCCTCCCTCGGCTGACTCTACCATCCTCAACACACATAAATAACAGTCTCAATTTGTGATTTACATTCCATATTTAATGCTTTTTATGCTAGCTTTATATGTCTGCTTTATTTTCTTGTTTGACAGTGTGCATGACAGAGATATTTCAAGAGTAGGTGGGAGTTTTGGGGGGTGGCAAGTCCCTAACCCCTTGAATTTTTTATATTCTTGTGGGATTAATTGCTAGATAACTGTTGATTCACTAACCAACGACTTTTCATGGTTTTTATATACGTCGGTTCTCAGGGTATGCCTGTACAAGAGGTATACTGTTCAGTGAAACTGATGGATTATGTATTTGACATTACCATCATCATATTTAATGTCTTACAGCCATTTTCTACACTTGCATGGGTGTAGCCATGATTACCTAATGGCACCTGCTGGTTAAAACCAGAACAAGATATCCCCCCCCCCCCCATGTACTCACCACTGGAAGCCCAGGGTACTCACCCAGAAAATTCCACAGAAACCAGGGGATAGGCATAGCTTAGGTAAACCAGTTGCCATCAGGCATGTTGAAGCAAAGTTTTACAGCTTGATGCCCTTCCTAGCACTAACCCACTGTACTCTACCATACTCCTTCAAAAAATAAAAGTCCTCCTTAAGATTTTCTCTTTCACAAAGTTCCATCTTGACAGGCACCTCATTAAACTAATAATCCTCAATAAGCATCATCTTTATTGTTCTTTGTATTAAAGCTGTAAACCTTGATATTTTAGGAAGAGACTGGACGCCAGGAAGAGAAACAGAAGTCGATGTTGGAGACAGTGGAGATATTTTACTTCCCAAACCAGCAACTCCTCAACCGGGTGGTAATAAAACTGACCGCAGGAAAGAAGGCAAAACTAAACGAGAGCAAGAGGAAGAAGAGAGGGAACGAATGCAGTTAGTTGCTTATTTTTTTTTAATGAATCTGTCTGTCTTTCTTTGGATAACATTTCATTGCTATACGAACAAGTGGTTCAGAAGTAACAAACTTCATGAGAAATAGAAAAGTAAATTTACAGTAATGTGTAGGATCTACAGTGGTCCTTCGGTTAATGAACACAATTCGTTCCACAGAGTCGTTCGTTAACCAAAAATTTTGTTAACGGAACCTATTATTTCAATGGGATATTGGGTAATTGGTTCCAACTCACAGAAAAAGTACATACAAAGTACTGTATACCAGTAGTAGAATTAACAAAACAGTAAATATAAACTAAATACAGTACTGTACTGTATAATATACTGTACAATTATAAATAAAAAAACAATAAAATACTGTATTTTAACTTACTTTTAGGTGTGTATGTCGTATTACCGGCAGCTTTGTTTACATATCAAACAGCTGTTTGTAGAGGCAGTCAATGATGACATGCCATATTCTTTACAGAGTGCATTGGTTCTAATGCCTTCTTCATGTTTCATAATAATTTCTGCACTGTACAGTATAGTCTCGATTTACGCGGATTTCCTTTATGCGTTTGGTCATTTACGCAGCACCTGGCCAGACCGGCAATTATTAGTTACACAGTACATTCCATCATTTACGCGGGAAGCGGCGCGGTCAGGGTGCGCACAAGGTCGCCCAGTCAACAAAACATTACCGAGTTCTTCACCCGCCACCCACCACAGCCAGCCCAAGTCAGTGATACTGATAGTGAGGATATAGACCTTGAGGGGTTTGACAAAGAAGCCCTACAAGCCTGTGTGGTGGATAGTGATACAGGTGATACAAGTGATACAGCCATCTCTTCTACTAACGTAAGTGTTGAAAAACCTAATATTATTGATATTTCTCTTAAATATTAATTGTGTGTGTATACCATCATAAAATTAAGATGTTATTTTTACTACAACGTACGTATTGCGACGGAAAAGGGGTAGTCTGGGGGTCGGCCCAGTCTCTATTTCAATTAATCCCATATGTTCTGTTATTTCGTTTACGCGTTTCTCGTTTTACGCGGACCTCCACAGGTTTAATTGACCGCGTAAACCGATACTATGCTGTATATTATCAATATGTTAACTAAATTTCAGAATGACCAATAATTTTAATATAAAAAATGCAGAATTATTCAAGAGACCAACATAATCGATGTTCACTCCACTGTAAACAAAGTTAAATTGAGAAGCGTTGTTGGGTGATTCAATCAGCTGATGGGCACACAAAAACTGTTCCCTGTACTGTCTATATTATCAATATGTTAACTAAATTTCAGAATGACCAATAATTTTAATATAAAAAATGCAGAATTATTCAAGAGACCAACTTTCTTGATATTTACTTAAGTGGAAACGAATGTAAACATAGAACCAATTACTGTATTGGCGGACTAGCCAATCAGCTGATCAGCTGATGCTCACAACAAAATGTGCTTGTCGTAAGAATTTCGTTAATCGAAGTTTTGTTCGTTAATCGAACTGAAAATCCTTATGGGAGATAATTCGTTAACCAAATTTCATTAATCGAACCGTTTGTTAACTGAGGGACCACTGTATATATGTACATAAAAAAAAAAACAGAAAACTTAAATAAAATATCTGACTTTATGAGTCAAAGTGAAATTGGTCTTATTCATTTTGTGTTTTTCAGGGTTTTAGTATCCAACTTTACAGAAGAACAACTAGACAGATATGAGATGTTTCGCAGGTCTGCATTCCCAAAAGCTGCAATAAAGCGAGTAAGTACAATTACCCTGTACTTTAAAAAATCTTTTCTTGGGAATTGCTGTATTTATGTACAATCTTATGATTGTTTCCCACTGTGGAAGTAAAGCTGACCTAATAGAAACATGACCTAACATTTGTATCAAAAGTACTGTATTTTTTATTACACGGGACCCCCCAAGTTCGCAGATTTTTATTCCGCGGTCCTCTATTATTCGTGAATGACACCCTGGATGTACCCAAGAATGTCTGTGGGTTGTTTTAAAGTTGCTGGCATTTTTGCGGCTGGGACAGGGAGCCATTCATTCTAGAGGCAGTAATTTCCTTTACCTGTATTGTATACAGTATATGTGTGTGTGTCTACACACACACACACACATAAATAAATATAAATTGGAAAATCCTCTCAAATAATCAGAAACAAATTTATAAAAAATGTGGCAGTTTACCCTCAAGTCCATACTTTATTACTTTATTAATAAAGCATGGATTTGAGGGTAGACTCACATTTTTAATAAATTTTCTTCCGATTATTTGTGAGAGGATTTCCAATTATTATTTATTTGCATGAGTTTTGTGTGTGTGTAGAAGTGTCTACACACACACACACGCACACATATACAGTATACAATACAGGTAAAAGAAAATTGTCCTAAACGTATCCCTCCCCCCCCACCAAAGGCTAATAGATGACACTGCCATGTGCATCCAAGTAACTACAACAGCCAGACTAGCAGGGGCGGAGCCACGGGGTGGCCGAGGGTGGCCAGTGCCACCCTAGAGTGAAGCTTGGCCACCCCAGTTACGCAAAGCAAAGCAGTCAAAGAGGAGAGAAAAATCGTATATATATATATATATATATATATATATATATATATATATATATATATATATATATATATATATATATATATATATATATATATATATATATATATATATATATATATATATATATATATATATATATATATATATATATATATATATATATATATATATATATATATATATATATATATATATATACTGTATATATAATGCTTTTCTAAAAAATAGTAAAAACATATATGATGAAATATTTTTTTAATTCTTTTTTGTTTTCTAAGAAATGAAACATTATAAAACATTTAATAGTCTTCTTTTTCAAAGACAATTTTAGTCACTGTATTCACCATTTCTTTTTTTCCTTCAAGAATAGTTAATCTAACTTACCTGGAGGTGTGGGCATGAAGAATGAGGAGATCTTCCTCTGCTTCTAGTTGTGGAGAAAGTCTTGCAAAGTTACTTGGTGCTTGGAATGTTAAGAGAAGCACTTGAGTGGTGATAGAGGTTCTTGAAGTGTTGATAGGAATTGGTGACTGCTGCATGTAGTTGAAAGATGTAGAGAGTAATAGCAGAGGTCCATACAGCCTGGTAGTTGAATGTAGAACTGCATGCTGTAATGTGTAGCAAGCGTAGCTATAATTGACTGAGCAGCGCCTTTGAGGGCTGTGGTGCCATCTGTTGATACATGCAGGAAACTTATTGTCTCTTTAACTAACCCATTTGAAATTACATCCAGGTACAGTACAGTACATTACTGAACAATATAGGGTATATGACTGCAGCCTCAAAAAGTACATCCTAAAATATTCCCAAAAGGAATCTTTTCCCCTAATTGTATCTAATAATGACAGAATGTGAGAAACAAAACCTTAAAATGCTGAACAATGTACTGTATACAAGAGCAATGATTTCTTGTACAGAGGAGACAAAGGAAAATTGTTAGTTTAGATCTGAAAATAGCTGTGTAATGATAAGGTGTTTTGAAAAGGGGGTATGGCTTGTAGATACAGTATCACTTAAAGGCCTTAGGCTTGATACTGAACATCATTTGTGACTTTTAGATTTTTTGTCCTTTAGTTTTGTAATCTCAAGAAGCTTTGTTCAGCATTTAACACCAGTTCTGACATTTTTGTTTTGTAACAGCTCTGGACTTAAACAGCACAATAACAAAGTATGACTGTGTGTTAACAAAAAGTGAGAGTAATTTAAGGTGTAAAGTTTCACTAAAAGTGCAATATCCAATCATTTTTATCGAGGGTCTCCAGAACTTTTTTTTTTTTTTTTTTATAATGGTTATAACAGACCAAAGCACAGTCAAAACTAGTTTACTGTATACAAATATCAGTTTTAGTATCGATAAATGAGTGAAAGATAAGTGAATGAAGAAACCAATTCTGTAAGATTTCAGACAAGTTTTCTCAAGGACTACTATTTTTTAATAATTTTTAGTGTCAAAATATTACCTGGCACTCTTGTTAGTCTTCATAGTGATAAAAAAATTAGAACGCAACAGTTAGGCTGCTCACTGTATCATTATAATATGTAATGCTGTATATTATGTATAGTGGGGAATTGTTGTGGAAATGGGAACAACGTAGAAGAATGTGTCTGGTTAGGTTGCAAGAACAAATAAATGAAATGAGAGTCTGTATTAATTTTTTTTATTCTGGCCACTTTTCACCATCGCAGAAATAAGGCTGTTACTATCTGTGTTTTTGAGGTTGAGATTTTTCATCACCAGGTTATGCAGACCATCACTGGATGCTCAGTGTCGCAGAATGTTGTCATTGCCATGTCTGGCATAGCAAAGGTCTTTGTCGGGGAAGTTCTTGAAGAAGGTAAGATATGTAGCAGCTTGCTCTTTTATATAATACACATATGATTAAATATGTTACTACAACAAGTTGTTAACTTTCATCAGGGATGTGTTCCTGGAAAAGGCAGTTCAATAGGACATATTTTTCCCATAGATACTTAGCATTATAATTGGGGGATGCTTTCCCAAACCAAATTTTTAGACACCTTAACCTAACATTAGAGACAAAAGTTAAACAAATCAATACAGAACACAAATGAAATTCATGACTAGTTAGTTAAATGAACACAGATACATAGGTATTCTACAAAAGAAATTCAAGTTTGCAAGCACCCTGTACTATAATAGAGATATATATGATTTCCAGATTGTGTAACATAAAAAAAATTTCTAGTCTTATATGACAGGTAACTGATCTGAATTATGTTGCTGAAATTCACTCGACTTAACCCATCCTAAAAAGCTAAATTAAATTAATCTCACCAATTATAAAAAGCGAACTCAGTCTAACTGAAAACATAAAGTCTGTGAGACTATTTATGTGAGAGGATTAGTAATTGGTTTTGATTAAGGTGGTCTTCCTTTTTGCAATATCACCAGGAAGAAGAGTTTCAGAATTGCAGGCCATGAAACAAATCTATCCCCCCCCCCCATCCTATCTGTGGATTGGATGAGATTGAGACATTTTCTTTGGGTCTTGGCTAAATGAGACTACTGACCTGAGTGAATATACAGTACAGGTATTTCAACTGTTCTGTGACTACACAGCTCATCAATAAATATTGTTTTGAAATTATAATACTGGAAGAAAGATGGGGTTTCCAAGAATTATACTGTATATCCAGTATGAATGTCAAGCCCATTACATTGTCTCAGTCAGACTCCACAACCTAACATATTAAGCATTTATTGTAAGGCATTTTGATGCACAGATTAGCTAACGTGTTACCTATTCTGTGTGCGCAGACGCTGTTTTTGAGTTATGCGCATGACACGTTTAGAGGGAAAAGCTAACACCTCGATCAGGCGTTGGCCTTGTGCAGCGCCCAAGCGGCCCAAATATCTAACAACCAATAAGCGTTTTCTCCCACTGAAAATACGCGGATAATGGCCGCTTATGGAAAATATTTTTATTAATATTGAAGAGTTGGGGGCATATGAGGCAATAAAAAACTGTGATATAATAATAAAAATAATTCTATATACGGTAATATATTGGATAGGACCTAAAACAAAGCGTATGGAGTGAAAAAATTGAAAAGGATTGCGCCTAGTTTAAATCAGTTTTGGCTCCGCCCATTTTTAAGTAGGCGCTGTCCGGTTTCATTAGCCGTTGGTGACTTTGGTGTAACAATATTGATAATTACTCAAATATGATTAAAACTTTAATATTATTACTCATAAGATACTTTAAATAAAGGTGAACAAGTTGATTACAGTTCTGTAAGTGCAAAAATTAAGACTAAAACGAGCCTGAAATTTGTCGTATTTCGTGTCAAAATAGGCTAACCCAGCCTTGAGAAAAGAAGCGTACAGCTGTTCTAGTTATTTCGTGTGGTTCGAGTCCGGGAGAAATTTCAATACAACGGGCCCGATTTTTTGTGTTATTCTTATTTATTGTTGACTGATTGACTTTTTTCCTTTTTTGTCTTTTTTCCATAATTTTCTCTCTGTTTTCTTTACTATTTCTCTCCGTATTGTGTCCAAATAACAGTTTCAGAATTTTATTGTTTTCTCAAGACTGTGTTGTACAACAGTTATTCCCAAGACGTGGTACAATGTCGTATTTTTTAATGACAGTCCGGGAAAGCTAATGCGTTAGCTATTCCGTGCATCTTAAAACGCCTTACAATAAACGCCTATTGTCAAGGGCCTAATATATGGCTTTCCTCAAGAGAATATGCATGAAATGTTAAAAAGAGTCACTTTTGTTTAACATAATGTAGATGAAGAGACATCACTGATGGTTTGGGTTGCTTTAGGAAATATGTAATGGTAGTATTCTTGTTTATTTATTGGAAAGAAGGGTTCACTTCCCTTTTTAGAGAATTTATCACAAGTGTTGTAATACCACAGCTCTTGGTTCTACAATTTATACATAGTTGGTTTCATGTACACAAGGTGTTTAGTAGAGTGATAAGCCTTAAATGAAGGATTGACATTAGAATCTCATTTTATAGTCAGCCCCAGAAGAAGATAGCTCAGCTCAGTGTTGAAGTATCCCAGGAAAAATGGAGGTTAATATCGGGAAACCATTAGGGTGTAACTCAAAAACAAGAGCAAAGTGTATGCTAGTTGATGTGACATGGTGGGTCTCATTGAGCCTCCTATTTCTAATTTACTAGAAATAGAATCTTCACTATTACCAGACCTGGGCTAGGCCATTGGCTTATGAGCAATTTGCACAGTTTTACACATGCCTGCAAGTTCTAGGCTCAGCCACAAAATGTGAATTTTTTTTATTCAGGCATAGTTTATTTTCTTTGTGCTTTTGACCTTGATATTAATGATTTTTCCCACTCATTTTGATTTTTAGGTTGTAGATTTTTTACAGCACTGGTGAATATTTCTTAGGTTCAGTGCCTGGCCAGAGTTGAGAACAAGGTATACTAGCCCTTATACAGGCAATGACCATTATATGATGGGGTTAGCGACCTCAAAAGGCCATCGATGATTGATCGTATACAGTACAGTAGAACGTCGATATAATGCAAGATACCGTATATACTCGTCTATAACCCCCCTTCGTATATAGGTCGACCCCGATTTTATGACCAAGAAATCGTTAATTTATGATATTCCTCGTTTATAGGTCGACCCAAGTTTTTGAGGGTAATGGAACAACAAAACCTTCAGAAAAACTCTACGTCCTATAAACTTGTTTACCATTTATTATTACGACACTTTACACTGAAACGCAGGTAGTTTCAACAAAAATATTGTATATTTCCATTCAAGTATTTATTCAAGTCAATTAGGAGGGAATATTATTGTAATACAACAGTTTTTTAACTAAACCATTCGAAAAGCGATTACGGTAACATCTTTTGAACGAAAGAAAGCGAGTCATTGTTTTCGTCACGATTTTATCCCACTTTCCACTGTAATACGTACGTCATTTCAGGAAAAAATGTTACATTTCCGTGAATGTAGTATATCAAGCACAGTATGAATAGAATATCATTGTAATATAACAGAATTTTAACCGAAAACTATTAAAAAAACGAATAACATCTCAAGAACATCGGAAGCTTAGGTGAAGTCTTTTGTTTTCGTCATGTATTTTATCCTATTTTACATTGAAATACATCACGTTTCAGCAAAACTACTATTTATTTCCGAGAATATATTCATTCAGGCACAGTTTAGGTAAAATATACGTGTGATGTAATAGTTTTTTAACTGAAAACGATTCGAAAAACACGTTCCCTCTAGCCCTGTTCAAGGAGAGGACTGGGAGAAGCTGTTTGGTGCTGCAGACGATGACAAGGAAAATGATTTTGATGGATTTTAATGAAAATATTCAGAAATATGGTATCGTAATATTTATTCAAGTCAATTAGGATATTATTGTAATACAATACAACAGTTTTTTAACTAAACCATTCGAAAAGTGATTACGGTAACATCTTTTGAACGAAACAAAGCGAAAGTCATTGTTTTCATCACAATTTTATCCCACTTTCCACTGTAATACGTATGTCATTTCAGCAAAAAATATTACATTTCCGTGAAGGTATTATATCAACCACAGTATGAATAGAATATCACTAATATAACAGTATTTTAACCGAAAACTATTAAAAATACGAGTAACATATCTTGAACATCGGAAGGTTAGGTAAAGTCTTTTGTTTTCTGCATGTAGTTTATCCTAATTTACATTGAAATACATCACGTTTCAGCAAAACTACTATTTATTTCTGAGAATATGGAAATGTAATATTTTTGCTGAAATGACGTACGTATTATAGTGGAAAGTGGGATAAAATCGTGACAAAAACAATGACTCGCTTTCTTTCGTTCACAAGATGTTACCGTAATCGCCTTTTGAATGGTTTTCAGTTAAAAACTGTTATATTACAATAATATTCTATCCTAATTCACTTGTGATGTAAAAGTTTTTTAACTGAAAACGATTCGAAAAACACGTGTACCGTCTAGCTGATACGGCAGAGCCCTGGTCGTGGAGGCTTTGTGTTTGCATCGGCCCTTCTTAAGCAGCTTTTAATTTTAGCGTACGTTGAAATTGTGTTTACCGGTGTATTCTTATTTTCTTGCTTCTTATTTTCCAGAAATATGACAAGTTTTTATATAATACAATGTTACGGTACTTTTAATTTACAAGTATTCATTTTTAAAAATACAGAAGACACCAAACAAATACTAGTACGGATATTTGCGTGACTCTCCCGCCAAAAAAGACCAAACAGCTGGTACTCTCTCCCTCAGCCCTACCAAAAATAGCCCAACATCTTTCTTGTTTATTCTCTTCCAATTTCTCACTTTAACTGGTATTTTTTACTTCATATTGCCTACATCAGATAAACTACAGTAATTGAGGTTAGATATTGTTATAAATTTGATTACCGGGTCCTGGCAGGTACCGTTAGAACCACCTGACCCTACCAACAGTGTTGCAAGTCAGACAGCATTTTTTTTTTTCACATTTTTGGTGTCTCCATTTGTTAATTTTTTTTCTGTGGGGTTTGCACAATAGTATACTGTTTTACCTACAGTATTGTAAAACGATTTGAGAAAAGAAATACTCGGTAACTTAAAATTTTAAAAGGAAAATTTTGAAACTGGCAACTGTGTAGATGACCTGACTCACATCATATTGATGTTTCAAATTTAATTAACAAAAATTTATGTATCTATAAATAAACTTTTAAAAATGAATACTTTATGTTTTACATACTCCTGTGCATACCATACCATGCATTTGGCTACTTTGGGCTTGCTATGATGACGCAAGAGATCTGCCCTGGCAACTGTACCGACACTCACAGCGGGTGGTGCGTTGGTGCATCGTTTCCATTGTTTACTGGTAGTTACTGGTAAATTTTTTTCAACCTAACGAAACTATTACCCGTATAGAGGTCGACCCCCAACTTTTTGCCCAAAAATTTGGTCTTAAGAACTCGTGCTATACACGGGTATATAACGTTCAAGAAAAATGCTCTAAATCAAATTCGCACTAAATCGAAATGTTGTTTCAGTGGAATAATTTAGTTTGGTACTTGAGAGAAAACACAAAATAAAAAGACTGAGAGTCTACCCAGATGCACCTCAGTCCATCTCCTAGAATAAACAAAACACTGTTTTTTGTTGTATTCTGTTAAAACAAACACTCATAAATCAACACAGCTAAAATTAAGGGATGTGAAATGGTCTGTTTATTGGCTGGGAAGATGGAGGGGGGTTGGTGAGGTGATATGTTTGACAGTTGATGCCAAGGTCTAGTGCTTATTTATCTGTCCTTAACAGTGACATTAAGTTTTTCTCTTATAAAATTTCACTGAACTGACATGGGAGAATATAATTAACATTTCTGGAATTCTTATAAGATAGTACAGTGGGGTATGCTATAACGAATCTAATTGGTTCTAGAACCTTGTTCGTTATAGCATTCGTTCAATAAAGGATTAATCCGTTCCAGGCCCCCAAATACAACCACTTAACACTGAAAAATACAATATAAAATTATAAAAATTGTAAAAAGTGCATAAATATGCATCTAAACCCCTGAAATAAAGAATATCATTAATACTTGTAATAAAAAACAATAAATTATTAAAAAAAAAAAAAAGATAATGTTCGTTGTAGGAGTTTCGTCCGTTATAGCATTCTCAATTTTATAGGTAAAACCGTTCGTTATAGGAATATTCGTAGTAGGATCCGTTCGTTATAGCATACCCCACTGTAATTAATTTGAATATAAACATGCTATAGTTTGCATTAGACATACAAATTTTTTTTCTAATTTAAGAATTTTATTACAAAGACCAAAAAATTTTATCTTTCGTGAAAAATATATGACTTTTATTTTCAAATTATTCTCTGTCTTGCAAGGATTCCAGCAATACAAATTATATTCTCCTAACTTTAATCTGTGATATTATATGAGATAAAAACTGTAAGCCTAAAACACCAAACCCTGGCTGGGAGGGATGGGGAGGGAAGTGACAGTGACATGTTTGACAGTTGTGCGGAAGGTCTAGTGAAGTACAGTATTTATTTGTTTATTTATGTCCTTTAGCTTGAATTTATGTTTTTTGCTTATAAAATGTCACAGAAGTGACCGGGGAGAATATAATTTACAATGCTGGAATTCTTATAAGATAGTGATTAATTTGAATATAACTATGCTATAGTTTGCACTTGACAAAAATTTTAGTTATCATTTAGTACATTATTTTGAGTACATGTACAGTACAGCTGTGCCCTTAGGACAGTGTAGCGTGCCGAAAGAAACATTAGGCGCAGAATTTTAAATATTATGTGCCAGATTGACTCATGCAAAATAGGAAAGATTCGCTTAAATTAAAACATTGTCATTAATTGTGGGTGTCGCTTTAAATCAATAATCTTAAGTTGAATCGCTTTAAATCGACGTTCTACTGTACTGTACTTGTATATAGATACATCGTATAACAGTCAATGATAAAATTAATATAATATCAGGAGTTCTTTCCTTTGGTGGATTAGCATCCTTCCAAAGGGGGGAGGTAAGCCAATTCCTGCTGAATGGTACAAATCAGTGGATCAGCACCTGCCTTGATTCCTTACAACATAGTGTAGAAAGGCTGGCAAGTGTGAAAACAAAATTTACATTCATTGGGCTTAAAGTGGGTGAGCTTACTACCTATTTTATTTTTATACAGCCTTGGATGTGATGGAAACACAGGGGGAATCAGGACCAGTACAGCCAAAGCACCTCCGTGAGGCTATTCGCAGAGTGCGTCGCCGTCCTGGACAGCATATACCAACAATGAAACAACATCGAGCTCTCTTTAGGATATGAGCACAGTACCATGTAATAAAGGGTACAATCACCTGTTTAGCGATTTACATCTTACCTTAAAGCCCTAAGCAATAGACAATTCTAAAGTAAGAGCGATGATATTGGTTGTAATGATGAGTGAAATGAAGAGAAGAAAACTTAGCAGATAATTTATGATATAAATGCTGCCATGATGTAACAGGAAGCCTTGAAGTTTAACAATTTGTAATGTTTACCTTAAACATATTTCTTGGTGAATTTTGTATTTCCCATCATATAGTTGGCAAATATATGATTTTTCAATAAGACTTTTATTATTGTGTATTCATCCCCTAGGTAAAATACTTATTTTATTATTTATTGCATATAAATTACATTATTACAGGTTAGCATAGCAAAGCAGATTTTACTCTTCATGGTACTGCATTTGCTGAAAAAAGTAGTGATACAGTACAATTTTTTTTTTTAAACATCAACAAATGATATGGGTATTGAAAGATTGGTATAAGTAGCATACAATTCAGAGACTAGTGTTTAGAATGAGAGGGAAAGACCAAGGAGATGGAAGGGTAGGGTAGAGGATACACTAGAAGTGAGGACGATGGACGAACATTCAGGAAGCAGCAGTGTGTGTGAGTGAATGAGCAGAGATCATGGCACTGAGTGACTTTTAGGAAGGGCTCTCTGGCTATGGGTGTTACTGGCGTGTGTGAAGTAACTAAGGTAAACCACACCTGGATACATATCATTGAAGGAGGTGTACCATAGCAGAATACACCTTTTACAGCATAAAGGTTGACTCTCACTACCCCTCGCATCTCGGTTCCATCGCAGATCGTCAAAGTTCCGTAAATATTGGCCTGTATTCACACCAAATGTTGGGGTTTCTTTCAGTCTAGGTGCAGCTGCTGAGAAGGCGTGGCACATAATTCAATGAGCATCAAGAAACTAGCAGTAATTGCACTCGGTTGGCATGTTTGGAGAATACTAGTCACTTCGCCTATTGGCTATTTCAACCTAACTAGGTTAAGTGGTAAAAAGAAGAGAGTGGGTACATAATAACTAAGAAATAGAAAAGCAGAAGGGAGTTCTAAATGTACCTCAGGATACAGAGCCACCTGGAACAATTTGCTTAGTGCCCTATGTCACTGTAGGGAATGAAGCCTTCCCACTAAAAACTTATCTAATGAGGCTATCCAGGATCACAAAATAATGGAAATGCTGAGAGCAGTGTTTTCAGTTATAGATTGTCACATGCGAGTTGTAGAGAGTACCTTCGGTATGTTGAGTCAATTTTCAAATATATCACAGGACCCTGAAGCTACTGCCTGACAATGCAGACAATCTTGTTTTTGCAACTTGCATTTTGCACAATAACATAAAGGACAAGAATGTCAAAGACAGTGCAAGCATTAAGCCTACAAGCATGGCAAACAATTTCATTGTTATGGCTAGACAAGGAGGAAGTGCCCATCAGAGTGCCTTCAGCGCAAAAGAGAAATTCAAAACTTCTTTAACAGCCCTTATGGATCTGTATCTTGGCAGTGACTAAGCTACTGTTTCCCTTTTGTGAGCCACCTCGCAACTGCTGGATATGTCTAGTATGCACTAGGAATAAAAACCATGAGTTAAAGCTGTAATTATATGAAGAAATTTTGTTTAAATAAAACTAATAAAACCTAGATTTCTCACCTGGTTTGTTCAGTTCATCTCCTATTGTTTTCCATATTTTTTCCTAGAGTAGGTTATCACTGTACAGTCTCTTCTCGACTTACGACAACCCGGACATATGACGGCCATGGTCGTATAAAATATTTTTCACATTACGTATTTTCAAGTCCCGACGTTAGTGATCGCGCTGTGTACTGACAAAAATTTTTTTTGTAATTCCCTTTAAAATGGCTGGCAAGCGTAAAAGTGAGAGTTCTCGTGGTTCTAAGAAGAAAAAGAGACACCCATTTTAGAATTTCTATGTATTATTTTCACCTTTTCAACTTACGACCTGGTCATCGGGACGGAACCCCGTTGTAAGTCGAGGAGAAACTGCATTTATTATTTGACATGTCTTATAGTCAGTGGTGTAGTGCTAAATGAAGTGAGGGAACACATTTTGAAAGTGTTACTCAGAAGTGGGTGGGACAATGGCGAGCACAGTGAGCCCATACAGCTGGGGTCCTACTAACTGCTAACCAAAGCCTACATCACTTTCATTGAGCCTCGGTTCTCATAATGCCACTATGCAATTTCACCAGTTCTGTCAATGCACACAATGGGACAATAATAGTTTTCCAGACTAACACCAGTGCTAACACCCAACTTGCCAAGACAAGTGTGTGCATTTTCTAAGTGACTTAGGTGAGCAACTAATCTTGCACACCTACTGTGGTAGAAATGCCAAATTTTTATGAATGCTCATTATTTTAAATATATTAAAATATTTCAGTTGCTTATTAAAGTAAGAATATAATACTGTATATCAACAAATTAGAATAAGTCTGAACTTAAAAATATATAGACAGACTAAACATCTTTATGTTTTTTAATAGATTTAAGGTATTTGGCAACCGTAACACTAACGTCCAAGTGAGGGAGCAGCCAGTAAGACATGAGAGGGAGGCTGGGGCGTTTTTTTTTTATCATTAAATAATGCAGTAATGCCATACATTCTCAATGCCCCAAAGTTTATAGGCTAGTGTTGCCTCAGTTGAAGCTAAAAGAAAAAAACAGTTAATAATTCTTAATCATATTTCTTCTAGGGGCGGGAATTATAATTTCATGACGTTAGTCAAGTTTTCCACAACCGGTTACCAGCGGCTAGGGTCGTATGTACAGAAGCAGTAGATATCTCACACATTATGCAGAAGACCCGACAGCAGCACCCTTATCCACTACCTCCTAAGATGTCCCCACACACAACGCTTCCGTGACGCCTGCTGGACCACCACTCCACGTCCCCCTGACGGAGACACGATGATCCTCCCCATACTGGCCAGATATTTTGTAAATAACATTGATTATGTGTTAAAGGAATATTCTTCCTTCCTTAGGCTTTAGTAAGCCCCTTTATAATATTTATACTGTATATACTTCTCACACTTGCCAGATGCTTCTGGTGTCATTGTACAGGGGTACCTAGTGACAGCACTAGGATCCCGCTTCCTCTATCAAGGAATAAACAATTGAAATTGAAATTGAATTGATATCTCACAGGTGATATTGAATTACCACTGGCTGTCCCGCCAATCTCCGGTAATTTCCCGACGATCGGTATCAGTGTACAGACAAACAACAGGCAAGCAGATTTCCACCAAAACACACTTGTGCACTGTAGTCTGCTTTAATAAACACTAATTCTTCACAACCTGTTAACAAGGTAATGGCTGCACAGCTAGAATTCTCACTTCGAATATATACATTACTGTAGTCGGCACACTACCAGTGTACAATTCCTTAGTCTTTTCACTTATTATTGTTCACAACAATTCCACAATACAGTGGTCCCTCGGTTAACGAGATTTCGGTTAACGATTTACCTTCCATAAGATTCTTAACTTCGGTTAACGAGCAATCCCTCGATTAATGAGTTTCTTACAAGCGGAGCTCAACATGTTTTCGCTTGCATTTGGTGGTCCACCAGCTGTAGTATTAGTCCGCCAATACAGTAATCGGTTCTAAGGCTTAAATTCCTTACTATTTTAGTAAATATCAAGAAGTTTATACAGTACTATTCAATAATTTTAAAAGTTTAATATTAATTTTTTTAGTTATTTTAACAATTATTGAACATAATTGAAGTACAGGAAACTAGTTTTAAGCGCCAAACAGCCTGTCAACACACCAAACAGGCATCAGTCTCTGTGTCTTTTCAGTGGAGGTAACATCTTGCTTGAGACTCTCTTCAACTAAACGCTTTTTTTCTGTGTTTCTAAGCAAATTGTTAGTCATTTTGAAATTTATTTTACATATCGACAATATATAATGCAGTGCAGTGTTGATTTAAAGAAAATAATCTTGAATTACACCAAGAGAACTAAAATTTTATGGGTGAAATGGCGCCATGGGGTGACTCAGAGGAGGACGGCTTGTGGGTCGCCATGCTCGCCGGCGGGAGCAAGGGCTGCCAGGCAGCGGTGGAGGAGGTGGTGTAGCCTGCTGCGGCTGTAGCTAGAAGAAGACAGTGGTCACCACAAGGTCAGGTCTTTTATAGCGGAGGTAGGCGTGGCTTAATAGTTGACCTCCTTCATGTAAGGCGGCGCTGGTTGACCCAGACCACGAGGCACACACTGTGGAATTCACGGGGTCGGCTACTCGGCTACAAACAGCGTTTGTAGGGGAGAAATCCACTACAATACTCCCTCCTTCCCTCCAGGCGGTGTAGGAGACTTGTTGTCTGCAGGGTTGCATGGCACATGTGAGGCAGAATGGGTGGTGCATGCCACATGTGAGCAATAACAGCGAGGGCGTGGATGAGCCGGCCACTAGAGGAGACAACTGACTAGATACACAATATCTGTGGGAGTAGAGAGGGAGAAAAAGGGTGTGTGGAGGCGATGAATGTTGTGCTTCCCTCACGGCAGGTACAGAGTCGTCAGATGCGCCTGCTGGGGTGTGTGGGCCTGGGTCAGGAGCAGGGGCTGCGTCAGCAGAAGCGGATGAGGGCTCGTGACAGCAGCAGGGTCCACTACAGCAGCAGGGTGCAGGACAGTAGCAGGGAGTACCTGAGGGAGAAAAGAGGGGTGTATGGATCTGCACTCAGGAGCATGGGCCACGTCGGGAGCAGGGGCTGGGTCAGCAGAAGCGGCAGGGGGTACTGCTGGGCCGGGGACGGCGTCTGAGGCAGGACGGGTGTGCTGGGGTCGGTAGGACGTGGTACTTGGGGCAGGAAGAGGAGCTGGTGTCTGCTTAGAGAAGCAGTGCTTCTCTAGGGTGTCTAACCTGCGGTTTAGAGACAGTAGTTGTAGAGCCAATGAGAGCTGCTTCTGGGTGGATAAGCTAGTCTTCCATGTTGCTTGAAGACTGGGAGCGTGATCTGTTTCTCCTCCATCCTGTGTGAGTGCGAATCTCCGGGGGTCACCATTTGTGGGGTATGGGATGTTTGGGTTCACACTCAGGATGGGATGGAGAAAGGAAACTCACAATGTGCTCACTGTCTACATGTTGTATTGGATGTACAATCCAGCTTGGTGCTGGGAAGGCAGCATGGTTACAAGCGTGATGTAGAGAGAGCTGGTTGGTGAGGATGCTCAGAGGAGGACGGCTTGTGGGTCGCCATGCTCGCCGGCGGGAGCGAGGACCGCCAGGCAGGCGGAGGAGGAGGTGGTGTAGCCTGCTGTGGGTGTAGCTAGAAGAAGACAGTGGTTGGTTGGTTATACAGAGAGAAGAGAGCTATAGCTCTGAGAGTGGGAGAAGGGTACAAGGTAAAGTTCAGAAGTTGGAAGTAAAGGAGAAGGTTAACAGCAGGTGGGCTATCCACCTTGCGAAGACAGTGGTCACCACGAGGTCAGGTCTTTTATAGCGGAGGTAGGCGTGGCTTAGTAGTTGACCTCCGTCATGTAAGGCGGCGCTGGTTGACCTAGACCACGAGGCATACACTGTGGAATTCGCGGGGTCGGCTACTCAGCGACAAACAGCGTTTGTAGGGGAGAAATCCACTACAAAACTATCCATATAAAAATATAACAAAAACCAATATGTCCGTGAATTAATTGTTATCCTGGATATGAATCTATACCCTCATTAGAAAGACCTGACTGGACTATTGGACTACTCAATTAAGACAAAATTGTACAGTATTTCGGAGTTGTAGATAAAATTGTTGTAGATAAAATTGTTGTAGATGTAATTGTTGAACAGATTAAATAACATGTCAAGCTAGGGCCGTGGTCGCGCCATTACCCACAGTGCTCAGTTGTAAACACCAGCTGCATGTGGTGGCCAGTGACAGACGGCGAGGACACACGACCAGTTGGCTCTACGACTAAAACTATTAATCAATATGTTTAAGAAGTAAGTAAGACTATGAAAACTACCTACTCGTTTATTTAAGAAGTAACAAGGACCTTATGGAGGTATTATATTTGTCCACATTAAGAAATTGATGCAACTGTAAAGATTACCGTCATCTTTGGGTTTTATTTTCTTCAGGAGAATAATTGGTTTTAAGTTGTTGCTCAAGGCATATGGTTGTGATTGTTCATTTTAGCTCTGTTATTTTATTTCTTATTTTATATGGGATCTGCTGACATGTTGTGATTAATACATTAAATACATATCCTGTGATGCAACGAGAAAAAATGTAAATACATTATTAGGTTCAAATGGTAATCATTCTACATACACTGGCAAATGATATAAGCGTGAAAAATAAAATGGTAAAGGTAGTGGATATTTTGCCATGACTGGCTAAGTTCCTACTAACGCTATTTTACCGTGAGTGCACTCTGATTGGCTAATCGTCCATTACCGGTAAACAAAACAAGAACAATAGGTAAATTTTTACTTTCGGACATGAGTCCCTAGGGGTTGACCAATATGTTTTCTAGTGTATTTTAAACAAATCTGACCTTCATTTTTGGCAGAAATTCCTAGCTAACCCCCCCCCCCCCATCAATAATGGGGGAGAGCCTGGGAAATCGGGTTTTTGGGTGGGGGAGAAAACAAAAACGAGTTATCTGACCTAACTAACCGGGGGCAGAGTCCTCGGACCCCCGGTAGGCCAAGCTTAAACTAACCTAAAAGTTTCAGTAGTTATAAAATTTAGGGCGCGCTATGTCCGAAAGTACAATACCTTAGTTAGAAGAGGAAGGACCAGGGATACATAAGAATTGGATAGAATGATCGTCTTTCTTGTAAAACTCAGCAATAAACATAAAATAATCGTAGGACCACAAACGTCAACCAACTTCCACCACGGCCACTGTGAAACTGGTCAATGAAATTAAAATCGTACCCAGAATGCTTCCTTTGAAAAAAAGCAGATGTGATTGGTCGAAAAAAAATTGTGTGATGACATCGATACCTCATTGGTCACGACTGGATGACGTCAGTCATCATTCCTTTTTCGATGAGCTGATAACATCATCTCACAGACGAAGACTGAAGACTACTTAAAATCAATTTAATTAAATTTTGTCGCTGTTATCCATTTCCGCCACGTATATATGGGGTTCAAAATGCTCAGAATAGCGAGATCTAAATGCTTCAGTAGTTTATGACTTTCGGGGGCGCTGTGTCCTAAAGTAAAATAATATCGAACATGTGACCATGACTGGCGGCATTTGGCATTTATTACACTGAATCAATCGCTCTGCAGCTGTAAAGTGTAAATATTCCTAACCATAATTCTGTTGAGAACAGAAACTTTTTATAAAAAAGGCAACATTTACTAGAACCGAATAAAACCTGACCTAACCAACCAAAGAAACTTACTTAACCTTACCTAACTTCCTAGCCAAAGGGTGGACCCTCCTCCCCCCCCCCCTCGTCATATTAAGCAGAAAGTACTTAGCCAATCAGAGCGCACTCACGGTAAGTTAACGTTAGTAGGAACTTAGCCGGCCACAACAATATATCCCTGTATTTAGATATCAACATCTCCTTAACCTGACCTGACCTGACTTGGCCTAACCTAACTTAGCCACAGAACCCAGGAACTATATTGTTTAACCTAACCTAAATTCCCAGGGTTACTGAAATTAAAGTACTGTAATCCCCCCCCTCCCCCCCCAAAATTAATGCACTTTTTCCTGCTATTTATAGTGGTAATAATGAAATATTGGGGAAATGCTTGTAAAATTATTGTGTTTTGACCCTTTCCTGTCAATCTTGAACCACCAAAAGTGGGCAAGGCCTCGAAGCATAAGGAAAATGTGGGTTAAGATTTGTTAAGAGGACATCAAGGGTGGATCCAGGGAGGTCCTGGGGGTCTGGACCCTCCTTTTCACCAGAAAATTCCAATACTTTTTCTTTAATGCAGTATTGTACTCAGGCATTTTTGTATAGTAAAAAGTGTTTACTATTAAGTGTTTACTATTAACTTTAGAATGTCTCCGAATATCAAGTGCACATTGCTTTAAAATGGTCTCAAAATGCCATAACATTGGTCAGATTTAAAAAAAGTTTTCTGAGGGGGTCTTACAGCCATGTTCCCTGCCACCTATAACTTCTTGGACACCTCCCCCCCCCCCTTCCTTGATATTCCTGGATCCACCCCTGGACATGGATGGGAAGCTATAATAATTTTAGGCAGCCATATGCGAAATGTTGATGTCTGTTGGTACAGCAGCCTAATGTGTATGCGTGGTGGGCAGACTGTACAATGATGGTTACTAAGATGGCCTCTTTCTGACTAACCTAACCTATATTTAGTGTAATTTTTGGTGTATGGCTGCCATACCTATATCCACTATGCTAATTTTATTGAAGGATGATACCAGTACAGCAAAAAAAAAAATTTAAATTATTGCAATTTTGGCAGAAATTTTTAGTTTTGCTCTTTTTATGTTAGTGCACCATTCTATCTAACCTAATCTAATCAGGGGACTCTGTTCCCCCCCCCCCCCAAAGAAAGAACGGTGCACTACTATAAATTAACCAAAGTTTTTTATTTATTTCAATTGCAGGTAAAGGTGTAGCAGATGGGTAGCACGTGAACACATTTATATACGTCGTTCATATTTTTCACAGTTGTTCTCTGGTTGATGTTGAGCAATATAGTCGAATCGATAACATTGAAGAATATTTTCTATTTTAAGTTTTTGTTTTAGCCTATCCTTCAATCATAAATTACTTGTTAATGAGCAAGGCATGAAAGATGGGGAAACTAAAGAGTAAAAAATACTGCAGACACTGATCATGTGGCAGTAATTTTATGTCTACATACTTGGTAAGAGAAGAAATCAATTATTTACTGTAATTATGGTACCGAGGGATCTCCCGTGGTGACCATGTTTTGGTCCACATCATCTGCTTAAAGGGAGCGTTCCATTCCCTATGTTATTTCTGGTACTTACCGTCTCCTCCACTTTTACCCAGTTACAGTATAAAGTTACTAAAATTTGTATGACCTTGGTGGTTCTCCAGTTTGTTGGAGGAAATTTGAAGTATTTATTGTTTACGTCTTCTTCATTTGATATACACATGGTCAGCCACCATCATTTAAATAAAATAAGGTTTGGTCAAATTAAGACAGATGAGGTCAGGTTTCCTTAGGTTTAATTGGTCCAGACTTCAAACCCTTGCTCACTTCCTTCATTCATTGGTAGTGGGTCATTGAGGTCAGGTTTCCTTAGGTTTAATTGGTCCAGACTTCAAACCCCTGCTCACTTTCTTCATTCATTGGTAGTGGGTCATATCTCCATAGTGATTCCTACCAATGTCCTCTACTGAATTTTACCAAAATGTGGAGTTAAAAACAACTAAAACAACTAAACCTAACTAAACTAAACCAACTTAACCTTATCTGTGCATTGTATTCACCCACTGGGTAATTATTCCCAAAACACTGGGTATACACTTTTGGATTTGTTTTGTTTCCCAATCAGCAAATTTCCATAACCGAATTGTTTGCAATGCAGGAGATGAGTAATGATTTGTTGTTGATAAGAGGAACCAACAAAACCTTTCTAACCTATTTCTTATCTTACGGTGGAAATACAATACGTACTATACAGTATACAGTATATACACAGTACAGTACTGTATATTATTATTTTAGGTTAGGTTATGGCTGGGAAACATTTGGGGGGTTTCGGTAACAGAAGCATGTCAACAGTTTGAGGCTGCTGAAACAAGGTGTCATGAAGTAGACAAGGGCCAGGAAACACCTTTATTTACAGGAAAAACTAGGATAAAACCAGAATATGAAAAGTGCAGTTCCTCTACTCAATTTGACTTATTCATGAGTTAAGTTATGTTTTCTTATACTGTATAGTTTTTTGCTGGTTCACCTGAATCCAATTTCTTAATTTTTACCAACAATGATAGTCCTTTATTGAGGTAATTCTTAACCTTAAGAAATATAAATAGAATGATTATTTTTGCAATAAACATATATAGAGAGAGAGAGCAAAGCAATGGCAAGCAAATACTGTAACCACCAAATTACTTATACAGTACTGTGTCATATTCTGGCAGGAACACGCCATTTCAAGATTGGTATGGTGATACAGTATTCAAGTTCAGGCTCAAATGACAGCACTCGATCGTTTGTCCTGTTTGGTATCACAACCTGACATAGATGCCAATGAAAACATTGCTATCTGCCAGCTTGGGGAGCAGTAATGTTGTTATGAATGATCAATAAGCGAGGATGGCTGTGAGGTCTAGCAAAAAAAGAAGTGTAGGAAGTCCTAAGATGGCTTGTTAGCTGAATATTATAACAACCCAAACTGTGCAGAATCTAGGAAAGGGTATAAAGAGAAGAGAGGGCATTTGGACTACCGTGATCTGTGAAAGTCCACAAAATGCGTTTCTTGATGACATTGACAATGGCTGCCCATTTGGTACATCCACAATGCCATGAACATATTGTTTTTGCATAACCCAAACACTAAAGAGGAGCGAATTAACTACAAAAGTCTTGACTGCTCTTGAGAATTTTGCCAGTGGATGGGTTAAGGGGGTTCTGGTTAAGGAATTTACTGAAAATGGTTTATGATTACAAAGGTAATTTCACTGTTCACTGTAACCATGCTGATTCACTAATAGTAAATCTTCATTAGTCAGGACTTATGGTATCATTGCAATGTACAGTATCTAAAAAGAAAGTATCTGACAGGATGGGTCTGATGGCTTCCAAAATTATACGTACAACTCGTGATGACTCGGGAGGATTGGTATGCATGTCTTCACCCACCGCCATTCAGTATCCAACACGGGGTGAGTTGACATATAGGAATAAAATAAATGGTTAAATGATTACTATTACACAGTATAGGGAGATAACACACATATCCCAATACCTGTTGTCTCACAGAGTATGCACAGATACTTTTTTTAGCTACTGTACATGGCTCTCCTGGATAACAAAGACAATGTATCTCAAGTAAAAAGCACAACATTAACATCAAAGTTTATGGATCATTGGCAGATCAAACGTTTGACTAAGGTTGTTTCTTAGTTTGAAAATGCCATATAAAGTACACGGAGAGGTTTCCTTACTGGTAACAAAATGATCACTTCACACTTTAGCATTGTTATACTGTACTGTACGTACATTATTTGACTGGTGTAAGTCCTGCTCTGAATATTGCCCAGCCACTTTTCTTGTCATTTCTGGGTTAATTCCTTGATTGTTTCTTTACACAATGAATATTAGCAGCTGATAATTATGGTGACAATGGTCCCAAATATTAAGGACCCAGGGGGATGACAATGATCTCAATGGTTAAGGGCCCAGAGGGTGACATTGGCCCAAAGGCCAGGGCAGGGCAGGGGTTTATCTCGGCTGAATAAAATCATCTGCCATTAGTCAGAAGAAAATACCTACATGCAATGCTACCCTCTAAAGGGTTAAGGGTCCAAGGGGGTGACAAAGGCCACAAAGTTTAAGGGGCCAGGGGGGTGACAATGACCTTTATATAACTGTTACCCAGTTGGACCCTTAATATCTGAGGCCACGCTATTGTCACTCCCTGGGCCCTTAACCTCTTGCACCATTGTCACTTTTAAGTGTTAGCCATTTTTCCAGTTAAATTTGGTACATATATTTAATTAGAGGAACTAGCATTTTAGTACAGTATATGAAGTCTATAGTACTGTCTGGTATTACTATTGTGGGCTTTCATGCATTACAGTTAGACCTCCCTAAGTTGGACTATATGAGGCTTGAGGCTGTCCGACTCATGGGTAAACCCCCCCCCGAGTGCTTTCAACTATCATTTTGTTGAACAACCCTTCCAGAAACAATATTAAAGTTAATAGTATACTGTACATTTACATTGCACTTACTTTTGTTGTAGCAAATGAATTTTGAGGTGGGGGACAGTGGGAGGGGGGGTGTTCACACTTATACAGTAATACCTGTAATCACACTTATATCTTATTACACTTACATTTAATTACATGTATGTTACACTTATATTTTATTACCCTAATATAACACTTAAATTTAATTACATTTATATCTAGTATGCACTTAAATCTGGCTGTTGTTGTAAAAAGTACTCCTTCAGCCCAAACTGCTCACACAGTAGATCACATTCATGAAGACCCCAGCATATCTTCAGTTTCTCTTAGATTGATAGAGTTTTAACCCTTAAGCCCCGGGTTAGGGTGCTGCTGGCAGAAACACCCCCTCCCGCAGGGTTAAATTGAGGGAAAAAATAAATTTTTCCCAAAATAATAGTAATAAAAAAAATGGCGGGAATATGGGCGGACGTTCTGGAACGTCACCCGGGGCCTAAGGGTTAAGCACCATTCCTGTTCTCCCAGTGGGCCTCGGTGGTGATGTTTTGCATTTGCTCTAGACACCATAATAATTCGCTAGAGAAGCACTAATTATGAAGAAGAAGAAAAAAAACTGCTTGATGGAGCAGTGATCACGAGAATAGACATGCAGCAATAGTTGTAAGTTAGAGGTCTTGCTTTCTATCTTTCCACCTCACCCTGGTTGTTTGCTGCTTTGTTAAGGCTGCAGTGCAAAATTTTAGGCTTGAACAATGAACTAAAAAAAGAAGGAAGGTATGCTGAATCAGTCATATTGCAACTACTGGTATATTAATAAACTCTATTCTCAACAGGTTTGATGAGAAGGAATCTGTGTCTGGTACTCAACAGTTGAAGTCATCTGTTCAGAAAGGAATCCGAAACAAATTGATCGAGTCCTATCCATCCCTTGGGGACAACCTTGAGAAAATCCTTCCTAAGAAAGATGCTTTTAGGATTGTTAAATGGTATGGCTTATGATTCAGACCTCAGTTGCCTGTTTTGTGTTCATGTGTTAAGAAAGTAACTAAGATATGAACAAAATAAAAAAGAATTACAATTAATGAATTAAGGCAAAGGTTGTTTGGAGGAAAATGTAAATTAAGATATAGTATGATCACAAATAGACTTTAAAGATACATGTGTGTGGTTTTGCAATTTGATTTTCTGAGGGGCCCATCTTCATTCCAAATGTTTATCAACTTTAATTACTGGACTAGTGTTTCCAGTGTTAATTTAACACTCTCAGGGTTTTCATATGCATAAATGCAAATGGTAAAATTAATTGCCTTGGGGTCTTCTTACACAAAAATTCATATGAACGTGTGGTGGTAGAATTTGTTTGTTAAAGTTGCGTATCATCAGCTAGAAACGCATGCTGTCACTTTCATATGTCTGGCAGCTTCCCTGCCTGTGTGCACTCACCACTGCAGCCATCACTGTTGTCATGTCGGAGAAAATTGTTCTATTGTAGGAAATTTTTATATCCTCAGGAAATGCCATTATGCATTGAAGTGCTCATTTTTTCACAATTCTTCTATACAGTCTTTATTTTGTGCTAAACATATAAGGATTACTGAGGAACAATTTCATGTCCCTAGTAAATATAATAATGCTGGTATGGTACTGTATAATATTATGTATAAGCATTTTACTTATGCATACTACAGGTTGACAACCCCTTATCCAAAATTCTGAAAACCTCTGAAAACAGAAAGTTTTTTCGTGGAGCATCACATCTCTGATATTTATATTATTTTTTATTTATTTATTTTCATTTACTTATTTTTGGGGGGGGGGATTATCCCACCCGGGCGCAGGTCACTGACTCACATCGGGGCCTGGGGGACGAAAATGTAATAATAATAACAACAACAACAATAATAATAATAATAATTCATAGTAGATAAAGTTTATATTAAAATACACAATTAAAATAAAATAATATTGATAATAATAATAACAACACTAATAATAATAAAATAATAATAGTACAGTCAGTTCTGCTATAACGCGATAGTTGTGTTCTTGTAAAATATCGTGTTATAGAGAATCGCGTAATAGAAATAACAGGGCTTATGGAGAAAATAGGGTTAGGTGCAGATTACTACTCGAAATAAAAAAAAAATTAGTAGTTAGCCTAACACAAAGGATAGCACAGTGTAAATAAATGTTACATTCCTATCTAATAATGAAATCATACAGTAAATGTAACACTTTACCTTGAAAAAATATGAATATAACTTGATGGGGGAGAAGGGTGATTTTGAGGTTGATAACATCGAGCTTCTCTTCAAGGGTTATAGCCTTTCTTTTACTATCACCACCGGGAATTCGATCACCTGAACGCTTCTTGGAGATATTCTTCTTTACCATCTTCACAGTTAATACCACAAAATTGGAGAAATAGTAAGCAAAAATCGCGTTACAGCAAACAAGCGTTCGCGTTATACAAATATCGTTCCTCTATTCATAAATCGCGTTAGAGCAAATTCGCGTTATCAAAACGCGTTATAGCAGAACTCACTGTACTGTAATAATAAAATATTAATACTAATAATAATAATAAATAACCATAAAGAAATACAAAAATGAAAAAAAGATCAAAAGTGAGAAACACGACCGAGACGTGAGGCTACTGGCGCTTGACCCATGCCGGGCGGTGGGTGTGAGGCGTCACTTGTGTCTCAGTGTTGCTACTAGTCACACCTGTGTCTGCTGCTCTCTTATACAGTATTTTGTGTGATTTTGTTTAATTTCACTGTGAAATTACCCTATGGGTAACAGTGAGAATAAAAGGAAGCATCTCATTATCGATAGCACAGAAAGTGGAGTTGTTACAAAAGCTTGATCGTGGTGAGCTAATCCCCGGAAAAAAAATCATTTTGAAATCCGAACAATTATGAAATCTGAAACAAATCTGGCCCCAAAGATTTCGGATAAGAGGCTGTCAACCTGTTATATTTTTTCTTTGTACATTTTCATAAAAAAAACTTATTTTGTCATGATTACTGCACCTATCTAACACTATTTATAGGTAATTTACCTGCAATTCTCAAAGTTCAAACCTCATGTTTTTATCTCAAATAGTACATGTGCTATGACTAAAAATGTAGAGGTACTGTACGTGATGTGCACGGGTGTAGTGTGGGAGGGAGACTGTGAGAGCACGGAACCTGAGCAGCCCGCCACCGAGGGCGGCAAAATCTTAAGTGTTAATTTAGACTTGCATTGACCTCTTAATTGTTTTTGTTTTTTAATTTTACTTATTTATGTGTCTGCTTATGAAAATAGATAACAGTAAAGAATACATAAAAGTTGTATACTTTTCTTGTTAGTACAGGTACTATTTACAGCATCACACATGTGCTGTTTTTCCACTTATGAAAAATAAGGTGATGCAAGTTAGAATTTTCTTAGACTTGTGGACTTTATATTCAAAAGATTTCCAAATACTGTATGTTGCTTCAATACAAACTTTAAAATACTAAATGTGGTGAAGGGAGGCATGGGTGGGAGTATTACACAGACAAGTCATAAAACCTCACATAGCTGCATCATGGGCTTGTTCCTTTCTTCAACCCACAACCTAGAAAAATGTTCTCCCTATTTTACTGCTTAGATCGGTTTTACTGGATTTAGAAAAAGATTAGAAGGATTAGTACTGCAGTGTAACTTTAAAGAAGTTTTGAATTTAAGATTTGTATAAGGTGCAAATGTTGTTGGTTTTCTAAAATTAAATAACTATGTAAATACTAAGCTAATCTTGCAAATGTGTTGCCATACCTGGAAGAGGAAAAAGTTGAAGATAATTTTGTGAAGATTAAACGAAATTGTGATTTTAGTTGGGAAAGGTGTAGGAGTAGATATTGGAAATCTGTAAGATAGAAAGGACATTCAACATGTCTTGTTTTCTCTTTAGTCGATGCGTGTTATTATAATTAACAATGGCATCAACTGAATAGTTTAAGACAATTCAGAGTCATCCAATCATCTTAAAAAAATTCTTTACATTTTGTTTAGGTTCTAATTGTAGAATTTGTAAAAAATTGTCACAAGAGTTCTTTACGGAAACTTCATAATTATGAACTGTGCAAGTACAGATTTAGGTATACAGTACATTATATGTAGCATGGGAAAAGTCCCCATTGTTGTACAAGGGAAAATGTTATGTAAGTATATGTGGTACAGTATTACCATAAGAATAATATATTTTTACAGTCATGAACACATTGAATTGCTTGTAAGAAGTGATGGGGAACTGCTGTTCTTCAGACAAAGGGATGGACCATGGATGCCTACTCTTAAACTTCTGCACAAATGTAAGTGTATGTTTAAGAATACTGTACAGTAATCGGCCAAATTTTTACTCTACCACTAAAATCTCTTAAGATGTCCAGAGGTTTAAATGCCCCAGAGTGACATTACATCAATGCTCACCCAGAGCTTAAGTCTTTGTGATGTCAGTGCTTGGTAGCATTGATGTCAGAAATCATTTAAATTCTGTTGGGGTGCACCGGATACACTGTCTAGTCGGGTAGTGGATATTTCTCCTATCCGGTATCCAGCTGGATAATTTGTACTCTCCATTCGGATATTTAAAATTTTCTAATCATTCTACTGTATCAGGTACAGTACAGTATATAAATACAATAAAATAAAGATAAAAGAAATCAAAAGTGTACAGGCGAGCTATAGCTGTCTAAATGGTTTTGCCATTGTGTTGGTTGTCATACACAAAGTTTTGGTTAATCTTTTTTTTAAATATTGATTTTCTGCTAAATTGTTGGTAACCCTGTAAATGTCGTCTTACCTAAGTTATAGCTAAGTGCTCTTGTTCAAGAAATTTTAGAGGAATTTAGGTGAAATTTAAGTCGCTACAAGCTTGCAGTTGTCAAGCAAGTACGCTAGTAGCCATGACTGAGACTACTGTCTTCATTAGCCTACTTCCTAGGCCAGCCAAACAAAACAATTCTCATGACTCTGTACCAAAATATATGTGTTTGGTAGGGAATTAATTATATACCAGCTTGGAAAATACCAAACTTAAGATTTATGTAGAGTAAAGTGTATATTTCTGTAATGACTATGATAAGACTGTAAGAAGAATCGTATAGTTTTAAATTTTATCTTCTTTGCCACTGATCGGCCAGTTAGCCACTTGAGCAGTCAGTCACATCTCTGTTACGCACTGTTAGCAAGTACTGTTCATGCACTAGCTTCAGAATGTATCTGTACCAGTGTTGGTCAAGTCTGGTCTTATATGAGGCTTCAGGAGTAGGAGGGCAAAAACACCAAAGTTATGTTTTAAGTAGAGTGCATTTAAAGTGAAGAAATGTGTAAATAACTCAAATATCACTACATTTTCATTATTTTCGTAAATCCAGTATCCATCTGGATACAGGTAGTAGAATATACTGTCTTGTGCATCCCTAAAATTAAGCATGTGCTATACTGTTAATTGTAGAGTGTTTATAAAATGCCATGATGTTTGTGTTTATAGTCCCTTGAGAAAGTTACACATCCAAAAAAGCTTGGAATTTTTTTGTCATTTACTCAACAAAACTATACTTCACTAAATCCACTGTGATTTAGATTTGCTGGCAAAATTTGAAGGAATAAGTTACAATTGTCTGGTAATTCTTAACAAATTTCACCTGTAAATCAAAGGAAAATATCAGCAGACAGTTATATGCAGAACTGATGGAATACATGCCCAGTTTTTTTGGATGTGTAACATCCTGAAGGGACTCTTGACAAATAACAGGGCACTTTGTAAACCCCCTACAGATCAATACAGGTATGAAGGAATCAAAGGAGAAAGACTATTCTGTAAAGAGGGTTGAAAAAGTTACCTGACTTTTCTCTCACCACTCTTAGAGCACATCTACACAGAACTTATTGACATGACAACCTCATGGACAGTGTTACCTGAATTTTTTTTTATCTTTCCTCACACCACTTCTTCATATGGCCACCTTGCACATTCCTTCACTCGTCAGTGACCAGACCAACTCCTTTCCTAATGTATTCCCAACTACAATATAGTGTACACTAACTCATGTTGGCTGCAGGCCTCTTGCTGGCAGGAGTAATACTGTGCACTGTTTATATGTGTGTGTATGTCTCTTGTTACCTAACCTATTTTATTACATAAGTTTTGTCAGTAATGTACTTTGTGCAGTGTGCGAGGTATTTCATCATAACTTTTTGCTAGATATGGAAGCTACTGTACTAAAATTCTGTACAAAAGCTGTGGATTTGGATCCAGGGACTCTTGAAGTAAGGAGGCTGGAGCTTATTCACAGATTAGCCAACTTCCCAGTAACAAATATGACGCTTGATAAGGGGTCTTAGAAGCTCTTAGGTACCCCTGAAGTCTAGAAGCTAATGAGCCATGAAGCCACAAGACTGGTGGGCTGGCAGCATCAGCCACATGCTCCATCAGAACAACACTCTTCTTTTCCAATTGCTCTTTTATTATGAATCTAAGGGCCTGGTCTCATATTGTCCTCAAGGAGTTTTGGGCGGGGCTACAGTTTCTGATATTTAATATACGAGAGCATTTTTACCTCTTTCACTCAATATTGTACAGAAATAGCTTACTGTACATTAACAGCCTAACTAGCAGTCAGCAGGTGTGGTACCTCAAGAACCCATAATACTCCAGCAGTATGCCTACCACTTTGTGCTAGCCACTGACTACACCTGAGGTGGCTCAAAATCCTTCCTTTTGTCATATTTCCATCCTAGTTCAGAGATTTAAGAGGTTGTGTTGGACTAGTTGATCTACCCCTTGTCATATGGGTTCAGGAAATTTTGGCACTGCCTCATCCACTTCCTGTATGAGCTAGGAATTTGGTAATTGGATGGTGTTTGGTATTCCTGATTCACAGTTATGTATTTTGGGAATTATTTTTCTGCTAGACTAGGCTCGTTATCCCAGTAAGGATAAGTGACCAAGTTTTAGAGGATTTATGTAAATTCATGTGTACTGTATTGCAAGATTTATCGGGTGATACAGGAGTGTATTTGGTGATTTTGATGGAAGTCATTGATGTTTTCCAATTTGGTTTGGCAACACTGGACCTTCCTTCATGGAAATAGGTGAGTGGAGAATACAGTTCAGCACCTTGTTAATAATACATTAAATAAATTTAACAAAATATTTCAATTTTACTCCTGGAGTTGATATTCATAAGGAGGAATAATGCATCATTTATGTATTTTATGGCTTGTTTATTTAGATAGGTAACTTTTGTTGCTTGAGCAATCTTCTGTCAGAAATGAATGGTATCATGGAATGAAGAAAGTCTTCACCCACTTATGGGTTTAATTTAAAACTACTGTAGGAATTGGAGATGTGGTGCTCTAAATCCTCTTATGTGGTTGAACAAATAAGGAATATTTTATTACTGCTAAACAATACCATTATTGAATGTTTTAACAAGATCATTGTAAGCCCTCATCATGTAATAAAAATTCCAACGAATCATTTAATCTTCTTGCTTATAAAACTTTTTACATTTAATTCTAAATTATATTGCACAAATTATATATTATAAGGGCTGTAGTACAGGTATAGTAAATAATATTTTCAGTAATTTTTCCATTACATTAGATTCCTGATTTTGCATTTACACAACCCCTTTAGAGATGCAACACCACATAAAGATGATGGTTTAATGTTCTTCCAATAAAAGCTTCATTTTATATTAAAATTGACATCACATTCTTAAAATTGGTTTTGGAAGACCTATTATAGTACAGTATTTCCACACTAACCTGGCCCGTAAGCCATGCCCCTCTTATATAAAAATGGCTGATTGGTTCATAGAAATACAAGACCTTACTGTACTTTATCCACTAACTTGGCATCTCCCCATCTTAAATGTTGCATTGTGACAAGATTTATGGAATAATATATGCTACAAAATATTAAGAAGCGTTGTAGAGGTTTTAACATTTTCATCCTCTGTCTTCAAGTATCAAGAAATTTGGTGCAAATGAACAAAAATCTTGGCCATTGATAGACGAGAAATAGTTAATTTGTGTCATAGTATTCTGATGCGAGCTCTACCATACTGGCAGTACGAGTCAAGTATCCAATTGATCTTTCACTGTTGGCTGATCACCTTGTCGATGTGGCTGTTCCCCCGAGTGTTTTACCCCCTTCCCGGACTGCGTGTATTTATATAGTTTTATCACTTTATAAATGATTTAGGATATATCCAGCTGTACAGACTGTATTTCATTACCTATTGTACTATGTTTGGTATCATTTGTTTCTGTTTGGTTTGTTAGGCACAAAACAAAGAAATAGTGAAAAGACGGCATTCGAAAGCGAATTTCATCTCTGACTTCGACCTTTTATGATAAATATTTAACATTTTCTAACATCCTCTCTGATGTGCTAATGCCTTGAGATCATTTGCATATAGATAGTCCAGATATTTAACGTTATTTTAAAGAATAACAGGTCTGCTTACCAATTGTGAACACATTTAGTTTGAATAAATGGACAGCTAGATGAACATTTTCTATGTACCAATCAGCTATTTTAATAGAAGAGGGGCATGGCTTACAGGCCAGGTTAGCGTGGAAATAGTATAGTCATAACATCTTTCTAGCAAAATATTCATGATAACAATTTAAGTCCAGTGGGTTTTGGATGGAGGAAGTTGCACAGTAGTATAAAGTGATTTGTTGAATGCATAATTCAGTACAATATTCAGTAGTACAGTACAGTATTTAACATTTTGCTGTATCCATATTGCAGATCCCTTCATGTTGCCATGGATGCAGGTCGACAAGGGTGCTATTCGCTTCATCCTCAGTGGTGCCAACATAATGTGTCCAGGATTAACCTCACCTGGTGCTAAAATGTCAAAAGTAGACCAGCATACAGTAGTAGCAGTGATGGCAGAAGGTAAACAGCACGCTCTATGTGTGGGTATAGCCTCCTTGTCTGCAGAAGATATTGCCAAGACTAATAAAGGCATTGGTGTTGAGAACTGTCATTATCTCAATGATGGACTCTGGTACATGAAACCTGTCAAGTAATTAATGTGAAATTTAGGTTACTGTAAAATTACTGAGATATGCATTTTTTTTCTTTTCAACGTGTATTGAATAAAGATGATGATGAAATAATTTGCCTCTAATTAATTCACTATGTGCAGGTACACCATCAATTTTCTGGCACCCTTGGCTCCTAAGCCTTGCTGGATAATCCATTTTCTCGGATTAACCAATGGTCATATAATAACAACCTCTAATACTCCACTAACAATTCACCAGTACGCCTCTGACCCACTATCCATACATCTTTCAGTATCTCTAAAGAACAATAGGCTGCTAGAAAATTAAATTAAACATACTAATTGTAAATTAAATGATTAAATGAAAAGCAAGTATAAATGGTACAGTACAAATAAAGGTTTATTAATCGCTTACATACATAATATATTGTAGAACTGCTTCTCTCTAACTGATGAAATTTAAAGTTGTACTGTTGAGCTAACCACAAAGTTCTGGAAGTGTAGTTACCTGTCCATCATGGACTGGAGATGTTGAGGGTGGCTCATCTGGGGTAGCTGAAGTTGAGGCTACAGGATTTTCACGTACTGCTCTGACTTGCATTCTTCTTGGCTATCTTCCTAAACATATCCAGCTGAAGCTGTTTCATGTACTTTGGTCATTCTCTGATTAATTTCTCATGCATGTCATGAAACTACATTGCTCTTACCTTTGATTAAATCACTGGACAACTCAACTGATCAATAGCAAGTTTCATCTTAATCACTTTCATTGTTTTATCAGGGTTTACAACCATTTCTACAATTCAGAGTCAGAATAGTGATGGACAATAGGTGCATCTTCATCCACTCGGCCAGATTTTCTCGACTTAAGCTTGCTGCTATACCCTTGGCAATGGGTTCTGTAACATTTCTGGCATACTCCAGCAACTCATAAACAACTTCTTTCTCTTTTTATACACAAAAGTCCAGTAAAATCAGCATTATTTTCATCAGGGCATTTCACCAGAATTAAGGCAGGCCACAATTTATGCCAACCTCTTTTTACCATTGATGAGTCCACTATATCCCAGGCATTGGAGATGAACCAACGCATACTTTGGATGTTAAATTCTCTAAAGAAAGTCTCAACAGGGTCGGGACGGGATAGGTTTGGTTTGGTCGGGTTATATCAGGTTAGGTTGGGTTGGGTAAAATTAGACCAGAGATATCGTTGTAGACGGCATGCTATCGTAACACCATAAAAAGTTCTTGTATGGTTTTATTACTTACTATCATCCAAAGATCTTCTATGGAAACAAAAACGAACATAACCAAACAACTGCTCCTGGTGTTACCCGCCTGCTGCAGTATTACCACAAATTTAAACGACAATGTACAGGTTTGAAAGTTAGGTTAGGTTAGGTCACGTTCTAGTAGGTTCTGTGCATTCTCACTTCCATTTTCGTGTTTGGTATCATATAAATATTATCTCCAGAAACTTTGGTTCAAAATCATAAATTATTTCTGGTATAAACCTTCACTCAGCTCACTATGGTAAAAATTTGTTTTATCCCAATTTTCCCAATTTGTATTAGATATTTTTCTGATGTATTTTGGTTAGGTTAGGTATTATAGTGGACACTGTTGTAGTTTGTGGAAATATATTAAAAATTTATATTTTTAAAATAAATGCGACTTAACATTTGTGGGCAAGAACAGACCTAACCAACCAAACAAATGTACCTAACCCCACCTAACTTCCCCGGTATATTAAACAGAAAGAACTTACTATGATATGGTGATATTTGAGGCATTTTCTGGACGTGAGATGAGACGGCCGCATCGGTGCTATGCAGCCCTGGCGGGTTAGTCTTATACATTAACCAAAATCTGAAATACCTATTGGGATAAAAACGAATATTAACCCTATTAATTTCTGCAAATTCACCAAATCGTCGACGGCAACGAATTATTTCTTACTACAAGCACCAATATAAACCTCACTAATATCAAGGCAGCATAATATATAAAATGACAGTTTATCTTTGCAATTACTTTTTCATAAAACATCTTCACCTAAATTTCCATTTGATGACGGAATAAAACCCTCGGTACTACCTGTTGGGTTGACAAACTTCCATGGCAGTGGTTAACCAACTCTAACATCACATGTCACTTAATTATGAAAATAAAAATACCCACAATTTACTCACCACAGAGGACAGTAGCGATATGAGCTTATGTTTAAATAACTTAGTATAAATATACTAAAAATGTAATCACCACACAACAGCCAGTCACGATACGTCCTTCCCTCACGCCTCACTCGGGCACATGACTTGCTAGTGACGTCACAATGGTGTGTTATACCAAGGAAGGAATATAGTGCATAGAGAAACTTGTACTACATGCAATTAACATTCAGTCCCTGACTGCTGCATCATCTCTCGATTTAATTTTACCACAAATATATTTTAGTTCGTCATAGAAAGCGTGTTGTTGTCTAGAGGACGAGTTAGTCTTTAGCGTAGACTCCTGTTAGGGGAGAGGAGGAACAATGGGAACGTCTCCAGCACAGGAACAATGTAATAGTTTTTGGAGTCCCTGAGAGCCAGGCGGAGGGAACCAAGAGTAAGATAACACACGATAAGATGCAGTTTAAGAATATTTGTACAGAGGTTCTGAAGATGCCATCAACCCCTCAGGAAGTGTAAGAGGATGCACCTGGGGCATACCAACGGTAAGGAGGCGTATAATATGTCCCAATGGGATGAAGAAACTGCACTATTTGAGACTTAATGTGAGAAGGACCTAGGTGTGTATGTTGACAATGAGCTGAAGTTCTCGGGCCATTGCGAGAAGAAGGTAAATCAGGCAAATAAATTATTGGGTCTTATAAGAAGGTCGTTCAGATATCTAGATGGTCCGTCCCTCGCAATGATCTTCAAGAGTGAAGTGCTTCCCCATCTGGAGTACTGTCACCCCGTCTGGTCCCCGAGATATGCTAGGGACTGGCAGTTGGTTGAAAATGTTCAAAGGAGGGCCACCAGACTGGTGACTGCACTTCGGCACCTCAGCTACCCTGAGAGATTGGAGCGCCTGAACTTGCCTAGCTTATACTACAGACGGGCAAGGGGTGACCTAATTGAGGTGTATAAGCATCTCAAGGGGCACTACTCAGTCGAGTGCCCTTACTTGGAGCTGGCAGACGCTCGCCCCACAAGGGGTCACAGCTCAAGATTGAAGAAGCCGCAAGTCCAGAAAACTGTGAGGGCAAACTTTTTCGGAGTGAGGGTTGTGAACTCTTGGAACAATCTGCCAGAAAGTGTTGTGACGGCACCGAGTGTGAGCTCTTTCAAGACAAGACAAGACTTGACCAACACTGGAGCGGGTTCAGGTACATTCAGGAGCCGGTGCATGCCCAGTACTTGCCAACAGTGCATAACAGAGACGTGACCGATCGCCCAAGCGGCTAACGAATCAATCTTTTGGTGAAGAGGATAAAAGAAAAAGAAAAGTAATTAGAGACTTGACCAATCGCCCAAGCAGCTAACGAGTCATCAGTGGTGAAGAGGATAAAAAAAAAAAGGATGTGAGGAGGCTGGGACAAAAGCAGGGGGACAAGCCTCACCGCCTCAGGATCACACTAGAGAGTGAGGAGGAGAAATGGGAGGTTATTCGGCAGGCAAAAAACTTAGCAAGGAGCGAGGCATTTCGGAGTGTATTCATTCACCCAGATCAAATGGTAATGCAGAGGGAACAGCACAGGAAGCTCCTGCAGGGCTTGATGCAGAGAAGGGAGGAGTCGAGGAGGAGCGGGGTTGGGTGTACATGGGTTGTATTCAGGGAGAGAGTGGTGGAAGCAAGTGTGCCGACACAGGGCCAGGGGGCAGCAGTGCACCCTCTACCCGCTCTACCCCCCGCCCGGGGGGTTTCACCAGCTCTGCCTATCAACCGGGAGGAGGCGAGCACCTTGTAAACAATGACATTTCTAACCACACCCTGCAAAATACAGTGTACTTAGCAAATGCTGCAGCTTCTGAGAATGGGGCGGGGGGTTACTACTAAGAGCAGAGACATTACTGAGAACAAATTCAGGCTTGAATGTCATGTACACTAATACTGACACGTTCCTTGATAAGGGAGAGGAGTTTGAAACACTACTGAAGGTACACCAACCAGATATTGTAGGTGTCATCGAACTGTTGTACAAGAACAGGAGAATCGACCCAGAGAAATGTGAGTTCAGTATTGCTGGATATGACTCATTTACGAACCTTTCTCAAGAAACCTGCAAGAGGGGTGTGGTTATCTATGCTAAGCAAGACCTTGGAGCCAGCCAGGCGAGGGTACAGGGAGAGGATGTTTTTGAAGAGTCCAAGTGGTGTAAAATTAAACTAAAGGGAGGGGACTTACTTATTGTCAGGTGTACCTACAGATCCCCAAACTGTGGCCCACTAAATCAAAGGAACTTAAGAGCCTTAATAGACAATGCGGCGATGTTCAACCCTAGCCACCTCCCTATCATGGGGGACTTTAACTATGACGACATCGACTGGAGAAACGAGTTCACCCCAAATGAGTTGAATAACCCTGCTACTCTTTATGTAGAAACTCTGAGAGATAATTTTCTGTTCCAACATGTTAGAGACCCAACACATTACAGAGGGGAGCAAACACCCGAGCCACTTGACCCCATCAAAACAAACAAGGAGGGTATGGTGGCCAAACTGGAACACCTTGCCCCAGTTGGCACTAGTCACCATATAGTGTTGTCATTCAGATTTAACTATTACCTAGTTCTAGATAAGGCCAGGCCAAGGTGCAAATATTACAGGGGAAATTACAACAGGATGAGGGAAGAGATGATGGGTATCCCCTGGCCTGACTCGTTAAGACACAAGAACGCAGACACTACGCTGAATATCATAACTAGTAAAGTGACCTATTTGATTGATAAATATATACCCAAGACCAAACCCAGTGCCTCTAAGAATACGAGGGGGTCCCTACACATGAACCATGCGGCGGTCGACAAAGTTAAGAAGAAAACCCAGAAATTCAAGACGTGGGTTGGGTCAAATGATGAGGATGTATGCAAGAGCCAGAAACTAAGCAAAGATAGAATGTAGAAGGGCTGAAAAGGAATTCCAGAGGCTGGTTGGAATCGAGGTCAAGTCAAACTCAAAGGCGTTTTACCGCTATGCAAAGTCGAAATTAAAATCGCGAGTAGGACTATGACCTGAGGCTTGAAGATAGCAGTTACGCAGATTCTGACCAGAATAAAGCTGAGGCATTGAATAGCTTCTTTTCTTTGGTGTTCACAAGAGAGGATGCGATTAACCTTCCTGCGTTTGAGGACAGACGGTTCGACACAGCACTGACCCACAGTGTGTTCACATAAGAGGGTATTAGAAATAAACTGTCAAGGTCCATAAGAGTCCCAGCCCTGACATGGTGCATCCCAGAATGCTAAGAGAGTTGAGCAACGAGCTTGCCGAGCCCCTGAAGATCCGGTTTTGTAAATGCCTGGATGAACGAAAGGTCCCCAGTGAATGGAAAGTGGCCTATGTGAGTCCTATCTTCGAGAAGGGAGATCATCACTCCACGAACAACTATAGACCGGTGAGCCTGACCAGCATAATATGTAAAGTACTTCAGAGTATTATCAGAGATGCCGCGATGGAACATCTAGTACGAAACAACCTTGTAAGGAATTGCCAACACGGTTTTATGCCGGGGCGCTCCTGCTTAACACAATTGCCCAAGGTATTGAATATTTGGACCCATATTCTGAAATGGAGTGGTAATATCGACAATATTACCTAGATTTTGCCAAGGCTTTCGACAGTGTACCCCACGAAAGGCTGAAAATCAAACTGGAAGGGTACGGAATTTCGGGAAATGTCCTAGCGTGGATAGAAGACTTTCTACATGACCACAAGCAGTGTGTGGTAATTAATGGCACGAAATCATCATCCGTACCTGTCACAAGCGAGGTACCACAGGGCAGTGTATTGGGCCCGCTGTTGTTTGTTTGTTTCATAAATGAGATGCCTGACGTTGTACATTCCTCCATACAAATGTTTGCCGATGACGCCAAGTTATTTAGGGAAATCAAGAACCAAGCGGACTTTGAAGAGCTGCAGAAGGACCTCTGTGGGCTCCAAGAATGGTCGAAGAAATGGCTGCTGAAATTCAATGTCACAAAGTGTAAGAGGATGCACCTGGGGCGTACCAACGGCAAGGAGGCGTACCATATGTCCCAACGGGATGAAGAAACTGAGCTATTTGAGACTTAATGTGAGAAGGACCTAGGTGTGTATGTTGACAATGAGCTGAAGTTCTCGGGCCATTGTGAGAAGAAGGTAAATCAAGCAAATAAATTATTGGGTCTTATAAGAAGGTCGTTCAGATATCTAGACGGTCCGTCCCTCGCAACGATCTTCAAGAGTGAAGTGCTTCCCCATCTGGAGTACTGTCACCCGTCTGGTCCCCGAGATATGCTGGGGACTGGCAGTTGGTTGAAAATGTTCAAAGGAGGGCCACCAAACTGGTGCCTGCACTTCAGCACCTCAGCTACCCTGAGAGATTGGAGCGCCTGAACTTGCCTAGCTTATACTACAGACGGGCAAGGGGTGACCTAGTTGAGGTGTATAAGCATCTCAGGGGGCACTACTCAGTTGAGTGCCCTTACTTGGAGCTGGCGGACGCTCGCCCCACAAGGGGTCACAGCTCAAGGCTGAAGAAGCCGCAAGTCCAGAAAACCGTGAGGGCAAACTTTTTCGGAGTGAGGGTTGTGAACTCTTGGAACAATCTACCAGAGAGTGTTGTGACGGCACCGAGTGTGAGCTCTTTCAAGACAAGACTTGACCAACACTGGAGCAGGTTCAGGTACATTCAGGAGCCGGTGCATGCCCAGTACTTGCCAACAGTGCGTGACAGAGACGTGACCAATCGCCCAAGCTGCTAACGAGCCGGTCAGTGGCGAAGAAGATAAAGAAAAGGATAGATAATTGGCTGGTCCGTCACCATCATCAGAGGTTCCTCCCTCGTCTGGTCCCCGAGGTATATAAAGATTATCAATTGATTAAAAAATTCCAAATGAGGACCACCATGACCGACCAGTGACGAAGAAAATAAAATATATCAAATAAACAACCAATTAATACCTCCTTCACCTCATTAACTAGTTACAGAAAACGAGCCTAAAATAAATAATTAAATACAACCAAAAAAAAACTTAATAACCTAATTAATAGTTTAGTTTATATCATATTAATAAGTATTTAATTTAAAACAGAAAATATAGCTCAAATATAATAAATATCATCAAACACAGAAGGTAATAATTATCATGGCGTCTGTATACAATAGAGACGCAGGTAACACATTCTAGAACTTACACAGGTAACTTACTATATTAAGAGGGTAATGGCATGTTTATCTTGATATTTAGAGGTTATATCATTATTTTTTAGTTTATTATGGTCACTATCACCTACAAGAGACAGTTGAGTTTTATGAATGTATAGGTAATAGATATTTTACCTTTAACAGCTAAAATCCTATTAGTAAGGACAATGTTTTTCTACCATATTTTTTGTTAATTATTAGTGTTTCTTTTTTAGGTATTATTTTATTTTAGGATATGGCGTACCCTAATGTTTTTAACTACTGAAAAATTTATGTTAGTTTAAGCTAGGCCGTCCTGGGTCAGAGTCCTCGGCTAGGGGTTAGGTTAGGTTAGGTTAAGTACTGACTACATTACATATATAGTCAGGGGGCGGTAGGTTAGGTTAGTGCTTTGTGTACATAAAATCATTAAAAAAAATTCCTGCATAAATTTTGCTGTTTTATTTACTGGAGGATGTTGATTTCTCTGGAAAAGATGAAAAAAATTCATGCTTGACGATGATTGAAAAACATTAGTTTTTTTTCCACAGAAAGAACTATCTCCATTAATAAAAGCAGCAAAATTCATGGAGGAGAAAAATGTTTTTGCTGGCAAAATCGCTCGCACCACTTAAGTAAACGTTTACCCTACTAACTCTATTTTGCCATGAGTGTGCTCTGATTGGCTAATCGTCCATTACCGGCGAACAACACAGGAACTATATTTGACCGTGAATGACGGCATTTGGCATTTATTTCACCATGAGTATCGCTGTGTAGCTATAAACATACCTATGACGACCCGTGGTGTAATGGTCGGCATGTTCGTCTCGCAAGCGAGCGGACCTGGGTTCTATCCCCGGGCAGGGTGAAACTATGGGCATATTCTTTTCCCCATTTGCCTCTGTCTACTCAGCAGTAATTGGTAACCTGGATGTTAATCAATTTGCAGATAGTGTTCCGGGGTAATGGTTAGCCAGTGCAGTTGGCGAGTTGTCCGGTCTTCTCGGACTATTCCTTGACACTGGGTCGTGCAGCTCGTTAACTCAGGGTGTGGTTGTTGTGTTGGTGACAGCTTCTACACCTTAAACAAATTCACGCCTAGGTGGCCCTAGGGCTGGTCATCCTCATTACACAAGGAGCAACCATTACCATTACATAAACATACCTAACCATATTTCTGTTGTGCATGGAAACTTATTGTAATAAAAGAGGCAACATTTGCTAGAACCTAATAGAACCTTACCTAACCAACCCTAGGAACTACCTAACTTTGGTGGTATTTTTTTCCAAGTTGCCCATAATGTCCCACAATATTTTAGGGTCCAGTTCTAGTTATATGTCGTCATTTTTAACAAATTTTCTTAGTAATGTTTCCTTTGCAAGTTAGTTTGGTTAGGTTACCCGGTTGTTGAGTTGAGTTAAGTTGGTTGCTTTGATATGAGCTATGTTGTGGGTCTTGGGGGCAGAGCTCCCCCATCATCTGGGAGTTCCAAGGGGGGCTGAGCCCCCCCTTAATTAGGTAATACTATATACAGTATATATTCTGAACAATGGTGGTTAGGTCAGGTTAGGCTTAGTTAACATAGAAACTGATTTTGAGAGGAAACTTATTTTTTTCTGATGGGTTTTGGTGTAATTCATTCGAATTTGATAATAATCTTTTGCCAAAACTTGGCTTGAATTCTCAAATTTTGGCCTTTTTACTTCTTAAAAACAGAAAATCCTAGCCAACTTTGTTCATTTATATCGCATACCATCACTTGTTTTTGCTTGCCCCTACACACAAAAACCTCTGTTTTTCACAGGTCCCCAAGATTGTCAAACTCAAGAACAAGTCATTTGCAATATAAATTTTAAAGTTGCTGGATGTTCATGTGTATGGAATACAGTACAGTAGTATGAAACAAAACATTTGATACAGTATGTAAACATAGAAGTTGGCATTTACTGGTAATGTGTTAATGTACATTAGTATTCATGACAGAAAATGCAAAAATATTACACAAATTGCAAATCTTCATCACTGGGATTTTTGTGGGATAAGAAAGTATTAATTTTCTATAAGAGACTTTGGCTAACCTGCAATACTTTTCAAAACTTACATTACTAAAACAAATTGCATGATTCAGGCTTTCTTATAGCATAAAGATTCAGAATTATTTTGTTTTGTGTGACAAAAAACATTCTCTTATGCCTTAGTTGTTATGCATTACTGATAGGGAACCGTAGTTTTAACTGAGCTAATGAACAGTGCTGTATTAATCCTTGCCAGGGCCAGAGACTACTTTTTGGCCGGTCTCAACATGAGTGCCTCCTCCAGATCACAGGTTCTCTGAGGTTGAGTAAAGAGTCTTTTGTCTCTATCTTATTTATATTTATAGGTGAAGGAGTTATATTAATAAAATGCATTTTTATATTTCTAACACATTCTCACGGGCATACACCATCACAACAGCCTCACAGACTCTCACACCTTCACACCAGCATCACACCCTCACACTATATCCAGACAGCTAATTTTGTTTGTAAAAAGAGAAACTGTATTAAAAAAAATTATTCAATATTTTTGTGGTCGGTCATGATCTGATGGCCAGAGCAAATACGTACCCCATTTACCTCTGCTATTATCCGCTGCTACTAATGAAGGTTGATTTAAAATTTCAGGCATGAAGAGGACCAGCTGAAGACACTTAAGTATTTCTAGACTGGTCCTTAACTGTGATCACCATTCTAGTGTTGAGTGAACCATGTCTAACATCCACCTGGGTCTTCCTTACCCTGGTGGAGTAGTCGATCACTCCAGCAACCTGGCGCATGATATTGGTGCTCTATATCTCAATGATGAGTACAGTGATGTTACTCTGCAGGTTAATGGACAGATATTTCGTGCACACAAAGTCATACTGGCAGCACGCAGTCAATATTTCAGGTAAGTAATATACAATACATAAACTTTTGTTCTGTCATTTATTGAGATTTATTATTTTTGTTATGTTCAAAATTTCAGTTTCTCTAACATTAGTACAGTATTGTATATTACTGTATACTCAATCTGCAGATTTGCAATTTGTGATTTGCCAATTCACAGTAAATATAATTACAGTATGGTACAAAATATTCATAGTCCATTCAGATTTATGCCTCCCCCATTATAATACACTTGGAAATACCTGTATATAGAAATACCACTGATATCTCTGTTAGGCGGAACAATTGGTGCAGAGCACTTTCGGGAATGAGAGATTTCTGGGCAACGAGGCGACTCTCAAAGCTGGAAAAAACCCTCATCCCCAGAATTTTCCGGGTAACAGAAAAATTTTCTCGGAAGTCCAGAAATTGTGCATTACATCATCTCTCAAACCTGGAAAAATATCCCTCATCCTTGGAATTTTCTGAGTACTGTGAAAATTTTCTCTGAATTTTCCAGAAAATGTGCCCCTCGGAAAATTTCAATTCCGGCTATCGGAGAGTTCCTGTTAAGAGGGATTCTGGCTAATGGAGATATTACTGTATTGTGCTGTGTAAGGCTTTCTTAATGGGAAATCATAACATTACTGAAGCTAGTTGGTAGAAAGGAATTCAGATTTCAAGCTTGTGTTTTCACTGTATTTTGCATAAAACCTGCATCAAGATGTTATAAAGCAAATACAGGTACAGTACAATAAACCATAAAAGTTCCCATATTAGAGGAGATAAAAGTGAAAAAAGAAGAGATAGGAGGAGGAAGGAAAGGATGAGAGGAAATTCTAAATATATCTTTTCCTCTATGTCCCTGTATTTGTATTGTATTGTACAGTATTTCATGTAGATCCACAGTGGAAACGTGGGCAGGGAAACAGTGGAGCACCTTAGCTTTCGTCTTTATGCAAGACATCTTCAGAGGCAACTGAAGATGTCTTGAATAAAGATGAAAGCTAAGGTGCTCCATTGTTTCCCTTTAACTGTGTGATTTTATCGAGATGGTACAGTATGTGTGTACAGTATCGTTCGCTTAAAGGTAAACATGTAACTCGGCTAATCTGCTCAAGAAAGATTTGGGGTAGCCTCACCATGCAATTTAGGTGTGATTCATTGTGCTTTGTCAAATCAGTACCATGTGTAGGGTATGGTAAAATCATTTCAAATTTACTGGTTCAATATACAATAGGTCTGACAGTCCCCAATGACTCTCCCAGACCTATTGTATTGTATATTGAACACTTTCAAGTTACAGTACTGTAACTACATGCTGTGTATGGAAATGTTTTGTATATCACTTTGGTATTTATTGGTGGAATGCATTACGACAAATTATAACCGCAGAATTATAAAGGTTTTACTGTTAATTTTTTTGAATATTGATATACCTGTACAGTTCTGTACATACTGCACATGGTTTAGAAATACAGTTAATGCAAATTTTCTGTCAACCTGAAGTGGGGATATTTTATTCATTAGGATAAACAAGGAAAATTACAGTGATGCATTGGGATAATTACTACAGGTAATGCTACCAGTTGTGAGTTTTATTAAAAAAAAAATTAAGAGAAAATGTCACTGCTTCTTCTTTCTGGTGTGTGTGACTAGGAGACAACCTAAGCTGAATGATGGCAAAACAGAGATTATTATCACCCGAGGGAATAGGAGGAGAGAGAGAGACGGCACATGATTTTTTGCTCTTTAAACTTTGGTGAAGTACAACTCGGTCCTGTCGATTCTGTTCATAATCATGGAGTGGACTTTGACTCTAACCTGAATATTAAAGAGCATATAAATTCAGTGGATAAGAGTTGCAACTTTCATATTCAAAATGTATGTTGTGAAACAGTTATTGGATGGACAGTGTCTTGTGGCACTTATTACATTCACTTATTTTGTCAAAGGTTGACTATTGTAACTCCTCAAGGATCTGCCTCCCTAATTATCTACTGAAGAAAGTTTAAACAGTGTTGAACAGGGTTGCCAGGCTTATTTTGCTCTCCCACCGAGGACTCCCACTACCCCATTCTTGCTCAAATTACATTGGCTTTCAATTATAGCTAGGATAGATTTCAAACTCTGCCAAATGACTTTTAAGGCACTAATGTTTGGTGAGCCTAAGTATTTGGCCAACCTACTAAATCCTCTGACCACAAGTTCTGAAATGATTTTGCGTAGTAGTGATGATCCCTCACTCCTTGAGAAGCCTAGAGCAGTACGGGAATGTTCTTTTGCTGCTCGATCCTTTTCCTATACAGCACCCAGATTGTACAACCAGTTGCCTGCAGCCATGAAGGAGTTGACTTCTGTGAAGGCCTCTAAGAAACACTTAAGTTTTTTTTTTACTTATTTATTTATTTTTTAAGCTTGTGATCCTGAAAAGGGTACAGTGATGGAGTATTATAGGGCTTAGGAAGTGTAACAACTTAAGGATATACGAACAGTAATTTTTTTGGCGATCTTTTTTTGTATTACTCTTTTCTTTTTTATTCTCGGGTCCTTGACTTTGTAGTGTTTCGAGCGCTATTGAATTCTTTGATTAGGAGAACTGGTGCTTTTGAGAAAACCCAAATATTATTATTATTTTTATTATTACTATTAATATTTGTATTAATATTATTGTTATAATATTTGGAGGTAACAAAGTAATAAATGTTGTAGAGTAAGCTTCATTAAACAGGACTAACTAAGGTTAGGTTGGTCTGACTGTTAACATTTTAAAGTTTTCTTGGGATTGTTTTCATGGGATACAAAGTAAAACTGTTGCAATTATTTTTTGAACAAACTACAGTAATCATATGGCTATTTTAAGAACATATACACTACATATAGCATTGTATCCAGTTGCATCCATCTTCCTTTAAACATATAAAAGATTAATACTTTATATTGAGCTAACATTACATTATCACACAAAAATATGTGTAGAGCCAGGGTTGGGAAACTCTGCCAATGGTCTCAGGGTGGCCTGTGACCATATTTGAATTCGGTGCTCTTTTTTTTTCTTTTCTTTTTTGTAAGGGAAGACTCGGGGTAGATAATTTGTTGATATATTTGGATGATATTTAGAGGATATATAAACACTTATAAGACTAATTTATGAAGGTGGAACCGCATTGGGACGTCATTCCAGAGTAGCGGCCATATCCATTAAATCTGCATATACAGGGTATTATTATTATTAACATCGAAAATAATAGGTGGCCCCTGAAGAACTATTATAATTTCAATTTGCCCCTCCGACCTCAAAGTTTCCCCACCCATGGTGTAGGGGGGGAATGGCCAGCCAGTTGGATTCATGGTAGCTAATGTAGTGTGATGTGTCAAATAGTACTCCAAATCAGAGTGAGAGATGTCATGTCATTTTTTGTTTAGTAATGATGCTTGTGTTTTACTCTCTCATTTTGTCCCAGCGCTGCTATAATAACCATTTGCACTTGTCAAGGTGATGAAATGAAATAAGATGTACTGTACTGTGCTTCATAGCAAAAAAAAAAAAAAAATTGCAGGATACCTTTAAGATATTACGAATTATGAATATTTGTGTAAGCTCCATTAAGCTCACATCATGCAATGATATGTCACCATGCCCTGTGTGACATTTCACAGTACAGTGTCTGTAATGTGTTTGTTGTAATATGAGAACAGTAGTATTCATTTCCACGCTTGTCTGGTAGTGCTGTTTCGTCAACATCTCCTTTTTGATGTATCCCTAGAAATAAATGTCTTAAGTACCATTTCACTGGTATTGTATTGAAAGTGTTACAGATGCAGGATCAACCCACCTTCCTGGGAATGCCTCATTCAAAAATTTTAAATGATATAGGACTTCTTGCCACAGTACACAATGTCTTGAGTGCAGTGTATGCAAAACATAAGTAAATAAGGGGCTTGCTATGCACCTCCCTTGGGGTGAGCCATATCCCATATGAACAGACAAATGTTTGTTCTAATCTGTTTGATCTATTTATTTTTTTTTTGTGGCTGGATTCAAAATGGATCAAGTAGCATTAACATGAAATGAATAGGAAGACCACACTAATTATGTAAGAAAATGGAATTTTAAGAATTATACTATTTTTCCTCTAAAAGATTGGACAAGCCATTTAGTGTTTAATTTATCCAGATTCTCATTAAGTGAAGTCTGCTTTAATTGCGATTTACTACAGTAACAGTATACAGTACTGCAGTAATAAAGTACTTCAAGTTACAGGTGTTATAGTATTTCCACGCTAACCTGGCCCGTAAGCCATGCCTTTCCTCTATAGCTACAAATGGTGGATTGGTTTCCCTGAGCGTTTTACCGCCCCTTGTATTGCAAGTATATAAGCTCGTATTTATATCGAATTTTTATGATAAATATTTACATTTTCTGACATCTTCTCTGAAGTGTTAATGTCTTGAAATCATTTCTATTTTGATAGTCCGGATATTTAACATTATTTTAGATAATAACAGGTCGGCTTACTAATAATTGTGAATACAGTTGTGTGTGAATTTTCTATGAACCAATCAGCTGTTAGTTTAGAAGAGGTGCGTGGCTTACGGGCCAGGTTAGTGTGGAAAGGGTAAACATTAATACATTTGATATTTAACTTATATAAAATGTATGATGTGAATTATTTAATTTATGGTTATGTTTTAGAGCCTTGCTGTTTGGTGGATTGCGTGAGTCTCATCAAGCTGAGGTGGAGATCAAAGATACCAATTTGACTGCTTTTAAAGTACTTTTGAAATACATATACACTGGGTGGGTCAGTCTCAGTTCTGAAAAGGTTAGTTCTACAATGTGTACACTGTACAGTAAGTGTTTATATCAAATATTGTGTTTCAAAGTGAGTTATATTTATATAAGTGATATAGTACATTACAGTAATGCTGTATAATAAATTTGGATTTATGTTTGAATTTTTTTATTTTTTTTCTTAACCTTTATGAATACTCTGTTTCATAAGTTACTTGGATGCCTTAATCCTAACACCAGGTACTGTATTCAGAATTAAAATTAAAAGAAATAGATTTGAAAAGCTGTGTTTAGTATTTTTTGCTCATTCTTGTGACTCATGTTGAACATTGTTCAAGCAATCAGACTACAGCATGTTACTGAATCAGTGAATCAGGTTCATATTTTTGTCAGTCTTAGGGCCATATTCTCAGTCGTTGTACCACCCGACCGATTGGGAACAGCGTCGGGTGAGGTCTTTCAAAGATGCCACAGACCTGTAGGCCGTCCCGATGGAGCGGGTTTGCTAGCGTGATCATTGGAACATTTCATTGGGGTGGGGTACCTGTCTGATGACAGTCCCGATGAATATAAAAACCCATGTCACCCTCCAAATTTTGATATATTGTGATATAATTTATTGAAAACTGATAGAAAATGAGTTTGTTGGTGACAGAAACTTTTTGGGGTGTTTGACGCTTGGGTTGTGGTAACAGTGAGCCATTCAGCTGATTTGGAAATATTGGTAGCCCTGCCCGGTACATCAAGATCCCTACCCATCGTATTGCCCGAAGCACGTTCTTGAATGATCTTGCCCCACACAAGCGTATGGTGCCCGATGGCCGGGTACACCATCGGGTATGACAACTGAGAATACGGCCCTGTATTACTGTACTTCATCTTCCATTATACTCCCTCAACTTAGGTTTTTGTTTGTTGTTTTGACCATTTGTCTCTTAATAATTTATGGAATTATTTTATTGATAGAAAAGGAAAGGAGTGTCCATGTAGGTAGTTACTGTACAGTATTTGTTTTTTCCTCATTTTGTGTTTTAACTATAAAGGGAGACTCTTTCCTTCTTTTTAATATCTGTCCTTAAGATCCATACCAATATACCTGTGAGTTATAGTTCCTTCATACCTCTTATCATTAGCATACCCTTGGACTGTATTTTACAAAATGGACTCATGAAATTGTATTAAATTTCAGGAAGAGACGGTATTAGAAATCCTTGGGCTTGCTCATCAGTATGGCTTCGAAGATTTAGAGTCTGCTGTTTGTGATTACCTGAAGGATGCTCTGTGTATTGCCAATATCTGTGTTATATACGACATGGCTTCTCTGTACAACTTGACAAACCTCAAGACTGTGTGTGAAGATTTTATGGATAAGAATGCTCTACCAATACTGAATCATGAGTCTTTTTACGCCCTTTCACCAGTACGTATACATTGTACATAAAGTATGGTTTAAAATAATGCTTGTTGATCCTGCAGCTTTATAACCAAAAAGTTATATTTAACTTTTGGATGATGTATCTGGTGTCATCAGCTAGCTAGTGGATGAAATTTGCATGTTGCAAACAGATTTGTCCAATTAATGATAATTCTAAAGGGTTAATTTTACTTAGTCACGAGGAATGTTTTTTTTTTTTTTGCATGGTTCTCTTGCAAAGCAGCCATACATAGCTAGTATGCTATGATAAGTATTGTTGTGCCGCTACTGTCTACACTTCCTGTTTATGGGATATATGATATTTTAATTTCGAAATTTGGATCTGTAGATTAGTTGGTTAGTTCTAGTTTACTTGAGTAATGTTTCTTAGTTAGTCTTTTCTGCTTTAATGATTAAGTTATAGAGTGTATCCCTGAAACTAGTGATCGTGGAACTAAGTTAGTTTTTAAAACAAATTTCAGAGACAAGCTGGTTTCCTACCTTCTTCGGTGAACTGGTGGAGGAACAGATATTGGTTGTCATTGAAAGCATTATGGACTCCTCCAAAACAAATCATATTCATTTGGACAGATGTGTCAAATCAAGGTTGGGTTTTCCATTCATCAGTTGAAATAGTGAACAAGGAGGTTTAGTTTTTAGCTCAGGGATGATTACACATTAATTTAAAGGAGCTTCTTGTAGTAACTCTTCTTTTCCAGGAACATGGGAGGTAAGCTTTGAGGAAGGAGTATCATATTCTTTATAGAAAACACATCTGTAATTGTCAAGGGGTCTCCTTGGATAGTGACTCCATAAAGTTGATGGGCGTACAAGAGTCACTGTCCAAATTTGGTTAAGAATTAGGCATCAAGGTCAATACTTAACTTATAATTACTGTCCTTATACCGCATATACTTGTGTATAAACCAACTTTTATAATTACTGTCCTTATTCCGCATATACTCGTGTAAACCAATCTCATATATAGTTTGACCCCTGAATTTTTGGTAAAAAAGCCGGAGCTTTTCATGTATCTATTATATAATTTGACTCTAGCTTTTGAGAAATACTGTACAGTATTAGGTATAATCCTAAGCATAATGTTTAGCAAGACACCAGTTTCAAACCGACGCATTTTGGCCATGATCAGCAACACAACAACTGACACTATAAACAATGTTAATAACTTTGAAACTGACAACCCACCAGTTACCAACTTCTGTGAGAAATAAGATAATACAGCATGACCTTATAATTGGCAGGATTTTTAATTCGTGGTCCTCGATTATTCGCGGATGACACCCTGGATGTACCCAAGAATGTCTGCGGGTAGTTTTAAAGTTGCCTGCATTTTCGCCTCTGGGTTGGCTAGATGGTGACGAAAGAAATTCTGTAAGTTTGATCTATGTATCAACCCAGCTGGCACTCAGATGCCATTTGTTTTAGAGACAGTAATTTTTACTAGGAAAAAATTGCCGGATGGCAACCCAACTAACTCAATTTCAATAACAAAGCATGGATTTGACTTGAGGGTAGACAAACATTTTTTCTACATTTTGATACATTTTGTTGTCTTGTTTCTCATTATTTGTGAGAGGATTTTCATATTCTTATTTATTTGTACATATGTGTTTTGTGTGTGTGTGTGTGTCTACACACACGCACATGTACAATACAGGTAAAAGAGATAATAGTCCTCAGGGCAAACACATAACCGCTCAGAACCTTTGAGATCCCTCGCTCCCCCTCTGCCAGAGTGAACTCTTAACACAAAGAAAATATATTCATGTTTATGTTTTTGACCTTCTTGAATTTACGAGTTGAAAAATAACCATAACTTAGCTGACAGTTTGGCCTGGAGTGGTAGGGAAAGGGCTAGGGGGATGTGGCTATAGTCTTGTGTTACTATCACAAATACAAAACCAATATGAAAACTGAAAAACAAAAATATATAAAGAAACACAAGGAATATTATCACAGACGTAACGTTATGTCCTATACGGTAAGTCAAAAGGCTGAAGCAAACTCACAACTCCCTGTACCTTCTTTCCCAGGATTCATAAACCATGCCACCTACCTTTTTATGTTATTTAACAATTGTGGTACTTCAACATTTGTATACTGTACACTCTAGATAATTATTAATAGATTGTTTGAGTGTGGTAATTACATCCATGGCGATACAACAGCTTAAGTCATATGTCGCCGAATTAAAATAAAGGCTTAAAATACTGGATGAAAAAATGTAGCTAAGACCATTAAGAAAAAGCTAAATGAAAGTTTAACACAACCGCCATTTGCATAGATGATGGCTGCTTCGCCTCAGCACTCACCATAATACCACAGCCCAGTTGGGTCACTGCCTCTGTCTACCCCCTAGCAAGGGACCCCCTCCCCCCTTGTACTCCACTTCCTCCTATAACTCCCCCACTCTCATGAACAAGGAAATGTTTATTCCCTTTATGTATTTGACCTCAAGATAGTTTAATTCATTTGCTGAATATAATAATGAAGAAAGTTACGAATATCTACCCCAAATTATAAGTTGAAAAATATCCATAACACCTCACAGCTCTGCTGGTAGGGACGGAGCTAGTGGTATATGGCTACAGTAATGAGTCTAACTTGGCAACATTACCGCCAGCGATGTTAACAGATGCAAGTGAAAGTAATAATACAGTGACCCCTCGTTTAACGAAATTTCGGTTAACGAACTGCCTTCCATAAGGATCTTCAATTCGGTTAACGAATTTCTTGCGAACCGACCTCAACATGTTTTCACTTGCACTGACCGGGCAACCAGCTTTAGTATCGGTCCGCCAATACATTAATCGGTTCTAGGGCTTAAATTCTTTACTATTTTAGTAAATATCAAGAAGTTTATACTATTCAATAATTTTAAAAGTTTAATATTCAATTTTTTAGTCATTTTAACAATTATTGAACATAATTGAAGGTAAAGTGACTAGTTTAATGCGCGGCATCCAGCCTCTTAACACAGCAAACAGGCGTTAGTCTCTCTCTGTTTTCACTGGAGGTAACATCTTGCTTGAGACTCTCTTCAACTAAACGCTTTTTTCTGTGTTTCCAAGCAAATTATTGGTCATTTTGAAATATATTTTACATATTGACAATATATAATGCAGTGCAGTGTTGATTTAAAGAAAATAATCTTGACATACACCAAGAGAACTAAAATTTTATGGGTGAAATGGTGCCATGGGGTGACTTCTCTTCCACCCCAATGCCTTCTCTTCTTCCTTCTCCTCCACCCCCATTCTAATTCCCATCATCATCATCATCATCCAGGAGCCTTTTACATACACACCTCAAAGTAAGTGAACTTTTCTACCATTTTTGTTGAATTTAGGAAATTTTCAGTGAGCTGGAATCAATTACCCAAAAACCCATTGAAACAATGGTTTCGGTTAACGAACTTTTCTGTTAACGAACGACCTTCTGGAACGGATTGAGTTCGTTAACCGAGGGGTCACTGTAGTTATAAATATTGATTTGTATTGTATCAGGTATATGTAGATTTAGATCAGCATATATACTGTATTACACTATAGTGAATGAGGTGCTGCTCTTCATACAGCAACATAAGTAAAGAATCTTTTTTTTTTTTACCAAGATTAGTCCACACGGGCACAGGTCACTGACCCACATCGGGGCCTGGGGGGCGAAAATGTAATAATATTAATACAGTACAGTAAATAACTTTTATAATAAAAAGTAAAATATAATAATAATGATAATAATAATAATAATAACAATAACAATAATAATAATAACAATGTTGTAATAATGATAATAAAGAAATACAAAGAAAAAAAATCAATAGTGAGAAATGCTATATTGTATGTATGTTATGTTGTCAATAGTAAGAGAAACAATTGAGACCCTGCAATTGTGTGTAAATGGGGCAGAAAGACAGATCAGCAACCTGGGACTTGGTCACAATATTTGTGATGCCATATAGCAGCAGGGTCTACCATTAAACAATACATTACCAGTATGCTTCCAATATCTTCCCAGGCGGTAGTACCTCCCTGTTTGGTAGCTGCCTACTACCTATGGTAGGCAAACCCAGGATAATGGAGCTTACTGGTAAGGACAGTCTGCCACGGGCATGTACCAGGTAGCTTTCATTCACTATAAATGACCCTCGGAAATGCATGAATTTTGACTCCTCAAAAATACTCTGCTTAAATACTTCAACCCCCTACTTTTTGCATAACAATTTTATCATAAAACATGAACTGTGCTCAGGTTTCTATGGTAAGTCCCATTAAGATAAATTTATTCATCAAACTTTTTTTATTGTAAACTGGATTTTTAGTTAATAAATTGGAGCTAGTGAGTAGTTATAATTAAGTAACATATCAAAAGCCTTCTTTTTAAAAGGTCATTTAGTATGTATGTGTAACTTCTCTTTTATTTCTTTGCAGTCAGCACTGAAAGCAATTATTGGAAGGGATTCATTTTGTGCTCCAGAAGTCCATATTTTCCAAGGTGTACATGAGTGGGTAGAGCGTAACTCAGATCTGACACAAGAGCAGACACAGGAGATTCTTGCTCAGATTAGACTACCTCTTATCAGCCTTTCAGTAAGTAATTGTTTTGTAGACAATTTGTACCCTAATAGCTGAAGATAGTAATACAATAGATCTCAAAATATAGACCACATCATGCTGTGGAAATTTTTAAATCATTAATAATGAATTTTTTTTTAGTAAATTATATGTTTTTAGAGCTGGTAGAATTTTTTTTCTTGCAGAGCCACCTCCATTTATTAATCCCCAGAGCTAAATGTAGATGAGTTATCCTCAAAGACTTTTGTCTAAAACCTTAATATGTATCTCAGCTCTCTTTTGGGTCCAGAAATGGAATAAGAAATGCAGTTTCTTTCAGTTTCCCGGGGGACAAGGCTGTGTACATTATGCACCCAAGTACATGTATAATCATTATCCATAGTTACTTTACCCCCTGGCTGGAGGAAAGGTGAAGCCAAGGTTGAAGAAAGGCCTGGCGAATGGGAATACTACAATAAATTATGCTTTGTGCTGTCATTATATATTGACATTTATAAAACAATTATAGCCCTACCAACATACCAAAACAAGTCAATGTTTTTAATCCTATTTTATACTTGTGCCTGTGTGAAAAGTGTTCCTGCGTGACTGTGTAGAGGTACTGATGTGTGAGCCACACCGTCATCGTGTCTCATCACCAAACTATTGAACTCGTGTATGTCTGTTTACCTGGCCTTTCTTCAACCTTGGCTTTGCCTTTCCTCCAGCCAGGGGGTAAAGTAACTATGGATTGTGACTGTACACTTGTGTGTGTGTGTGTGTTTGTGTGCGCGCGGATGCATGTACTAACCTTTAAATTGCACCCCCACCCCCGACCCCCTACTTTGTATGCACATAAAGATGACTGTCTAGAAAAAAATAATAGATATTATGAAATGATGATATTCTATGTGGAAATAAAGAATATTAAAAAATAAATGATATCCCTGTCCTCCCTGTGGCATATGAGTGAGAAGAACATTTGGTAGCAAAAACAGTGAAAGACTGATTATCAGCCTTTATGAGCAATAAATCACTCTTCACTTGTTTTTGATGTGGGCATATCAGACCTGATACTTCCCCTGCTTTATCACTGCTGAAGAGAATCATTTGATACTTGCTTGGGGTAATAAACATAGGATGCTTCCACTTCTTCTGAGGGATCTGGCTGGGCAGTATATTGTCCATGGTGGCTAGTGTAACCAAGCACAAAAAAGGAGTAGGTTCGCTTATCTTCCCGTGTTAGTCCTGACACCTATAGGGTAGTTGGTGGGGTTTTTTTATGGGTACAGGTATTAGTCCACCCGGGCACAGGTCACTGACCCACATCGGGGCCTGGGGGGCGAAAATGTAATAATAAAAATAATAATAATTCATAGTTCAGTACAGTACTGTGAATAAATTTTATAATAAAAAATTAAAAAACTAAAAGTAGAATAATAAAATACTTCTACAGTACTACTAATAATAATAACACTACTACTACTACTAATAATGATAATAAAGAACCATAAAGAAAAAATATAAAATAAAATAAGAAAAAAATCAAAAGTGAGAAACAATATATGTATGTTGTCAATAGTAAGAAAAACAATTGAGACCCTGCAATTGTTTGTAAATGAGTAAGAAAGTCAGATCAGCAACCTGGGACTTGATCACATTTTTTGTGATGCCATATGGCAGCAGGGTCTACCATTAGACAACACATTATACTTCCAATACATTCCCAGGCGGTAGTACCCCCCTGTTTGGTAGCAGCCATATATCATGTGGGGCCTTAAATGTTGGTGAGAAATGGCCTCTTGACAATTTAAGCTCAAAGCGTTACCTAAGAGTCACGTTAATAGGCGTGCAGAGCTGTTCAAGGTTAATCTAAGGAAGTTAGGATGATTATGTATCCCTTAAATATCAAGAAGTTTAAATTAATCAGTATTTGATCTTTTTGAACTAAAAATTTTATCAGTACAATAATCTTCCTGTTAGCCGGACTCTTCAATCCCTGGAACTATCTAATAGTTGGAATGTATTTTTGAGTCTTGAGAAATTCTGGGAAAATCTCTCCATTCAGAGCATAGGAATAAGTATCATGCACATTTCTGGAAAATTCTGAGAAAAACTCTGTTCAGGGCATGGAAATGAATTTTGGAGAGATTGCATCATGTTTCCAATGCAAAGATGCATGCCAGTAGGTGGGTAAACTCAGAGTGCTCTTGAACTAGGATTGGCCACTGCTGTCATGTGACTGCATGGGATGCCTATAATTGGCTGATGTATCTTGCAGCCTATCTTTTCAAACTCTTGCATCATGACATTCTTAGTTCATTGTCTGCTGGCATTGTACAAGCTTGTTCACTCGCTCACAGCTGTTTTTGCATACAATCTGTGTTGTGTACCAGCATATAATCAGCCAAGAATACTGTTAAAGCAATGTTAAAGTGTTAAAGTGATTACAGTTCTGTATTCTGTATTGTACATTAATTAAGTGTGAAAGTACCATATGTACAGTACAGCACATAGTGTATGATAGTGTGTAGAGGATGTATGTACAGTATACAGTGTGTGTGTACAGTCTCTCGTTCATGGAGGGAGAGGAGAGTGACAGTTAGCAATACCTGGTCCAGGACAAGAGAAGACCATCCCATATCCTCATATCACCATTTGGCCTGCCTGCATCACAAGTTGAAGACAACAGCATCTGCTGGTGAGTACAGTACAGGTAATGAATGACCTTTATACGATGGATCTACAGTATATACGATCGATCAGTTTTACAAAGTTAAAAATTTAACACCATTTACCTCTATGCGATGTCTCTGATTAGTTTTACTATAGTCGTTACCCGAATGCTTTTCCTGCATTGCCACTGCTATGAAAAAGTGATGTGCAATAACTCGCAATATTCTGAGATATGATGAAGCCGTCTCAGAATGTCATAACACGTGCAACCAACACGGAATGTGTGGGAGGTTCTGCCCGTCCCCAACGACTGCCTGGCTAAGCAGTTGCCCAGAGGATGGTTTGCATGTGGAAGAAGGTATTCTTTGTACATAAAATAATATAGTATGCTATACCAATAAATGTGAATAGCTAAATAAAAGAAAAGAAAAAATACAGTGATATCCCCGTTAGGCGGAACAATTGGTCCAGAGCACTTCCGGGAATGAGAGATTTCTGGGTAACGAGGTGACTCTCTCACAGCTGGAAAAAAATCCCACATCCCCAGAATTTTCCAGGTAACGAAAATATTATCTCAAAATTCCCAGAAAATGCGCCTGATTTTCATCTCTCAAACCCGGAAAAACTTTCCCCGTCCCCGGAATTTTCCGGGTATCAGGAAAATTTTCTCGGAATTTTCCGGAAAATGTGCCCCTCGGAAAATCTTTCCCAAAACCGGGGTACTTTGCAATCACAAAAAACATAACAAAAGTCACTTCACAGTCACCAAAAAAGAGTACAATCTGAAGGTTAGTGATGCCCTCACTATAAGAGAAAAAAACACATGATAAGTAACAATAACGATACTGACTGATAATTATCGTTGATTTACACAATCATGGGCAGACGTGATCACCATTGGGACTGTAGTGCACCGGGTGGCTGCGTGGTGGTGCGCTGGTAGATGACCCTGGCTGACATGTGCAGTGAGAGGTGTGTTCCATATTCTCTGTGTCGGCAAGTTTGGCCGTATGATGGCCTTTGAAAATGTGATTTTTTTATCATAAATAGGGAGGTGGTTATAAATCATCGACCTCGTTGAAGCAAAATATCGTAAATCGAGATATCATAAAACGAGGTTTACCTGTAATAGTATACAGTTCATTATTTTGTTTATTTACAATAAGTTGTATGTGCACAGTCGTGTTTATGTACAATATATAAATAAAGCTCTGTGTCTATCCGTGCGAGATGTATAGTTAGACTCCTGTAAAACTTGTCCCAGTACCCGGAGAAATTCTGGGATGTAGTATTGTTTTGTTTTTTAGGGATGGGAAAATTCATCTTCATATCTTGAAATTTTTTATTCCTAGGAATGCTCTGCAACAATTATTGTGGGGGTGTATTACTGAGACCTACATAAGGATAAATGACTCCATGACCACAGTGTTAATACAATTCCCAATAGTTTCAGAGTTATGCCACAAATTTAGGTAGGGGAGGACTGCAACAAGTCTATGGCCATAAAACATAAAATATCAAGTCCTATTTAAAGTAAGTGGTAACATTCACGAAGAGAGCCAGAACTTTGAACATTTACTGTAAAGTCCATATCAGATTTCACATGATTGTAAATAAATTGTACTAGCAACACTAGATACAGTATATCATTTATGTGTTGTAGGTTTTATCACATTCCAACTCTAATTGTGTTGTGATTTAACTCTGAAACTAATGGGTATTGAGACTGTGGTCATAAAGTCATTTATCCTCATGCATGTCTTAGGAATACACCCCCGGAATTATGAAATGTTTTTCCAAAACAGCCTGTGTGTGTGAAAGCATTTTTTTGCTCGACTTATCTCGCAGCTAGCTCCAGTTGAAGCACAACACATTTTGGGAGTCTCGGACTAGATTACTCTCTAAGTGACAGCAGAAAATTACCAGTCATGGATAGTGTCTAATTATACAGTAGACCCCCAAAATGACATTAACAAGAGTGATTTGATTATGTGCCATTAATAAGAGATACATGGCTCTTGCACATGAACAGGAGGATACTGGTTATGTGCTCAGTTTTGTTTACAAAGTTTCACTGCTTTATTGTACTGTAATTTAATGCGTTCTTTCAGGATCTGCTAAATGTTGTTCGGCCAACTTCATTGATATCCCCTGACCAAATATTGGATGCAATAAAAGCCAAGAATGAATCCAGGGATATGGATCTGCAATACCGAGGGTATCTAAGTAAGTTAGTTAAATATTTTAAACAAAGTGGTGAAGTATGTAAGTTTAGTGAAACAAATGGATGGATATGAAAAAGGTGTAGTTATTCCTATCTTTTCTGAGGTTTGTCAACAGTCATTTTTGTTCAAAATGGTGCTATGTCACAGGTACACCTTGAATGCTAATAGAGACATGAATGGTGGATTCATTGTGAACCCTTATTTTATATCCAAGTCTGCTGCTAGGTAGCTTGTTTAAGGTGTCCACTAGGCCTGCAGGTTAAGAGTCCTGGGAACCCTTAACCTTAGTAGCTGGGATTAATCTGAGGATTATTCATACTTCTCACTGCACTCATCAGCCTTAAAAAGGGATGTTGTTGCTATAGAATTTATAACTATGCTTCAAGAAATAAGGTTTTTAGGTGCATATTCTAGGTCAGTGAATACACTAATAATTAAATCAACAATAATTTTTTTTAAAGTAAATAGAACTCTTGACTGAGATTAGAAGTACTATAGTTGCCATTTAAAGCAGGAGGTCTGCTAAGCTGTGACATCACTATCTTGTATTTACTGTGACTGACAGCTGTTGCGCTAACCATATTGGATTACAGGCTGCAATACCTGTTCAGTTTCAACCAGCTTCCAGCTGTCATTGGGAAGAAGGAGGGTATCTAAGGTACCAGCTGTGGACTCGTTCTCATCATCATAATTGTTTTATGTCCACACTTGTGCGGGTTAGCTATGGTTTCTTAATGGCAGCTCTCCATGCTGTATGGTCTTAACTTGAGTGTCATTTCTTGCAACCTGTCTCCATGTTATTCTTGGCCTATCTCTGACTCTCCTCCATTTAGGCTTATGCACTGCACCTCTTGACTCGGTTGGTCTCATCCATTCTTTCCCCAAGCCCAAACCATCTCAGCCTGTCTCTAGGCAGGAATACCCAGCCACCCTCTTAGTTCTGAACAGGACTTCCTGTCTTTCAATGTCACATTACACTTCTACCTCATCATTCTCATTTCAGGTCACTCAAGTCTATTTATGTATTTCTCTTTGACTGTCCATGTTTCACTGTCATATAACATCAGACTCTCACACCAGCTGCATGCGTTCTTCCTTTCACTGAGAGGGAAAGTCCTCTTGCTGTCAATAAAGGCAGCAGCTCCCTATACTTCCTCCAGTCTCCTTTGACTCATGCAACTCATCATCTCATCCAGGTAACAGAACTCATCATAATAGTCCAGAGACATATCCTAATGTTGAATTTCCCAGCCCTGCTGTGGGCACATGGTTACCTGCATATACAGAACATTTAAAGTTGGCAATATCCCACAGTCTGCCATCTACTCCACTGCACCTCTTGTGCTCCCACCTTCCACCTTGTTGAAACATTGTTAAGCTGTTGCGAACACCTTTCTTGCAGACAATACAAGGCCATTTTCCACTTTTCACCACAGGTCCCTCACATCACTACTGAATACTTTAGATTTTGTCACATTCATTCTCAGGCCGTTTGCCTCTATTCCATCCTTCCATTTCTTAATTTTTTTCACTGACTCTTCAATACCCTGATAGATTCCTACTTTTACCTAAAATTCCTCACTTTCCTTCTCTCACAGAGGTTTTGAACCTTTATGTAATATCATAACCAATTGAACAAGGTAATCTTCAACTCCTAGCTTTCTCAATGCCCACTTTAATACTTCACATAGAACCTTGTCAAATTCCTCTTCAAAATGTACAAATATGTAATGCAATATTCTCTATTTTCTTAGATATTTTTCTTGTAGCTGATTGGCCATAAATATTGCCTGTGTAATCCCCCTTCTTGGCATAAACCCAAACTGCATTATGTTTATGTCCACTCCCCTTATCAATTTGTCAATCACTCTTTCTACCGCCTAATCTAGCAGCTTCACAATCACACTTCCTTCAGTCGTCTCGAACAGTACATTCCATCATGATTTCATTAATCAGTTCAGTCATATTGACATGCTTGCATGGCATGATTTTTTCATTTCTACAACTATCCCAGAGCTTCCAGCTGCATTTCCATTCTTGATATTGCCAATTGCTTTCTCTACCCATTCTCTTTCAATCCTTAGGCATGGTCTCTGTACTGGTTCTACTACCCTTAGGTTTTCCCTGTTCCATTCATACTCCTCAGTCAATAATTGATCGTAGTAGTATTTTCTTCAGGCATCCATGATTTTCTCTTTATCAATAATCACATTACCATGGTCATTTCTCACACACTCCTCACCAACATCCTGGTTTTTACCCACCTGGTTGTTTTGAAAACCTCTCCTCATGCATCTGCACTATTCAGCATATCCACGAATGTGTCCTGTTCATGTTTCTTAGCCTTGTAAACCTCTCTTTTGGCATTAGGCTTGGCCTCCAGGTAGTCCACCTTGTTACCACCCTTCTTCCAGGCCTTATATATCTTCTTTTCTCCTTGATCACTCTGTGTATTTCATTCCATCTCCATGTTACTGCATGCCTGGCTGAGCTTTTCATCCAGGTTCACATCTTGTCAACCACACTCAGCAGAACATCCTTAATTCTGGCCTAGCATCCCTCTCACTGGATGTTTCCAGTCTTCTCAACTGAGTGTAAAATACTGTACTTCTCTTACATTCTGGTCCTTCAGCTTATAAACTCTCCTCCTTGGTTTGTGTTATGAAACAGGATTTCAAGATCAATTCATAATTTTATCATCTAAATGCCCTCACTGTGGCTTATGTAACTGAAGCAAACAAGAGTGTAGGTAGAATTGATATGATAGAATCTCCAAATGTTCATGTGATGCACTTGGATTGTCAACCCAACTACAAAAATAAGGGTAGTTCTACAAGTCTACATCTCTCCGTGTTTGTATAGGACACTGGAAAACTATTTCCCAATGACTCAGTGTCTCCTGTACTACAGGTATCACATGACTCTCTTGAATGTTTTCTTTGACACACTGAGCCTAAAGTTTTTGGGAGCCACCATTGTGCAGATCAGTGGAGATATTTGAAAACTTAAGAATCAACTTGGAGAAACCTAGAAAACTCCAAATCCTGATTTTTAACCAAAGTCCAAAATCATAAGACAATACCATAAACCTAAGTTTAAACTCAAAATGAACTTGGAGGATGGAGGATTCCAAGGAATTTAACAACTGCAAGATGGTGTTTAGTGAGAATTTCTGAAAGACTTAACTACATAAAACACTAAATTGGGTAAACAAAGGCTACCTAGAAAACCCACAAATGAAGTGTGTAAAACAGGATATATAGACATACAATCTCTCCACTCTCTTCATGCAAAGCAGAGGAAATCTGAAGTGCCTTGGACAAAGTTGAGGCAGGAGAAAGAACCGAATTCTGCTTGGCTTTAAATAGGGGACTAATGGATGCTTCTGCTGCTTGATATTTGCTCTTTTGCTCTTTTGTTCTTATTACAGTACAGTATAGTTTAATCAGGGGCCAGGCTTAGAAGGTAGGTTTTATATCAAGGACAGAAGATTTAGCTTTTAAAAGAGTAAGGTACAGTACTGTTTACATTATGAGACCCACTAATCCCTCACCCAACACTGGGTGACTTGACATTGCATCAGAAGGTCAGTAATATGAGACCACTTATCCCTCACCCTACCTCCACCTGACATTGCATCAGGTCAGGTCAGTAACATGAGACCCACTAATCCAACACAACTCCTTGGGGGTGGAAGATACCAGTCTTCGCTGTAACACACAGCTTCATTCACAAGGTGCCTCGCACGCCTGTATCATATAGATTATTAGTTTTTTAATATATTTATTTAACCAGAATTTTAGATAAACTATTCAGAATTATTCTAGTAAAGAAATGGAGTTTATATCTTAATTAGAACTGCTTTTATAGACTCTGGTATCAACATTTCTTATATTTTTCATAAAGGAATGTTGTACAGTCCCCATCATTATATTGTGTCCAGATATTTTGTTTTAGGATCTCTTATTGGAAGAGTCTTGCAGAAAATTTATTCAGGATCATTGTAGTATCAACAGAAGCTGTGAATAAAAGTTTACAGTGCTTTTTGCTCGCCGTAAATATTTTAGCTCGTGCCCACAGTCTGCAGTAGATGTAATGGGAGAGTGTCCGTGCGAGATGAGATGCATAGTTTAGACTGTGATATCTTTCCCCAATACCCACAAACATTCTGGGAATGTGCGATAGTGTCTGTCCGTGCGAGAAACTGAGTTTAGACTCATGGAAACTTTTCTGTGACAAGAAAAGATTCTGGGGATAGGATATTTTTCCTGGTTTGTACCCGGAAGTCTTTCATCACCGGAAGAGTTGTGTGCCAGTTGTTCTGGCTAACAGGAATATCACTGCTTTTACAGTATTATGGTTTAGTGACATTTGTTAACAGACATGTATTTGCTTACAGTGCCAGGAGAAAATGTTGCTGTGCCAAGTAAAGGGGCTCAAGTGCTTCAGGGAGAGATGCGGGCAAACCTCCTAGATGGAAATGTATCAATTTATGACATGGATCGTGGCTTTACGAGACACCCTATAGATGATAACAATGGCCAGGGCATACTAATCAAGTTGGGAATGCAGTGTATCATCAACCACATGAGGATGATGCTTTGGGATAAAGATCAGCGGTAAAATTATATTTTAGTTTTTATTTCAGCAGGACTTGTTTGTACAGTATATCTAGTTGTGGAATTAATAATGTTAGATTTACAAAACTGTGGAATTACAGCTGAGGATGGGGTTGGTAGAGGAGTCAGGGGGTCTTAGCAGTGTCTGTATAATATTATACATGTTTCCTTCAAATTTTGGGGCTTACTTTTCTTTTATTCATATCCGTGAAAATTTTCTGTCGTACTGTACTTAAAAGGTCATGCAGTATAAAAAATAAGGCAGTGGGCATCCTTATGGTAATTTGTGTAATTTTTTGATAAAAGGAGTTGTCTTATTTTAATGTAATTGTGATTCTTTTATTTCCACAGGGGCTACTCCTACTATATTGAAGTGTCTATGGATCAGAAAGATTGGGTTCGGGTTGTTGATCACACCCGTTATCACTGTCGCTCGTGGCAGTATCTCCATTTTGCCTCTAGAGTTGTCAGATATATTCGTATTGTGGGGACAAATAATACTGTTAATCGTGTTTTCCATGTGGTGGCCTTTGAAGCATATTTTTCTAAACAAGACGTGGAATTACACAAAGGACTTGTAGGTAAGCAAATTTTTAATCATTTAGGTGTAAATAATGATAAAATGCTTAGTGGAGTGGGAATGGGTGCTTGATTTTCTTCAAGAAATATGTTTGATATACTTAGGACAAGAGTGAATGTTGTGATTGTTCCACAATGGCTCTGCCTAGGATTGTACATGTAGATAAACACTTGGTAAGAGAGGCTTCCTGCCAAGGGATGTACTTTTGGGATTTTATCCCATATCAAGTGTCTCTTTCCATCATCATAAAGTGGGATTTCAAGCCCTTTCTTAATTCATTTTTATTTAATTATTTTTAGCTGCTGTAACATATGTATTCACTCAGTGTATAGGTTGACCTTGATTATGCTAAGGGTTATGATCTTGGAAAAGGTTGGTTAAAGCCAAACCTGCATAAACAAGGATGTTTTCCCACTAGAGTACAGTATATTACTCCTTTTTGACATATACTTTGGAGTTTTTGCTCTGATCAAACTGTTCTATGTTTATTGCTCATACAGTACATATTTTTATCTTTGTACTTGAATTAAATGCTACTTCTTTATTACTAATTAGAAACATGTGAATAGAATTAGGGTTGCCTCAAGATGTAATACTTGAGGGAGAAATGCAATTCAGGAGGAGGCTGAAATGAAGTACATGTGTACTATAGTAACAATGCTTACACAGTAGACCTTTGATATATTGTGATTCAGGAAGCAGTTGCTCAGACTCTGTGATTTATATTTTGTTAAAAAAAATTGAAATGATGGAGTTAGCATTTAAGTGAGGAAAAGTGGTGTTGTAAGGGAATATTTATAGTGTATTTTGGGGGGCTGGAGTCCCCTACCCTATATATCATATTGAAACACTGTCCCTGTACATGGAGCGATATGTTTCGAATTACCATTTTGCACCAGTTCTTGTTCTCATTCTTGTGCTATATCAAGGGTCTACTGGATAAAATGTATCTTGTGAAAATCCTTATTGATAATGGCATTCTGTAAATTCCTCCCTACAGTTCCAATAGAAAATGTTGCACTCGTTACTAAAAGTGCACTGGTGATTGAAGGTGTGAGTCGTGCACGTAATAATCTTCTAAATGGAGACATTCACAACTACGACTGGGACTCGGGCTACACTTGCCATCAGCTGGGCTCTGGTTCCATATGTGTGCAACTTGGACAACCTTATTGGCTCTCCACTTGCAAGTATGTATTACATAACATCTGTTCTTCCCTTATTAGTCTGTAGGACTTTTCTCAGTTTAAACTTTTGACCAAGGGCAAGTTGACAGGTTAGATTAGCTTTGCCAAACAAAAGGAGTGCTAATTATTTAGAAAAAAGTCTTTCAAGTTCCTATTTTGTTCTGGGCATCCCATCTCACTCTGGGAACTGAGACTAAACCCCAAACCCCAGTCTTACAATGATTTTAAGGTCAGTTTCTGAGAGATTGAGATATTTTAAAAGGGCGATTGGAGAGTCACCATAACGTGATCAACAATGTACAAAAAGAAACCCACAATGGTAGACAAAATGTTTATGCCAAACAATTTTGGTGACAACTGTTGCCCTCGTCAGTGGAGCTACAGACAAGTCTGTAATACCACAGAGGAGGACAAAACTGTTTGGAATAAACATTTTGTCTGCGTGTGTGTCATAAGGTTATATTTAAAGAGGATGAGTGATGATATACTGTTAAGCTTTTATACTAAGAATGGAATTAATGTGCTCTCGTTCTTCCACACTTTAGCAGAGTATCTTATAAATAATACATGTTTATGATTTTCTAATATAAAGGCCTATAGGGAAAGCAGAGTTCTAGTTATTTCTCTGTATGTGCTAATTTTCTGCTTTTAAAAGATGCATTTTCATCTTTCTTCATTAGGGAAGCTGGTTTAAAATGGGAGCTATTTAACCAACTCATATTCACTGATTGTGCAATGTGGTAACATTGATCAAAATTTTATTAATGAATGACAATGTTCATCACTCTTTCAGACTTTTACTGTGGGACTGTGATGATCGCTCGTACAGCTATTACATAGAAGCGTCTGTTAATAATAGAGACTGGGAACTGATTGTGGACAAAACACGAGAATCTTGCAGATCATGGCAAACTTTAACGTTTCCTCCAAGAGCTATTGTTTATTTTAAAATAGTTGGAACATTTAATACTGCCAATGAAGTAAGTTGTATGGTATGCTTTTTATGTAAAAATTTATACATTTTCTCTAAGATGTAGGAGTGGTTCATTTCCAAGTATGATATCTACCTTTTAATTGTTTTTAACACCTTGTGTGTGACTGTACAAACATGGAAGGTGGTTGAAATTCAGAGATAAAATCAGATACAGGTATTCCCTATTTACGATGTTCCCCTTTATGAGGTAAACAATTCGTATGAACAATGGTCATCGTCTGGGCCAGCGTGGTACACTATATGGAACGCATCTCTCACTTTACTTGTCGGCTGCAGTCAACCCGTGCGCCACTAAGCTGCCACCCGTTACACTACAGTACCAGACTATTATCCATGGTAATTGCACATGGCCATGATCATGTAACTCAGTGATCATTGGTTAGAATCGGTGTTACTTTTTTTTTTTTTTTTTTTACAGTGAGAAGACATCACTAATGTTCACATTGTACAGTACTCTGTTTTCGTGACTGTGAAGTGACTCTTGCAATGTTTTTTGTGACTGTAAAATGCTTTGTATCTGTTGTGAAGTGGCATTGAGATGCCCCAGAGGCTTTGTGGGAGTCAAAGTGACATCACCACTCCACCTTCAAGAGTGCCCTTAGCCTTGAAGCCTTGAAGGGGACATGTAATGTCGGCCAGGCTTATTCTTAATGATGTGGTCAGATTTGTTTAATTGTTTTTTGTATACAGTCAACCCTCACTTTACACGGTTAATTCAACCCACGGCGGCCCGCGTAAAGTGAGAAACACGTAAAGTGAACAACATAACATATGAGATTAATTGAAAAAGAGACCGGGCCGACCCCCCAAACTCAACTTTTTCCGACACAATACCCACGCTGTAGTAAAAATAACTTCTTAATTTTATGATGGTATGCACACACAATTAATAATTAAGAGAAATATCAATAATATTAGGTTTTTTAACACTTACATTAGTAGAAAAGATGGCTGGGCACACGGGGATGGGAGGTTGGTTCCGAGGCAGAGGGCAGATTATTGGCCCTCACCTGTATCACTTGTATTGTATCACTATCCACCACAGAGGCTTGCAGGGCCTCTTTGTCAAACCCCTCAAAGTCCATATAAGTCCATATCCTCACTATCATTATCACTATCACTGACTTGGGCCGGCTGTGGTGGGTGGCGGGTGAAGAACTCGGTAATGTTTTCATGACTGGGCGACCTTGTGCGCACCCTGCTCGCACCGCTTACACAACATGGCGGATGGCGGGAGGTTTGGATCCAAAAATGGCGCGGCTCGCCAGCCGCTCTCCGCGTAAAGGGGTACACGCACCTCGGAATGTGAGCATTCCGGTTTCGGCAGGGTACCGCGTAAACGTGGAAACGCGGAATGTGGGACCGCGTAAAGCGAGGGTTGACTGTATTACGTATTACAGCATTTTTTTTTTTTTTCGGTGATACAGGTGGGTGTTGGACTGGTTGGGAACGTATCCCTTTGAACTCCATGTTGTAATGATCCCATTTATGATATTTCAACTTTTGATAGGTTTTTATGGAACCTAACCTCATTGTAAATTGGGGATACCTGTATAGTTAATTTTTTATTTTATTTATTTTTTTATTAACTGTGGCTATACAGTATTGTTTTTATGAAAATGAGTTCAAATATTGGAAATTGTTACCCATAAATATAAACTGCATAAATTGTATTATAAATTAACTTATTTATTTATTCATTTATTTATTTATTTATTTATTCATATATTTATTTATTTATCTATTTATATCAAGGCTTCTGCTTAATACTGGATGGCTGGAATCAAAAGCAAATACACACATACTTTTCTTTCCTCATTTATCATTTATTCTTAAAGCTATACAGTAATAGGTGTGATTTGCCATTGTACCCACCCTCCACAATAAGGCCTTAAAAATCCCTCTTGTTTATCAGTGTCACTTCTCACCAATTTGCATCACCCATCAGAAGCATATCTCTAAGAATAGTTTTATATGATCCTCTCTAGGGGGCAGGGAAAAAACACTTTTATTTGAGTTGCAGGCTGCACTTTTCAGGCATCGTTTGTATGGCTGTAACAAACACCTGTGCAAAATTTCATGCCATTTCATGCATACTTACCCTGCCGCATCGCGAACGACTTTTTGTCAACTTTTAGTGTATACCAAAAATTAGGTGTCATTTAATGTTTTCCAGGATAATGATAAATTTTACATGGGTGACATCGATTTAATTCACATGTTATTTTACAGGTACACCGTATAGAAAATCATTACAAGTTCATATTGAAATTCTTTTTTGTGCGGAACCTTGGCATCATTTTCCTAGACAATAATCTTTGCCTAATATATCCATCTCTCGATTCGTATCCCGTCACTTCAGTGCAAGCTTCAGTCATCACTTTTATGCCTCTCTCGACCGCCTGAGTGCTGTTTGGCCACTTGGGCACCACTAATGGTGTCTCAAGAATGTCATTAACCTGTAGATTTGACAGAGAAGCATTGTAAGGAGGCTCAGTCTTGAGTTCATTCCTCCAGTTAATCATGGAATGATAGTTTTTTGCATGCCACTTTAGTTTCGGAGTCACCACCTTTCTCATGTTGACTACAGGAGGCACATCCTCATTCCCATCTCCATCTTTACCCTCCTCATCAGTATAGTTTAACAAATTCTCGTCAACAGCAGCATCAGAATCTTCCTCCTCCTCTTCAGATCTGCCAGTGCATTCTTCCTTTTGCTGATTCTCCTCTCTAATTTTTCTTATCATTGAGACAGCTTTTTCTCTAACAGTCATGTCCTCATCTGCACACATACCAAGAAGAAGTTGATCTGTGTGGGCGAAGTATGCATTTCTCTGGACAGCCTTCTTCACTATCGTCTCCTCCTCACTATTCAGGTGTTTCATATATAGCAGGGACTGGAATACGTTCCTTGAGCCGTGTGTTACGTAAGGGTGTATCTTGATGTAAAACCACATTGGAGCACTGAACTTTATTATTGTAATGACAATTCTTTTCAACTCATGGCTGGGTCTTGATGTTGCTACATACAGCCTGAGGATTCTACTCCATAAGGTGTTCCACCTTGACACACAGGGAGGACCTGGCTCAATAGCAGCCAAGTCATCTTCAACAACACCTGTGATAACTCCTTTACAAATCCTATACAGGTATTTCTGATCCCAGGACAGATCTTTCTCCACTTCATCATTAAACACAGGGAAATCAGGGAAACTGACTGGCTGGAAGGCGACAACTGGAAGCTCAGACAAAGACTCCTTGATCTGCTTTCCAATGGGACCACGCCAATGCTCAGGACCACTTGGTTTACCATCATAGTGATAAAAAACTGCGCGGAAAGGCAGCTCATTTCCGTGAAGCTGACATATGAAATAATGGAGCGGGTGACCAAGTAACATTTCAAGATGATGAATGACTCCATTTTCTGATCCTACATTTACATTGGTTCCATCACAACCAACACACACAATGGGCTGCTGGGTTAGATTTTTCTCCACCAGAAACTCGTGAATAGTTTTGGCAATCTGCTTTCCGTGTCCAGTCTTGGGAGTCACATGTGTGAGATATTCATTGCCAGGCTCAACCATGATGACATAATGATCTTTCACCATCATCCTCGAACTCCATTTCTCGGTCTTCTCATTCTTTATCATCACACGAGTGGCGGTCTTCTTACCATCAAAATAGAGTGACGTCAAATTATCTAAACTAGCCATCTCAATTTCTTGCCTCTTAAATCGGTATTTTTGTCTCGCATCCCGCAGCTTATGTGGTCCAATAACCTGACTCTTGTCATCCTTTGTGATAATGCCATAGTCAGTTAAGGTGGCAGTAGCAATGGCAGCTCCAGCATAATCACTAATCAAGTATCGGTCACAAGCGGCAGCCAGTGTAGGGAGTCTTGTCCGGTTCTGTGAACTGGTGTCTGTCAGAGCCCTTGGATCAGGGACAAAATCAGCATCAGTATTGACGAGAGGAATATCTCTTGAATCATCTGAATTATCCTCAACATAAGGAATATCTCCAGCTACCAGATATCTATGTTTTTGCTCAAGCTGTCTCCTAACTCTGTCCGCATCATGCTTCTCTCTTGCCGTCACTCTGTCCCACATCTTCGTCACTTTCATGTCAACCCCTGCAATCTTCATCTTCCTATCACCTCGTTGGTCAAGGAGAAACTGCACCTCACGTTTGGGAACTTTTATAACACAATTACATGCCAGGTCTCCCCTACATTACAGTACAGTAACACAACACTGAGAAATGAAATGAGAAAAGGCTGATAATCAATATAGACATAGCACCATACTCATCTGCAACAAGACAACTTAAATGAAATAAGAGATATGAAAAAAAAGTTGATAAACACTGAACAGAACATTGCACCGCCACAGCGGCTGTTTGGCTAGTACTGTAGGTAAATTTAAAAATTTCAGTAGAAAATGCGGCAGACTAAACCTCGACATATCAGCTTCAAATTTGGCATGGAGTCTTAGATATGTATAAGGAACAATGCATAAAGAGTGCAGCTTTGAGCAAAATTTCACTGCCCCCTAATGCTCTCCACTTATTCATATACCCTGTAGACTGCTGCCTCCATCTTTATATCTTCTTGGTCTTCTATCTCTTTTACAATATAATCTTTCTCACCACTAATGTATTTTCCTTTGTCTTAATATGTTCATATCGCCTGAGCAAAACCATTTCAGGTCTTTCCAATGCTTCTCTCATTTCCGCCCTATGTGTTTGCAATAGATGGGGCATCCAGGCATAAAACTTAGCTTCAACATGCAAGCATGGAAAATGGCTATAATGCTTTGATGATGATGAGGGTGATAATATTCACCCTACATATTGGTATCCACTATGTCTTTTCTACAGCATTTTCTTTTTACAGTCAATGCACACAGTACCTCACATCCCTACATTATGCCAGGTGAACTATTCTGTGTATTCTGGTCTTTACCTCCTTTGATGCTCTTCTCTCTCAATACATTTCTTGATGTACCTATAACACATAGCTTCTTTCTCTTGTGAACGTGATTTGATTATATGTGTACTTTGGATGTTTCTATAGAACCCAAGGATTATTTCCCATTGGAGAATATTGATGACCTTTGCTGAAAACGTTTACATATACAATACAGGTATACGCCTATTTGTGAGAGGGCTAGGTTCCTGAAAACCTAATCGCAGGTCAAAATATCATAAATTGGGTTCATTATAACATGGGGTTCAATGGGATAGGTTCCTGGTCAGTCGGGAACCTATATGTGTCAGTTAAGTAAAAAAAAATCAAATTAAATAAATATGATATGAGTGTGCGAGGCACCTCGTGAATGGAGCTGTGTGTGTCACTGTTTTCCCCGATTCTAAGCAATGTATATGACACAGTCTGACACAATAGCTGTATTTATTTATGCAAACACCACTCTACATATGTAATATATTATAAACAAACAAAATAATATGTATTATTACTGTCATCTTTTGCCTACAGTAGGAATATACTGTCCAATCTTGTGAATGTAATATGTAACTGTAAACACTTTTTATGTCTTAACACACATGATGGAGGTGTGGTAGAGGATTAGTGGTCTCATATGACTGACCTTCTGATGCATTGTCAGGTCACCCATTGTCGGGGTGGGGGATCAGAGCAAAATCACTTCCTAGTTGGAGTGAAAGAACTTTACAGTTACTTAAACAGGGAAAACACTTGACAGTCAGAGAAAAAGCACTTCACAGTCATTGAAACAGGGTACAATGTGAACTTTAATGATGTCCTCTCACTGTAAGGTAATAAAACAACACCAATGATGACTGATAAACATTGAGCTCCATTTCTTACACACATGTAACCAAGAAGAAACAACGACTGGATTGTAGTTCACCGGATGGACACAAAGTGGTAGTTGGGTAGATGATGCCTCAGCTGATAAATGAAGTGAGTGATGCGTTCCATATTTCGTCTTGGCAAGTTGGCGGACATCGTTAATTCGAGTTTGTTTACATCGCAAATAAGGAATTGGTCTTAATATATCAGCATCGTTAACGCGAATTATCGTAGAATGGGATATCATAAATAGAGGTTTACCTTTACTGTACTGTATGGGCATTATACAAAGGCCTAATGTATTAATTTCACTCCTGCTCCATTTTGGTAGATTTAGCCTATATTTATTTAACCCACACAAGCACTGACTGTTAATTTTCTTACTCTCACTCATTTTATCCTTGTAATGTGCCTTAGATATGAACTTAAGGTGAATGTGTTTTTGAGCTGTCAAAATGAGAATGACACTTGAAGAAAAAAAAAATTCATATCTATGATTTCTTTTCCTACCAGGTTTTTCACTGTGTGCACTTCGAGACACCTGCACAAGTGGGGTCTGAAAATCGTCCAAGGCTGAGAGGTTTTGACCATGCTGTTGCTCCTGTAAGACCTCACCATTCCAGTGGTAATGAAGGAGAAGGTGGAGGAACAGCAGAAGTAGAAGCAGCTGTTCCTGCAATAGATGCCCCTGCACCAGCTGGAGTTGAGGGTGGAGTTGGGGTAGGTGCAGCTGTAGGTGTAGGATTAAGTAATAGTGAGGGTGTTAGGGATAGATCAAGTACAAGACCAGAACCTGTTGAAGAGGCTTCGGGAAGGATGAGGGTGGAAGACCACAATGTGCTTCCAGAAGGAGCAGTTGCAGTTGAAGGTCATGGGGGTGTAAACCTTGCCCATCACCAGGAATGTGATACATATACTGAAGGTAAATAGTGAGGATTTTTAAGATTGATTTACACAGCAGTGGACATATATACAAACTTAAGAAAATCTTCAAAGCATCATTTGTATAATGCTAATGATTTCCTCTGTTAAATACTGTGTCATCCTTCTGATTTTCATAGTGATCCAAAGACTGAAGAAACTCTGGTACAAGAATTAACTTGAAATTTATAGAATTTAATTCTTTTTATAACAGTTTTATTGTTGAAGTAAGCATGACTTGCAAATAGAGATTGACATTGTTTTCAGTATTACCTTGAAAAAAAAGTTGAAGATTGCATGTAAAGCGTCAACTTTATCTGTTTATGTATCAGAGGACCTCTGTAGTTTCAGAAGCAGGTACGTACAAATGATTTACTTCCTTAATTTAAAATTTGTCTACGTTTTACATATAATGGGGTGAAAAAGATATAAATATATTGTCTTATTGGCTATATAGAAAGCACTTTCAGGTATACTGTATACTGATCTAAAAAGAATTGTGATATATTAAGAAAGTGCATGTACTGTACTGTACAATACCCTGTACAGTATAACAAAGAAAGGTAAATATTCACTTTTTGCTGCTATACAAAATCGAAGTTGAAACTATGTTTGTCCAATGGTTTTGACGTGTTATGAATGAATTTGACCTTCATTTCTGGCACAAATCAATAGCTTCTGAGATAAGGCCCCCACCTTCCCATCTCGAAGTCTAGAGATTTGCTATAAAAAGCAAGGTAAAAAGTGTTCAAAATATATCAAAAACCATCGGAAAAACAGTTTTGAACCTAACCTAACCTGGGAGCTCCACAGTCATTCAATGCTCTGGGCATGAACATACATAATAAAATGTTAAATATCTCACTTAAATGTAATTTGCACCAGAAATGTCATTGAAGAAAATTGTCTTAGAATTGTCAAAACTACTGATTGCAACTGTAAAATTCCTGAGATTCACATAGTTTAATGGCAACAAGTAAAATAATACAAAAAAATTAATACTATATAGTTATGTATAGTAATAGTCCAGGGGATAATCCAGTAGATTATAATGTGATTTATTCACCTGATTATAAAGCCCAATAAAAATTTTACAGTAAACGATATCATAACACGGTTTGGTGCAATTAATAAAGCAATTCAGGTAATCTATTGACATGTATTTGACACACATAACTACACTTCAGTAAATCCCCACATGGGCCTCTTTCAGCTACTGTATCTGCAGACACATTAGGCTTACCTGCTCCTAAATATCTCTGTACAGTAACTAGAGATTTGGTTTCCCACAACCACAGCATACACATTGCTTTCTCCTTCACGGTCGCCATTGTATTGTCACAATTCACGTTGGTAGCAGTCGTGCCTAATACATGTCAAAAGATTACCTGAGTTGCTTTATTAATTGCAGCAAACCGTGTTATGATATCGTTTACTGTAAAATTTGTATTGGGCTTTATAATCAGGTGAATAAATTATAGAAACCCTGTACAGTATAAAAATATGAAGGGAAACAGACAAAGAAAAATGTAATGGAGGGTTGATTTGTTGTTTGTGAAAGGGCAAAGGAGAGGTTTGCATTTGGAGAATAATCTTAAGGTGTAGTTTTATGCCCAAAAATATTCATGGCCGTGCCTCACCAGTCACTCCTGTCCCTTCTCTTACTCTCTAAATCTTGTTACAGTGTGGAAGTTTGTAGTTATTCATTACTGTCTTGGGCTCTTGAAAGTTTTTGGTTGGTAATACCTCACTTTTTCATAGGTGAGGAAACTTATGCAGTAGGTCTACATCCATTGTGTGTCCAGCAACTTAGCAATTCCTTAGTGACTGACACAACATAAAATGTGCCATTCACAGAAGAACTATGATACAGTATATAGTTTTGGTGCCATTTCTTTATTCAGTTAAACCAATTAAGGCCTCAGTATACTAGATTGCAATGATGAACTGTAAATGGTAATATCTCTTTCAAACAAAAGATTTTATGCCCTAATGAAGGTGAAATATTGCTTCAGTCATTGTGGAATTCCCATTGCTCATCCAATTCGATATCAAAAGTAGTATGGGTGTTTTTTATACTGTATCAATTTTTCTTTACAATGAATTGTTCATGGGGGTTCCCTCCCTAGAAACTTGAACTTTCAAACCAACCAATCATAATGAACATTGGGGAGGTACAATTTAAGTTTATTCAGATGGTGTTGTCCTACATGAAAACATAGCAGCCATGAGTCAAACAAATTGGAGATTTTCAACCCTGGATTCCAGATACAGGTTTTCTTGGATGGTGATTTAATTAACTCTCCTTATGAATGAATCCCAGCAATCCTCCAGGTTACCGGTAACTATTTGTTGTCCATCTCTTATGAACTACTGTACTGGGCTAATATTTATCAAGGTGGTGTTAACATTTTTAAGGACAAGTAGTAGTAGTACTGTAGTAGTAAACTTACTCATTAGTATGGCCACCCTTAGCAAATGCTGGAATTCTATTGCAACTACAGTACTTGAAAAACCATAACCACTGACTCGAGTGATTAATTTGGGACACCTGATAGTAAAAAAAAAATTCCCAAGACATTTTATTCATTAAGAAGTACTGGACAGCCATGAGTTGTAAAGTTTACATCCTTTCAAAATTAGTTAATCAGTTTCAGTGAGTGCAAAGGCTGGTGTTTTGGATGTTACATTATGAGTGTATTCCAGGAATCCTTCAAGTTAGCAATCTCAATTTACCTGAGTCTCTTTGTTACAATCTCAAGTGCTAGTCTGTTTTTAGTTGCCTTTTTAAGTTAGTGATCAATGTTCTGCGAGTTGCATAGCATCTGTTAAATTATTATAATTGTTTAAAATTACTTGTCTTTTGTACAGTCAGCTGCTGTTTCTACAATAATTATTTCTTTTCATGTACTGTATTATGAGCAATATTTTATTGTAGCAGGTGTTATCACATGAATAAGTTTGCAACTGTACAGTGTTTCTTCACCCAAGGAAGTTGTCTTAGTTTTCCCTGGTGTATAATTTGTTCAACATTGTACACTTACAGTACTGTATAGTCATATAGGGAATGTTCATGTCAAAGTCTCTGTGTCTTAATTTCTCTGTGTAATATGTGACTGATTAATAGAATATTTTTTGTTTATTTACAAAGTATTATTTATTGTTAAGGTGTTTTTAGTGGTTTTTATTTTCGTTCTGAAAGAACTTTATTTTTTTATAAAATGAAAAATAATACGTAGTAAACACTAAAAATGAGTTGTTCATTTTCAGTGAAACTCCTCCATCCATGAGGGCCACCTATTGGTCTGCAGAGATATCAGTGCCTGGCTTGTATGTTATTTTATTTTTAACTTGTGCACACAGTTAAAATGTGGGTTTTTCTTGATAATGGCATAATACTGATACAAACCACTGTATATGGTTTTACCAAAGCATGATAATTAAGCTAAGTGTTGTGTATACAGATATATATTTATATATATTTTGTCATCTTTATTGTAGACATATATATTTAAAACAATGAGTACTGTATTCACATGCATATCAGTTTTTAATGCTTTACACATATAGCTTCCAAAAGCCAGCGAAGTTTGAAAGGTGACAAAACAGGGTAACTCATCACAGCACTTTTGAATATGGACAGGTCACAATGTAATTTAATCAAAATGTATGTACAGTATACAATATACTGTATATCATAATCTACAAGAGTAATACTTAGGAAGATTGCAAAGTATTCATATCAAGAATTTTCATAATGGTTTCATATGAATTACCAAAGTAGAAGAACCCATTTGCATGATTCCTACATTACAAGCACTTATGATTTAGAAATTTATTCATGAGGTAAGGATTAATTTGACTGATAAATACTGTAATATCATTCTTTTGCTGAAGTTGTCAGAATTGTCTCAATTTCACCGTTATATGTTGCTACTTTAATGTCTTGATAATTTGATTCATGTATCATTCTTTAACATGCAGTGTAACTGATTTGGACTGAAGACAGTATGTTATATGCCTGTTTTCATGTTACATGTACCGTATATACTCGTGTATAGTTTGAGTTTTTAAAACCAAATTTTTAGGCAAAAAATTGGGGGTCGTCCTATACATGCGTAATAGTTTTGTTAGGTTGAACCCGTGCATGATGGGAAGGGCGAGGAGCAACTTTTAGCTTCAGACATGAAAAATATTTACCATTTACTGCCAGTAAACAATGGAAACGTAATATATGTACCAATTAGTAACGAAAAGTTGTGCAGTTCCTTCAGCAAATGAAGCTCACCACCTTACAATAGGCTAAATTACATTACAATGTGCTTTCAGTAGTCTGTGTTGAAGTTCTTTGCACAGGCTAACTTATCATATCATATACGGTATCACAGTTCTCATTGATCTACAAAAAATACCTGTAATAAAAACCTTTCGATATTTCACACTTAATATAATACCCGGTAATCTACTTCAACCTCCCATTGTTTACAACGATGCATCACGCATCACCAGCTGTTGAGTGTATCAGCTAGACGGTACACGTGTTTTTCGAATCGTTTTTAGTTAAAAAACTGTAACATCACATGTATATTTTACCTTAACTGTGCCTGAATGAATATATTCTCGGAAATAAATAGTAGTTTTGCTGAAACGTGATGTATTTCAATGTAAAATAGGATTAAATACATGACAAAAACAAATGACTTTACCTAAGCTTCCGATGTTCTTGAGATGTTACTCGTTTTTTTAATAGTTTTCGGTTAAAATTCTGTTATATTACAATGATATTCTATTCATACTGTGCTTGATATAATGCATTCATGGAAATGTAATATTTTTGCTGAAATTACGTACGTATTACAGTGGAAAGTGGGATAAAATCGTGACGAAAACAATGACTTTCGCTTTCTTTCGTTCAAAAGAACTTACCGTAATTGCTTTCCGAATGGTTTAGTTAAAAAACTGTTGTATTACAATAATATTCCCTCCTAATTTACTTGAATAAATACTTGAATGGAAATATACAATTTTTTTGTTGAAACTACCTGCGTTTCAGTGTAAAGTGTCGTAATAATAAATGGTAAACAATTTGCCTTCGGCACTCGGTGTTTCTGGCACGGCGAGCCTCAGTTTATAGGACGTAGAGCGTTTTTACTGAAGGTTTTGTTGTTCCATTACCCTCAAAAATGTGGGTCGACCTATAAACGAGGAATTTCATAATTTAACGATTTCTTGGTCAAAAAATCAGGGTCGACCTATAAACGAGGGGGGATTATAGACGAATATATACGGTATTTTCAATATTTACTACATTTTATATTTTCAAGGCTCAAGTGTTATGCTGTTAATGTGTGTATATCAGGTGTAGGCATTTGTAGAAAGATATTCAGACAAAACACACTATATACATGATTGAAATGGTAAGTGTGAATGAGACTGAATTGATTTATTTAAATTTAGATGATGCATTGACATGCAAATGAAGATAATTATTTCGAGAATGTTAACATAAGAATGGAGGAAACTGCAGCGGGCCTATTGGCCCATACTGGGCGGTCCCATTTACACCCAACCCCTATCGCTCATATATCCATCCAACCTATGTTTGAAGCTATCCATCGTATTCAAGTCGATAATGATGTTTGGTAACTTGTTCCATTCATCCACTATTCTATTTCCAAACCATTGTTTACCTATTTCGCGCTTAAATCTAAATTTGTCTAGTTTAAAACCATTGTTACGAGTTCGCTCCTGGTTGGATAGTTTGAGTACCTTTGTTATGCCCCCTTTGTTTAGCCCTGACTTCCATTTATACACCTCTATCATATCGCCCCTCACTCTACGTCTTTCGAGGAGTGCAAAATAAGATGCTTGAACCTGTCTCTGTACTCAAGGTTCCTAATGCCTGGGATTAGTCTTGTCATTCTCCTCTGAATTCTTTCTAGGGATTCTATATCCATTCTGTAATACGGTGACAAGAATTGAACTGTGTAATCCAAGTGAGGTCTCACAAGTGCAAGATATAGTTTCAGGATGACCTCTCTAGTTTTGTAACTAACATTCCTTTGTATGAACCCAGGTACTTTATTAGCCGTGTTTCGAGCAAATACACATTGTTTACTTGGCTTAAGATTCCTACTTATCATTACTCCTACATCTTTCTCACATTCAGATTTCTCTATAACATAGTTGTTCATCTGATATCTGGTTTCTCTGTTTACATCTCCTAGACTAAGTACTTTATATTTGTCCACATTGAATTTCATCTGCCATTTTTCAGACCATACAAAAATTTTGTTTAGATCTTCCTGTAGTTTTGCGGAGTCCTCGTCAGATTTAATTACACGCCCTATTTTAGTGTCATCAGCAAATTTACTTATCTTGCTGTCTACGCCGATATCTGTCGTTTATGTATATAATAAATAATAATGGTCCAAGTACTGAGCCTTGGGGTACTCCACTTGTGACGTTACTCCAATCGGATTTAGTACCGTTAATGCTTACTCACTGTTTTCTGTCCTGTAACCACGCACTAATCCATTTTAGAATATCTCTTCCAATGCCATGAGCCTCCACTTTTCTTATTAGTCTTTCGTGGGGAACTCTGTCGAAGGCTTTGCTAAAGTCAAGATATACCACATCATAGTCGTGCCCCTCGTCCACTAATTCGAAAACAGCTGAAAAGAATGTTAATGGATTAGTTAAACATGAATGTCCGCTTGTGAAGTCATGTAAGGAATCATTGATCAACTTGTGCTTCTCCAGGTGATTTCGAATAGAGTTTGAAATTATTGCTTCCAGTAATTTGACTGCAATTGATGTTAAGCTGATCGGACGGTAATTAGAGGATAGTGATCTATCTCCCTTCATGAAAATCGGTATTATATTCGCTATCCTCCAGGATTCTGGTGCTACACCCATTTTTTAGGACATGTTAAACAATTTTGCTAAAGGCATACTAAGCTCTTCCTTACATTCCTCTAATACTCTGTCAAATATCTCATCGCGACCTGGTGACTTATTAGGCTTTAACGTGTCTGTTTGCTTACTAACGTCGTTACCAGTCACTGCTATCTCGCTTAATATATTTTCTTCACTATCTCTGTATATAGTAGTCAGTGCCTCGGGTATCATGTTCAAATTTTCGGTGGTGAAAACTGTTGAAAAATATTTATTCAGATTATTGCTCATTTCTCCGTCATTATCAGGTAGCTCGCCGGTATCTGACTGTATTGGTCCAATCTTTTCTCGTGTTTTAGTTTGATACATTTGAAAGAATCCCTTGCTACCTTCAGTTCATTATTCCTCTTTGCTTTTCTTATCTCGGTCTTAACCCTACTGGCCAATACCTTATAATAATCTCGGAGGTAAACTTCACCACGATTTATTCTTCTACCTATAGCCTTCCTTTGTCCAATAATATTCTTTAAATAATTGTTTATCCATTTAGGGTCATTGTTGTCTGATCTGAGTTTTTCTGTATGGTATGTTATGACTTTGTGCATTAAGTAACTCATTATTTGAATTGTTGTGGAATTCGTCAACCTCAGATCTCGTGATCAGGTCATCCTCAACCGTCATATTTTGTGAGGATATCGTTGTCAGGTCTCGGGTAAAGTGAGCTTGCCCTCTGTGGGTACATTGTGTGAGGTCATGTCATCCATCCCCAAACATGATACCCCTCCTCTCAGTTTGCCGTTCTGAAATCTGGGACTTTAATCGAATTTTCCTTGCATCTGCCATTAAATTCTAACTTAAATCTTATTTCTTTGTGATCGCTGTTGGCAACTTCGTTCCCTACCTCGACATTACTAATGAGGTTTTCAACGTTTGACAGAACTAAATCAAGCATATTATTACCCCAGGTGGGTTCGGTTATATGTTGACTTAGGAAACAGTCCTGAACTGTTTCAAGAAAATCCTCCGATTCTGAGTTACCTGTAAGGTCGATCCAATCTATTTGGCTAAAGTTAAAGTCGCCTACTATACAGACTTTGCTATGTCTGGAAGCCCTGTGCATTTTATCCCAAATAAGTCGTTCATTCACTCTATCAAGATTAGGAGGTCTATATATTACTCCTGCGATTAATTTTTCTCTACCGTCGATTAATTCAATTCAAATTGTTTCTGTATTCAGTTCAGTTTTTATTTCTTTATTTATTTCACACTTCAGATTATCCCTGACATAGATTGCAACTCCGCCTCCTTTCCTAATCTGCCTATTGGTATGGAATAATTTGTAACCTGCAATTTGGTATTCGGCAGGTAACTCGTGAGTCTAAGTTTATCCATGTTTCGGTGAATGCTATTACATCGATTTTGTCGGTACATACCATCACCCTGATTTCATCCATTTTGTTTCTCATACTTCTACTGTTTGCGTAGTAGACATTTAAGTTAGTCGTGTTGTTAGTCCTCTCTTTGACGGGTTTAGGTTTTGACTCCCTGCCTAATTTAGTTTTGTCATCATTTCTAGCACTATTTCCCTGTAACCTTTCACTCTGTTTACCCGCTCCCACTGCAGTTTCCTCCGCCCCATCCCCAGACAGATGCACCCCATCCCTAGCATAAAGGTCCCTTCTGCCATAAAATTTGTCCCAGTTGTCAATGAATGGGACTGATATTGACTTGCAATATCTGTCAAGATGGCCATTGACACCAACTGCCCTTGACAACCATTCATTGCCAACCCTCCTTCTAGGCAGGACACCACATATGATAGGGATCCCTCCCTTCAACCTAATACGTGCTACAGCTGTCTCGAACTTATCAAGAAGCTCTTCACTCCTACACCGGCCAATATCATTGCCTCCTGCACTAAGGCAGATAATGGGTTTGTTCCCATTACCAGACAAGATATTGTCCATCCTGTCAACTCTATCCCCCACCCCAGCTCCTGGTAAACACACCCTCATCCTATTTTTATTTCTACCACAAAAAGCTCTATCCAGGTACCGTACCTGGGAATCGCCAACAATTAAGGTTTTCGTACCTTCCCTCTCAGCCCTGTTCCTGACTACGTTAACCTCCAATTCGTCCTTTAAAGGACTAAAAGAGTTTTTACACTAAGCTGTTGTCGTTTCCTTGGTGTCTTTACTCAGTACCACTTTGGTCGTTCTTCTCCTCACAACCTTCCATTCGCCTTGAGTTTTCGTCAGACACGGG